AGAAACTTGCGGGTTTCGGGGTTTAGGGTTGAGGAGTTTGAGTTTAGGGTTTAGAGGTTTGGGGGTTTCTTGGCGTTCTTCTGGTTGGCTCTTAGGCGTTTAACTTTTTGCGTTTCTATATGAACTGTGATAAGTAGGCGAAAAGTTTAACTTTTAGGAGGGAGGACTCAGCCAAGGAAACACGGTCGATGCATTCGCATGACGAAGGATACTGGGCTCTGGAGCATTATACTTTGAGTCCCTTTTAGGATTCCTTAAAGGGATCTGTAAGGGTTTCTTTAAGGGTATTATACCTGGGCTTGACTTTTTGCGGGACCTGTTGCTCAAAGGGAACCATGTTGAAACAGCAGCCTATACGTTTTTCTCCCCGGTCACTTCAAAGCCCAGGATAAGATGGAGACAACGAAGACTGGCAAGAACATTCCCAAAAACTGGCCCCGAGAGAAATTCACGGTCGTGGATGCAGGTGGCCTGTTTTGTCTTCGTGTGGCATTCTACAGTATGAGCCCAAAAGCTGGAAACCCAACAGCCTCAATCCTTAAGAGTAATGTATAGGGAATCCCAGCACTATTTGGCCTTAATCCGGTTTCCAACTTTATGGGGTTTACTGCATAAAGTCAGGGTGCGCGTGCCCGTCGGACTGTGCTAGTGGCAGAAAAGGCTTCGAAAAGTAGGCTTACTTCACTTTTCACCTTCAGGCAATAACTATAGGTACTGATTTGGCATATTTGTTGTTTTCCCGTAAATTGTTTAAGTACGCGCTCTAATCATAAATGAATTTGGGGACTGTTGACATCGACACCTCGATATCCGAAAAGAAGTTCCGGGTTCAGGTAATGGCATGGTCGCGCTTCACAACGCTCACAGCAACCGCTTCGTGTCCATGAGAGACAAGGGGATGGGAACCACTCCTGAGAAGGATGCTTGGACTTCAATGGGGCTTCTAGGTAGGGCCCTTAGTAATTAGAATAGGGTTTTGGGGCCCATCATACTATAAATATACTCAGGAGCCTCCACAATACTGTTGGTAATTGTTTAAGCAACTATACTAGGAAGCTTTGAGGGTCGGCACTTGGGGTTTGGCATTTTGGGTGCAGGGGTGGGTCCGGGGGGTGTTAGGGTTTAGGGTTGAGGGACGCTAGAAGTAAGGCTCGTCTTCGGTCGTCACTGCAGAGCCTCCTTCAACTTCACAGTTTAGGGGTCTAGGGGCCCGAATCCTGGACCCTTATAAACCTTTCAACCCAACACCATGATTCGTAAGTGCTCACCCAGGCTGCAAATGCACTGCCCAGCAAATGGGGATGGGAGCGTTTTGTCGTTATTCCGACCAAGCCCCAAGAGAACGAGATTGCGTTGTGGCAGCCTGATCACAATCGTGCCTTGGCCAGTTGAGACAGCACTCTTAGTAATTAATGGGCTGACATGTTTATGGGTGGTTGTCAAAATTAGGGCCCCTTTTTGGGTACCCTAAATATTAGGTGCCGTATTGTAATAGGGACCCAAAAAGGCACCATCATTTTGACCACCACTCATGAGTTCGAGTTCGAGTGCGTGTAGACACGGTTGTGTGACCTCGGTGGGTCTTAGGGTTCATGGTATAGGGTTTAGGGTTAAATCTTCAGCCCTTGAGCTCTGTGCTTCCTGAACCCTATATAGGGCCTGAACCCCTAAACCTGCCAAACCTCGAATCCGAAGCCCCAAACCCCTAGACCCCTTACAGTCGACCCCAAAAAGTTGGAAACCGGATTAAGGACAATTCGTGCTGGGATTCCCTTATACATTACTCTTATGGATTGAGGCGGTTGGGTTTCCAACTTTCTGGGGTTCATTCCAAGGGTAAAAGGAGGGACCCTTAATAAGGACCCCTAGGTATATACCCTGAATACAGCTATTATATGCCCATTATATAGCCCATTATAGGGTAGGGGTCCCCATTAAGGGTCCCTCCTTTTCCCCTTTGATTCATTGTAACCCTAAAAGCCTCTTTTGGGATGTAGGCAAGCTGCTCAGGGGCTGTCAGCCCCAAACCTCCAAGGACTTTCTACCCAGAGGCCCCAAAGTAGTTCCTTTTTGGGATTACCTTATGGGATTCTATATATGAACCCCAAAAAGGAACTACTGTGGGGCCTTTTGGTAATCGCAGGAATACTACGGCTCCTAGGCGTCTGAGCTTGCGTGTTTTGTGAAGGTATCACAAAACCCGCACCCCTTAAGAAGCAAGAACAGTAGGTGCAGAAAACTAAGTCATAGAGCAATTAGAGTCGTCATAAAGCATGACGTAGCATGAAGAGTAGACACGCCGAGTAGACTCGTTTTTGCAACCCTATGCAGCACATGCTCGTTACCCTGAGGTTTTCTCCGAGTCAACGACAAGGGTGGGTGTGACAGAAGCTCCAAGAAGTCGCCTCAGGACGCTTGAAGCACACGTTCTCGTCGGATTTGCTGGGCTTGCGGATTTTCGGGTCTTCTTTGGGACGGCTGTCTGTGATCGGTCGTCCTCTTGTCTCTAGTCGTTTCCAACCGCATGAGTTTTATAAGCCATAGGTACGTTAAGCTCAGTAGAGGTCGGTGCTTGGATCGGAATGCGTATTAGGGTTTAGGAGTTTAGGGTTTTGGGGTTTAGGCTTTGACGTGGCAAGTTTCGAGAACGTGGGAACTTGAAGTCTGCGGAAGTAGGCCTGTACCCATAGGCCCCAAAGTAGTTCCTTTTTGGGATTACCGTATAGAATTCTAAGTATCAGCCCCCAAAAGGAACTACTTTGGGGCCTTTGGGTAGGCTCTTACCGCCTGAAGCCGCGATTCTTTGGACCCCGAATTTTGTGAACCCGCCGGCCTGGATGAGCAAGATGTGCCCCGTTTCTACAAACGGGTTAGTTAGGGTTTGGGGGTTTCAGGGTGCTAGAGGTTTTTGTAGCAGGTTTAGGGTCTTCGATGTTATGCCTTATTGACCCGAGGTGTCCAAGTACCTAGTAGTCAGAGACTCCCCTTTGCTACTTTCCTAAACCCACGTACTTCAGTATCATTTTCTTTGAACTTGTCGGGTTAGTTTGCCTTTAAGGAGTTACGCGTGCACAGCTTCAGCGCTGCCGGTTTAAAGCTTGGACTTGACGCCGGTCGCTGGAAGGGGTTGGCTGCAACATAATATCATGTTATGTTGCATTGCAAAATTGTACACACTATCTTGCAAATGTCGTACCATAATTCGGTGTTTACTAGAGGATCAGGGGACTCTGGCAAAACGGTTGTGGGCAGACTCATGGGTGGGTAGATCCTGATTGCAATACTTATAACCACTTCCTCATGTCCTACCCGGCATAAGAATACGACCAGGTAAGTTTGGGATCAGCTCATAAGCCGCTTGCTCAGTCGATATACAGCTTCTGCCGTGGGCGAAACTGAATCTTACATCCTTACCCCGAATATGTAGGGTAAGTCTTGAACTTGCAGATACCGTAAACCCCGAAGCCGTAAGCAGTGGCGGTTTGAGTTTGATGTGAAGCACCCCTTAGACCCCCAAAGCACATAAGCATAAGCTTTTTATGGAGATATGCCTACCTTATTCGGCGTCATTATAAGGGGGTTTATGTGGGATATCACTATCCTTATTTTTCCTCGTGTGCTTTTTTGGGGCCCTACTTAGAACACTGATGCGGTAGCTTCAGAGCAGAAGGGCCCCGCCGAGGGCCGGCAATATCTTCTTCGAACATGCTCGAAACCCAGTCGAGCTCTTCAGGCATCTGTATCAGACAGGTAGTTAACCCTAAACCCTAAACCCTAAACCCTAAACCCTAAACCCTAAACCCTAAGTGACCCTTCTTGGGTGCCCAAAGGAGAACTACCCATAATATGCCTGAAGCCCGAGGGTTTGCTTTGCTCTTATAACTGACCGTTATCCCTCAGGGCCCGTGTACCAATATAGTATATAGTATATACTTTGGCCTTAATGTAGTCCCTATTCAGGTACTTTAGAGCCCAAGTATATACCACATGCGTGCATGGACCCTTAGGGTATTGATGTCACTCAAAGGTTACAGAACTTCGAGTTAAGTGACGTAGGGTTTCGGGTTGAGGGACGTAAGGTCTAGGTCAGGGCTTACAGTGTTTGGGTATGCCATTGCTTCTTCCGCTCGGGTTATTCGTTGACTTTACAGTCCCATCCTGTTTGGTTGCCCTATCTGGAGACAAACACCCATCTCTGCAAATCTAAAAGAGTGTATTTCCCCCGCGCCTAGGCCGAAGCCAGAACCATTTTTTAAAGGGATGTGGACTTTCGGGTTTCGCTAACCCGAAGCAACCTGAAGGACTACTCAGAGGCTCCATAGTAGTTCCTTTTGGAGATTACCTTAAAGGATTCTAAATATGAGCCTCAAAAAGGAACTACTATGGAGCCTATGGGTAGGCACAAGATAAAATCTTTGGGCCTCGCGTTCCAATGCACTGACATTCGTCAGGACCTCCCGCATGACTGGTCGTGGGAACGCTTCACCGTTGTGAAGATCGCCGATGCACCATCGTAGCTGGAGAGTGGGAAAGTGTTTACCGAACGGAGTGTGAAAGTCAGGGGGCCTGCTGTTTCTCTGGGACAGGTCCGATGGTTGTAAAGAAGTATTTGCGCGATCGACACGGTTTCACACAGCACAGATCCGGAGCAATAGTTGGAGTACGCACTACTAATTTCTATATTATGCTTACCATGTCTTTTACCAGAATGATCTGATGCGCAACCTCCGGCTGCAGAGGAAAAGCAAATCTTCAGTCGAGCTTCCCAGCACCTGACCTGTTTAGGTGTGTTAGCGTTCAGGGTTATAGGGTGTGCGGTTAAGAGTTTAGGATACAGGATTTAGGGTTGAGGGTGTGGCTACAGCGATTCTCTCACCTTGTTGCTTTGTGTGCATCGGTGTGCATGTGCAGGCAGACGCAGCCGTGTTTAGTTCTCAAGCCCGGCGACAAACTACATATGTTCGTCCGGGCTTGCTAGATTCAGGCCTGACCTTAATATCATGAAGCAATGCAAGTTCTTGGTGATTGCAGCGGCAGCCGCTCGTTGGCCATTGTAGTTCCGTGCCCTTAAGCCCTACTTCTAGTTGTCTTTCTGGAGAGGAGTTTCGCGCTTTGGTCGGCTCCAGCGTGTAATCGCAGGTTGTTGTTCCTCTCCTTGTTCCAGCCTGGGCTAGCGAAAAATGTAGAGTTTGAAATGCTGGAAAGGAACTCCTTTGTTTTGGTCGGGCAGTCTTTTACGGGCAAGAGGGTGGGGTGGGAGAGGAGAAGAAGAAAGGTTCTGTTATTTTATCCTGATCGCTGCTTGCTTCGGTTTCTGCAGAGTTTAATGACCCCACGATTTTACCACAGCAAACCGAAACCCTGTAGCACAAACCTCAAGATTTAGAGCATCTTTCGGCATTTGTTGATGTTTGCTGTTTGCTGCCTGCTTATCGCTTGCGCCTGTGCAAATGCGCACAGCTGGTGCAACAGATCGGGTTTATGGTTTAGGGCATAGTACGTTATATATATATATATATACATACATACATACATATGCATATACATATCACGTAAGCATATCATCTGAACATTATGACATGGGTAGTATTACTGATATTTCTGCACCCTGTCTTTGGGTTCGCCTACATTTGTTGCAGCAGCACATGGCCCCTGGAGCAGCGACATGAACATGTCCGTGTCATGTTTCTGTGTAGTCGTCTCTGTTGGCAGAGCCGTAGACGGTATGCTAGCTGTGGAACACGAGCTCGGTCTTTGTCGCGGCAAGCTGCATCGACGGTTGTGTGCGCCTTCACCCCACCCTCGCACCTGGCTTCTTGAAATCCGGGCATACTTGCCTGCTTGAACCTGGCCATGCTTTGGACCCGGGATTTACCCTGGCAGCACATACAAGGAGGGAAAGTCGAAACAAGCAGCATAGCATAGAACATAGAAAGGCCAAAACAAGTCTCCACTTTTCTTGGAAAGAAATTTGTGCGCAGGTTTTGCACTGCGGGGTACATGAAATAAAGGTCCGACGGCGTGCTCGATGCAACAGGCGATATCCTTGACCCCTTGTCGAATGATCCTTTAAGATCTAGAGTTCAGGAGTACTATAGGGGCTTAAATAATTACCTATACTATTTTGGCGGGCTCCTAAATATAATTACAGTATAATGGGCCCGAAAACCCAATTCTAATTATTAAGGCCCCTTAGTAGGGGCTGTCTGCCAGGGCAGGGTTTAGGGCTTACGATGTCCAGATTGCATATTCCCACTCTAGCGCTTTTTCCTGTGCTCTGCAGTCAGGTCAGTGTGACTGCCAAGAAGTTGCATCGTCAGGAGCGATGGGGCATTGCAGAGAAAACTCAGCTTCAACATGTGAGATTTGGGCTCTAGGTTTTTGGCACCACATTCCTTGGGGCACCATCGCTTCGCCGATGTGACTCGATTGTATTATAGGCCCTGCAACTTCAGCTTCAACAAGATCCTGCAACTCCACATTCGGGTTTGCATTACAGCTCAGGCGGCGAATCCCGTTCTATAGCTCCCTGAGCCCTGAACTGAAACCGTGGCTTTGTAGTTTCTTGTGAAGTCTGTATACTATGTTTTGCTTTGTGTCTACTTCGGGCACATGGTGACACCATCCAGATGTTCCTTGTTCTTGCCATTCACGTGATAGCTACCGAATAGAACTGAAGGATCGAGTGTTTGAATCCTTTGCTGCTCGGCGTAAACCTAAAACGATGCGAGCTTGTTAGCGGGTTTAGGGTTGGTTTAGGGTCTACGTTTTTTGCTTGTAGTGTAGACGGCATCAAGAATATGCTTGCTGTGTGGATAATTGCCCAGGTTCAAACCCCTTGTTTGTCAGACAGAGCTCCCACCCAATCGGCCTTCGTTCAACTTTGCCTGAAACCGACAAGAACCGTCCAGGACCTCCTCCATAATGAAGCAATTGGGCCTGGCTCTTTGGCCGGCCCCCTTCCCAATGCTGATGATTTTGGCATTGGCTCAACCGGTCTACTAACGTTGAACGCGACGAGACTTGCACCCCGGCTGTTTCAGAACGGCTCCGACCGATTCGTGTTGGGCTTTCTAAAGTACAGGGCTCGATAAGGGTTAGGGCGATGAGTCATATTTGACGGCGTCTGGGCAACCGACACAGAAGAGCTTAAAGCCTTAATCCAAGATCCCAATCCTCATCTCCGTGGACGATAATAATCCCAGAGACTCCAATATGCCTTAATTAAGGAATATTCCTTAAATTATAGTAGGATCCCTAACATGATTTAAGGTATTTTCCTTAATTAAGGGATATTGGAGTCTCTGGGATAGGGAGTGGCATCGGACCCCAACCCATCTTTCATGGAGCCTTCCTGGGAGCCCTGGAAATTTTTGGGTGGCTGGGATCTTCGGATTGAAGATATCCGAAAACCCTAGGAAAACCTAAGGTAATGTACGGTAGAAGCAAAAAAGTTGGAAACCGGATTAAGGCCCAAAAGTGCTGGGATTCCCTATACATTAATTACTCTAAAGGATTGAGGCTATGGAGTTTCCAACTTTTGGGCTTCTACTGTACGGTTTTTGAAGGCACGCTTTTACATGTTCCTAACGAAGACCGAAGGGACATGGCACCAAATCCGTCCAAGATGTAAGGAAAACAACGTTTTCATCAGGAAAAACCAAGGAAACGAACCACAAAAAATAAGTGACCCCACCCCCAAATACAAAATCTACCCGAACCCTGCAGCAGCCTATCCGCGACCGCCAAGGCCAGTGCTACTTTTCTTGCCAGGGCTCCATGCAGTACCTGCTGCTAGGTGGCACGCGTATAGAATCTAGGGGGTAGTGGGTTTAGGCTTGATTGTATACAATTTCTATGGGGTTTCATCGGACCTTCATAGGCGGTTGCAAGCTTTTTTAATCAGGAGCCGGGGATGCTAAATAGTCTCCCCGATTTCTTCTTGCGAGCTATGGAGCAGAGCTACCATCCGCCATCCTAAACCCCATGGCCTACTCCCTAAGCCCTAAACCCCATGGGCAAAACACTGATTCCCTTAACCCCAAGCCCTAACACTGCAAGCCAGGTTGCAAGAAAGATCCGGATAGCCCGGAGGCGATGCCATTCTCGCCAGGAGCGCTTCTTCTTGAGGGTTAAGGGTTGCGGTCTGTAGTTCGCAAGGTTCAATGGTGAAGGGCTCTATAGGTCTAACCCAAAGAGTCCTATGTACTGTTATGGTGGATACTTCCCTAAGTCATAATAGTAATTCCTAATATGGAAACCCCACTTTCTACTATATCGGTACATAGGACCCTTTGGGTAAAGCTCTACCCTCTGCTGTTAGTGGCTTTTTGGATGGTTTAGAGGCTTGCCGCTTTAGCTTCTAGTGTGTGAGCGCTTTAGGGCCTTGGGCTTCGTAGTTTCACGATTGCTTCCAAACGGTAACAGCCCAAGTACTTAATACCTGAAGGTTCTAGGCCCGCGGAAGTAGTAAATATCCACAAACAGATTACACCTAAAGGTTCTAGATTCTAGATCCCGAAGTAGGCATAACCTTATACTTGGAGTCTTAGGGAAAGTGCAGTCACCCCAAGTTCTTCATGATCTCTAAGACCCTCACGCCTGATAAGTGATATTCTAAGGGTTTAGGGTTGAAGGGTTTAGGGTTTAGGGATCGGAAAACGTCCATGGAAGTTTGAAATTGTAGGTCTCGCAATCCTGGTCGCCGAAATCGTTAAACCCTGAACTCTGCACTGCTGTTGTCTTGGAGGACAGGTCATCTCTACCTACTATCGCGAGGAAGGCCTTCTGTCCAGGCACTTGGAAGAATTCAGCTCACGTAAATGGGTCCGGAGACTTGCTAAGTGGGGTCATGATTAATTAGAACAGCTACACCTAAAATTGTCGGAGGTACTTACAACTATACTTACATCCGCTCATGAATCTTAAGAGGATCCCTAAGTTTGTTGAGGGTTCGGGGCTTTGGCTTTATGGGATAAGGGTCAAGGTTGGGATTGAGGGTTTCGGTTTTGGCGACGAAGGTTTGATACCGCGGTGCGAACCGTGACATTGCTAAGCCAGAGTTTCGCGGATCAGGGGCTGCGCGTTTGAGGTTTTAGCCAAACTTTATGGCGGTTGGCTTAAGGATTCGGAATTTCCTGAACCCTAACCCCTAAACCCTATTCAGAATCATCGCGATTTGGATTCCGGCGTCCCAGCTTTAGTTCGAGAGCCCGAAGCCCCATTCTTATCTTAGTTCTCCAATACCAAACTTTTAAACTTTTGGGGTTCTTATAGTTTAGTAGTAATCTGAAAGTTTAACCTTTTATTTCTGTGGCTACTGGGGGAGTAAGTTATGGTTTAGAGTTTATAGGGTTTAGAGATGAGCCAATCATCGCATCAGAGACTCCAATTCAGTCACTTAGTAGGAAACCTGTCCTGGAGCACGAAGCCCTACTGTTTTCAGGGGCTAAACCTTATACTTAGGGGTACTTAGAAATAGCTTTTAATTTTTTGTTATTATAATCCCTAAGAAACAGCTAAAACTATAATTTTTGCTAGGGTTGTAAGTTCAGTATAGTAGAATCGAGGGGTCATGACCTACTAGCTTGTAGAGTTTGGGGATACAGTGATACAGGTTAACCCTTTGGGGTTTAGGAAAAATCCTACCATAATGGGAAGGTTAGCCTTTTTGCTACGGCCAGGGTACTCAGCCCCTACAAGCCGAAGCGAAGGCGCAGCAGCAAGCTCGCATCCGCAACAGTGGAGAAACTCCTTGGCAAGTCCATTCAGGCGCGTTCGAACACAGCGGGTTGGGGTTTAGGGGTCCAGTGTTCAGGGTATAGCTTAGGGTGCAAAGGCTTGGGTGTTTAAGTTTCTATCAGGTTTATTATGCGGGTCATGTAGGGTTTAGTGGTTTAGGATTCTGGTGTTGGAGTGTTTAGGGTTCATTCCTGTGAGCTGTCCTGTTCAGGGTTTTGGGTGGTCAGAGCTTAGGGTTCAGGGGCCACAACGTCCGTGGAGTTTCGGTTAAAGACTTGCACATCAAGTCATTTCTTGTGGACGGGGCATACATGTAATCTAGAGTTTTGTCATCACCCAAACCCTGAATTCCTGAACTTTAAACCATAAACCATGAACCCTGAACCCCTGAACCCTGGCCTTTGTTGATCCCTTTAGCCCGAAGATTGAACTTCTCTGATTTTGTCGGGCGTCCTTGGCTGGAGTTGGGCTCTGGGATGTAATATTGCATCAACTGTAAAGGAGGTATAAGGAGGTATATTGGCATATTATCACTACTATTTCTTCACGCCTCTATATTAATTAAGCCCGAAACCGCACCTAGAACTAACCCCGGATAGTTCTCGAAAAGGATACGGGTGCTGTACGTAAGATGTTGCAGACCGAACAGCGACCCTAATTTAGAGAACTACCCATATTCCTAGAATATCCTGGGGTTTCGGTTTTAGGGGGGTTCCCAAAAGAAACTGTCAGGTGCAGCTCCTGTCTTCGAAGGATGCCACCTTCGTACCCAAGCAGGCAGTGAGGGCCCACCTCCCGATCGGCGAAGCGCACCTAAGTCGCAGTTAGGTGTACTGGGCTTTGAATATGTAAGAAGACCGCCTTACAGTCCCTATATGGGTGGTTGTCAACAGTAGGGTCCCTTTTTGGGTCCTTCTTATAATAAGGCACCTAATATTTAGGGTACCCAAAAAGGGACCCTAATTTAGACAACCACCCATATCACTGTACTACCTTAAGGCCCCAAAGTAGTTCCTTGTTGGGGTTCGTATATAGAATCCTATAAGGTAATCCCAAAAAGGAACTACTTTGGAGCCTATGGGTAGACTATGCCCCGAAGGCGAATATCGAGGACCCTGTCTGACGTTTGGAGATCCGCGGGCTTGGCTTGATGCCTGTACTATAGGGGCCTTAGTAATTACGAAGACTTTTGTTGGGGCTCCTTATTATAACTATAGTAGAATGGGCCCCAAAGCCCTATTCCAATTATTAAGGCTCCTATAGTAGTTGAGCGGTCTAGGGTTCAAGGTTTGGGGAGATAAGGCTGGACAAGAACCCAGAGACCCCAATGTCCCTATATATCTTAATTTATAGTAGGATCCAATATCCCTTTAAGGAATATTCCTCAAATCATATGAGGGATCCTACTATAAATTAAGGTATATTCCTTATCTATGGGATGTTGGAGTATCTGGGCAAGCTCGTCATTAACTCAACCCTCATTGTTCTTATTCAGAAGACTATCGACATGATTGAACTGAACCTTTAGATAGGCACTCCCCAAGACCCAGATTCGGAATCGAACGCCCTTTTGCAGACTCCCTAGTTACTAGTTTGGTTGGCGCGTGTACCGGGGAAGTGCTATGAAGCGCCATAACCCTGAGCCTTCAATCGAAACCTCACAGTCCTAAACTCCACAATGGGGGTTTCCGAAAACTAGGGGACACCTTTAAAGGGATCCTCTAAGGGTTCCTTAAAAGGACCTGTAAGGATTATGTAAAGGATTTAGGGTTTAGGGTTTAGAGCTTCCGAAAGTTGGGGGATACCTTACTTTGGGGTCCTGATTATTAGGATCCTTCTACTTGGGGTACTATATTAGGGTTCCCCATTTTCGGAAACTCCCAAATCCCTAAACCCTACCACACAAGGAAATCTCCAGATCCGCTTGAAGCGGTGGTGGTCAACAGCACGGAAGCCCAAACTACCGTGCGCTTCAAGAGCAAGTACGTCGGAGAGGCGCTTCTGTAGTCGTGTTTAGGGGTTGGGTTTTCGGTTTTGGGATGCAGGGTTAATTTTACACATTTCCGCAGATGTTGCATGTAGAACTCACCACTTTACAACCTAAACCCTCGCTGCAGCCGCCCATGTATGAGGAAGGACCCGCTCTTGAATGCCAACCATTTCTGCGTGCTTGGCTTCAGCCACATAGCCATCAGGTTTATGTTTAAGGTACGATACTATACACGGCTATACTATACTATGTCATACTATGCTAGGGTTTAATGTGAGCTCAGGTCAATGAAGCTGCAGCTTTCGGACATCGACCTTGGGAGAGCCTGTACGTAAGCTTATCTAGGATGCCCAGTAGTACCCTTATTCCTTTTTTGTAGTCCTAGGTTCCTTACAAAGGTACCCAATACCAAAAAGAGAGGCCTTTATATTCTTAGGTTACTGGGTATCCTAGTTATTGTCAGTGCTGCTATGATTGCTACATTTCATTGCAGGGCTGTGTCCGGCGTGACTTCTGGATGGCGTGCCTTGTGGATAACTTGTCACTGCGTTGCTTGCGGTTCTATGCCTCCTCATTATTCTTGTAGTTGCGTTTTATTCTCGTGTGTGGATGCTTCCCAGTGGAGGGGATGACACCTCTCTACAGCGATACAGACGAAGTGCAGGCAACGCTAAACCAGAAACCTCCACCTTGACCCGGAATAACCTCCCTTTCTGAAGGCCTTATATAAAGAAATCATAATGACCTACCTTTTCTAAGGCCTTATATAAGGAAATCATAATAACCTACCTGTTTTAAGGCCTTATATAAGGGAATCATAATTAGAGAGCCATGAAAGGGTAGGTTTTTTAGGGTTGAGGCAGACTCTTAACCCCTGCTGCACAACACCCGCTGGCCATAGTCCCCTTCATCCGCAAAGTGGCACATGGGTAGGGGGTAGGGTTTAGGGTTTGGTAGGGTTTAGGGGTGTAGGGTTTAGAGTTTAGAGTTTAGGGTTTGGTAGGGTTTAGGGGTGTAGGGTTTAGAGTTTAGGGTTTAGTAGGGTTTAGGGGTTTAGGGTTTAGGGTTTAGGGTTGGTTCCTATTTCGCTCCCCGAAATTAATGAGTACGGCACCCAAACAAAGCCCCAAAAGGGACCCTAATTTAGAGAACTACCCTTGTAGTACCCTCATCAGCCCTGATCGATCCCTTTAAGGAACCCTAAAAGGGACCCTAATTGATAAAGGCTCCCACATTACTAACCGTGGTTCAAACTGGTCAGGTGACAGTACCCTCGTCGTGGGTGCAACCCAGCTGGGCCACGTCGTTTCTCGATCGGTTCGGGTTAGGGTTTAGGGTTTAGGGTGGTTGTTCAATCTTAGTACCTGAGCAGGTAACCTTTAACGTTTTGGGGTTTGTAGATTCCTACCATAATTAACAATTAAAGGTTAGCCTGTTTGGGCTAGGGTACTCAGCTACTAGGACTTCGTCTGTGAACGCACCCGAAACCCTGAACCGTTCTCCCCTGACACCCTGCATGGACGCTTGCGGTTTAGCAAGTACACTGAGTAAGATGGGTTATGGGATACGTATGACGGGGCCTTTATGGGAGTTTCCGAAAATAGGGGACCCTACCATGGTACCTGAAATGGTAGGATACTTATTATAAGGACTCCTAAACTAAGGTGCCTCTTATTTTCCGAAATTCCCATATGGGAAGACAAAGTATACTTGCAGCTCTAAGCCCTGAACTTGAAATTCGTCAAATCCTAACGAGCGTGAGCTCTGTGTCAAACACCGAAATCCGAAAGTTCAGAGCTTCTGCTGGCCAACATGGATCGAACAAAGAAGATTCGAACATGAGTCATCCCTTTCTCGAAAAATCTGTCAATATAGTTTGCGCTGGTCGAATCTGGTCGAACCACTTGGGCTCATATGAGGGCTTTCCCATGTAAGTTGTCGAATTTGACCGGACATGATGCCATAAACCCTAGACCCTATACAATTAAAGAAACTATGCCCTAACCCCCCAAACCCTAAACCTGAGGACCCTTCCATTCTGCAGAAAGGTTCGGACCTGAAAGCTCCCTGAGCCCTCTTACTGTTTAGGGTGTTTAGGGTTTAGGGTTCAGGGTGTCTACAACTTAGAGAATCGTAGTTAACCCTGATAGAACGCTTATAGTAGCCTCAACCCTGCACTCCTTAAGCTCTATAGCCGCTAGCCGCCAAGGGTCTCATGAACAGGAGTTCCCTGGCAGGAAGCTTTCGAAAGCTGCAGGTTCTACCTTGACAGTGCGATACCTAAACCCTATAAACCCTAAACCCCTAAAGGAGCCCTTGAAAAAGAAAAAACAAACTAAAGAAAGCCTCCAAGCCCTGAACCCTGAACTGCAACAGCCAAGGTTCCAATTTCTGCCGATTGAGTGGGTAAAGACCGACCCGAAGGCAACGGAGGTAGACTGCTCCCCGGAGGATTTCGAGGACTTTCCGCCACTGCCACAAGAAAAGAAGGGGAGTTTGGGGGTTCGAGGGGGTGAAGAGCTTCAGGGCTTTGTTGTTTTACCTTCGGGTTTCATGGCCTTTAAGTGGAAGTCTTCGGTACATCTTCCCATACCCTATCTATGCGGGTCACTGTCCCGGCCCTGAAGGAGTGTATCTCAAAGCCGGGCTGTATGTGGAAGGAGCCCGAATACAAGGACTTGGCTTGTGTGGTCGCAGACTGGGGCGAGTGGCAACCCTGCTCCGTGACATGTGGCGTCGGGAAACAAAAGCGCTTCCGGCCTTTTCCGACACAGCGCAGCTGCCGCAAGCTGAATCCACAACCTCTGGTCGCAGAAGACCGATACTGCATGAAGCCCGCCTGTCCTTTGGTCGCAGGCCATTGCGAGGCTGCCAAACCAAACTCAACTGGCAGCGCCATGCTGTGGCAAAGCAAAGCCAAGACAACCCTTCGCTCCACCAAGGAGCCCCGCAGCTCGGCTCTTGTTGGAACCTCTACTCTATGTCACTATAGTTAAATAAAGAAAGTTCCGGTGTATCGCGTGAATACTAGGATGTGCCACACAACCCAACAGCCGTTTTAGGGCTCCTTATGATGATTTCTTTGTATAAGTCCTAAATCGGTAGGGCTTTTTCAAGCAAAGCCTAAACGCCCCAAGCATTAAGCCCTAAATCCCACATCCCGAACGCTATAAGCCCTAAACGATCCTTAAACCCTACACCCTAAATTAAACATTCCTCAAACCCTAAACCAAGCCTGACCCCTAAACGCTAAACCAAGCCTAAACCCCAGAAGCCCTCATCCCCAATCCTCAGACCCTGAACCATCCCTGAACTTCGAAGCCCCCAAATCCCAGAGGCTTCCATAGCCCTTAATCTCGGAATATACACATATATATATATATATATATGCACCTTAAACCCCGAATATGATTTACGGTGTATTCCTTAATACAGCGATATTGGAGTCCCTTAAGCCTGAAACCCTATAGATCCCTTATCGGATCTCTTGAAGGAGCCCTTATAGATCCCTTAAAGGAACCCCTAGGCATTCCCAAAGGGTCCTATGTACCGATACAGTAGAATGTAGGGTTTCCATACTAGGAATTACTATTATGACTTAGAGAAGTATCCCCCATAACAATACATAGGACCCTTTGGGATGGGAGTTAGAGGGACCCTACCAGAAGGACCCGTTGGGATTCCCTAATCAAGGGGATATTGGAGCCTCTGGGCCCAGGCAAAGCTCTTCGGTCTCCTCCGGCGACGGCTCGCGGAGCGCTCCTGGAGCTGCTAGGACCGGGTTTTAGGGTTTATAGGGGATACCTTAACCCGGAGAAACCTACCTTTTTAAGGACTTATATAAAGAAATCATGATCAGGAACCCTGAAAAGGTAGGCTATTCGGGGTTAAGGTAGGGTTTATACGTCTTGCGGTTTAGGGGTTAGGGTTTAGGGGATAGGGTTTATGGGTTTGGGGGTATAGGGATTATAGGAATTAGGGGTTAGGGTGTAGGGGGTTTAAGGTTTAGGGGATAGGGTTTATGGGGTTTAGGGTGTAGGGGTTCGGGTTTAGGGGAAAAGGTTTATGGGGTTTAGGGTTCAGGGAGCCATTATGAATAAAAGTCTATACCTGGACCCCAAAAGTATGTAGAATAATAGCCTTTTAAAGGTATTGGGCCCTTATCTTACCTACTTTGGGGGGTTTAGGCCCCTGTGGAAACCCTTATCATCGCCCTTTAAAGGAGCCCTTATAGCAACCCTTATTTGGGGGATTTAGGTACTGTTTTCTCCCTGGTTGCTTCAAACCCCAGAGGACTGACACATGCGGGAGAAGATCCGCTCCAGGCGGCGTCTAAGCATTTCCGGGGTATACTCTATAATATAGTCATGACCGGGAACCTTAAGGATTTATATGTGTACCTTAACCCACCAAAACCGACTTGGTTGTAGGGTCCCTATAGATCCCATATTAGGGTTTATAATTAGGTTTATGGTAGTTTAAGGTGTATTATTGTCAAGACCGGGATCCTAAAGGATTTATATGTGTAGGGTTTATGAAGCTTCGGGTTCAGGGTAAGGTTTAGGGTCCCAGCAATTTTCACGATACATTAGGTTTCCTTTTTCTAGCCAAGGCCCTCTTTCTGTGTGTTATAGGGGTTTAGGGCTTACAGTTTACTGTAGGGTCCATATTTCAGGTCTGACTTACTTTTGAGGTTTTAGGCTTGGCTTAGGGTGTGGGGTTTGGGGTTTAGGTGATCCCCTCCAGGCCGTCCAGGGAGAGCTCCAGAACATCATAGACAAGCAGGCAACTGCCGACGAGGAGGTGATACAGGGTACGAAAATGCACATAAACATACGGATCCGACAAGAACCCTAAACCCTAAAACCCTAAGCCCTGAACCCTGAGCAGATTTACGTGGATGTGGTGTCTTGGGCCCTTAGGTGAAGAAGATGACGAAGCCCGCGAAGACCACAGGCCCGTCGCCTATTCACGAGCATCCACTCTACAGTGAGGAGGAGATCCCGAACCCTACAGTACGCCCGTAGACCGGACTTAGGGTGTAGGGGCCAAGCCGTAAAGCCAAAGACCCCAAGACCCTTACATCCTACATCCTAATCTAAATCCTAAAACATATCCTTGAGGAGACGATTATCGCTTGGGCCGAGAAGGGCACGGGCTTGGGACCCGAATCTTGCTTGTTGTCGAGACTACTTGTTCATGACGTATAAGGGTCCTATGTCTGTTTGTTTGTCCGTCCGTCTGCATGTATGTATGTATGTCTGCGCCTGCACACATACGTACATATAATATAATATATGTATAAACTGTATATACATATGCATATGCATATGCATGTAATGCATACACAAGTACATACTCTGACAATCATACGTACATACGGACAGCTCAGGAATGTCCCGAGTCCTACTTTGCGTTTCAAGTCGACATCGACGTGGAGACTTCCACCATCTCCGCAGCGTGCAATCCCTGCGCGGCAGGCTTCGCAGCATGTAGGGTTTGCGGCTTATTAGGGTCTTAACAAGGGTGTCGCGTTTGGGGTTTATAGGGTTTGGGCTCTAGGGTTTGGGGTGTAGGGTTGCGTGTTTGCAGGATGGGGCTTGGGTATCAGGGCGTATGCGAACCCCAAGGCCTTAAACACGAAACCACAAAGGACAAGAGCACATACCCTCGGAGAAAGAAGCCATTAAGCACCCTAATCTCTAAACCCTAAACCCTAAACCCAAACCCTAAACCCAAAACCCTAAATCCCCCCTAAAGCTCTCATGCCAGAGAGGGCTTCGTTGCTTAGCCGTCGCCCCACAAGAATCCGCGCACCCAATTTTGGGGTTAAGGGTTTAGGCTTTAGGGGTTCAGGGTCCGAACGTTCCTGAGTGGTACCCTTCTGCTCTTTTTAGTTTAGGGCCCCTCCTTGTTAAAACCACATAGTAGGAAAAAGGGTACCCCAAAGGGGCTACACCGGATCCTAGGAAGAGAAGGTAGAGCAAGTAACCGTTGACTTCATTGAGGTGGTATCTTCCGGATGCCATTCCGAAGGTGAAGTATCCCTAAACCCCAAGCCTGAGACCTTTTTGATTTGACAGGTTGTCTCCACTGCTCTGGCCCATCCGCAGATCAGTGCCGTGCTTGTCCTTCGCCCTTGAGGCCCATGGGTTTCTCTCAAAGAGTTGATACGGTTTAGGGTCTAGGTTTTATAGTACAGAGTTTGGGGTTTCGGATTCCGGGGTTCAGCATTCAGAGTGCAAACACTTATGCCTAGACGCTACGGGGCACTTTCAATGCCCGCAAAATTTAACAGGCTTATATAAGGGGTCTCTTGTCGGATTTACTGGTAGCGAGGTTGAAGGGGGTTCTATGCTTTTCTTAGGGATTGTTCGCCATTGCTGGGGTATTCGTCGAGTCTGTTCTACAGGAGGTCCTTGAAGAACGAATAACCCCTAAACCGCTGAGTTCATAACCCCTTCAATACGCGTGTGAGAGAGAGTTTCAGAACCCTAAACCCTAAACCCCATATAGAACCCTACACGGCTGGATCCTCCTGGTAAGGAAACTTAAACAGGGACCCCCGTCCCCCCAATCTCAAAAAAATCAGGGGGGCCCCGCTACACCCTAAACACAAGCCCCAAATCCTGAGCCCTAAACGCCTGCTTGAGGCTCTTCACTCACATCGATGGCCGATCGGTTTGTGTCGAGGGCTGTCCGGAGTGCCCTTCGGCTCAGGATGGTGCCGTCTTTGCCGATTCGCGACTAAGAGCTGTGTGGTGAGCATCTGGGGTTTGACATATTAGTCCTTCTATATCCAGTCAAAGTAACTCGGAACCTTTGTTCGAATCGCTTTCGGATTTGCACGAATGTACATATATAAGGAGCCGGTTTGGCGGGTATCAAGATTTTCAGTTTCTGCCTGTGGTGACAAAAAAGTTACGTGTACAGTATACACCTTACACGAAACCCTAAACGTAGCCCTAAATTCTAAACCATGATAGAAGCTACTAGCCGATAGGAGTTCCTGGCTTTCCGGCTTCTTGTCTTATAAGGTTAGAAGTATGGGCCCCTAATATGGACCCTTAGGCCTTTTTGAGGGAGTTCTGGGGACCCTTAAGAGTCTATGTAGGGTATATAGTAGGTATTTAGGGATCCCAAGATTAAGGGCCCATACTAGGGGCCCATGGTTTGAACATGTTTGAACCGTTGATCTTGGATTTAGGGATGTGGGATGTAGTCCTTAAAACGGTAGGCTATTCCGGGTTAAGGTAAACCCTAAACCCTATTTGGGAGTTTCCGAAAATGGGGGACCCTAATATAGTACCCTAAATAGTAGGATCCTTATTATAGGGACCCCAAAATAAGGTACCCTAATCATCGTAAACTTTCATTTGGGTGTCCCAGGCTTCAAGCCCAACGACGACGATGGCACGTGCACCTTCGACGGCAGCCAGTACGGCTGCGACCATGTGGCCGCCTTCCACCCCGAGGTGTCGGCTCTCTCTGTCAAAGGGCTCCACTTAGGGGTACTTAGAAATAATTTTTCATTTTTGGTTATTATAACCCCCAAGGAACAGCTAAAATTATAATTTTTGCTAGGGCTCTAAGTTCAGTATAGTGAAGGTAGGTGGGATAATCCCAAAATAAGAGTCCTTATATAAGGGGTCGTCAGTCCTACCTACCTTCATCCCACCTTTTGAGGCCTCCTAAACTGTGTTAGGGGTCTGGGGTCTATAGGGTTGATTCATAGAGACCCTTAAAAGGGGCCGTAGCGGAGGGGGGGGGGGGTAGGGGGCCTTAATGCGCATAATAAGGCTTAGTTAAGGAAGTATAGTCTTGTACCCCCCTCCCCCTTGCTCCCCGAAGGGTCTCTATGATTTATGCAAGCAGTCAGCGACAATCCGAGCGAGAGCGACGCCTGGATCCTTACAGGAGGATTCAGATGTCAGCCTGCGTTAGCACGGCGACCAGACCGTCCACTTAGCGGTTTAGTGTCTACAGGTTTATGATTTAGGGATGTTAGGGTGTTTAGGGCTTAGGGTTCAGGGGTTTATTTGTAGCCCAGCAAACAAAAGCTTAGTGTATGGAAAATGTGTACGGTTTAGGGTTTAGGAAACCATGAATATTCAGGACTCAAAAGGGTTGCCAACACGGTGGGGCTGAAGGTGTACCAGCGCTTTAGAGGAGATTTATGCTGGCTACATAAATGCTACACGTAGCGTGTTGGATGCTTCGCCTCTGCGAGAAGAGAAAAGAGTTGCAGAAATAGTTTGTGTGAGGCTCAGGGTGTTCTAGCACTTTTTCAGCAGTGCTAAAGCAGAGGGGTGAATGTTTTATTATACTGAGTGTTTCGGTTGATGATATAAATCTTGCACTACCTTAAGGACCCGAAACTATGGGAATTATGGTATATTCCTTATTATGGGTCATGCAGGATTTGTATCATCAACCGTTGCAACATGTTCAAAGGAAGTGTGCGGATCCTGTTCTCGTACTTGATTTGTTCTTTCAAGATGTTCTTGCCGTAAGGTTTCCTTAGAAGGACCCGCTTGCAAGGATGTAGGGACTGCCCATAGGCTCCATAGCAGTTCCTTTTCGGGGTTCATATTATTTAGAATCCTGTAAGGTAATCCCCAAAAGGAACTACTATGGAGCTAGAGGCGAGGGATGAGTCGGGATGTCTCTGCGAGATGTGGGTGGCTGGGCTCAAGACGTCCCCGACGCAAAGAACCTAGAAACCCGGAGAACCCCCTATGAAAGCCTTATGAACCCTGCGAGCCTCCCTTAGGGAACCCTAAACCCTAAACCCTAAACCCAAACCCTAAACCCTAAACCCTAAACCCTAAACCCAAACCCTAAACCTTATACTAGAGTCAGGGAACATGAGAAAGCCTGATGGGCCTTCTGAGTCAGGTGATGCCCGAGCACCGCGGAGAACCGGACTCCTGTCAGGCCTTGATGCTTAGAACAAGGTCTTGGGGTGTACTTGGAGGGTCGGGGGACTTAGCAAGTAGGTAGTACGTAGACTTATAAGTACCCTAAAAGGGACCCTCATTGGGGTTATGGTACTTATAAGTCCCTAAAATAACCAGTTACTAAGTCCCCCGACCCTCCAAGTAGGAGTCAGGGTTTGGGGTTCAAAGTTTCCGAGTTTAGGATTCGGGACTTAATGTTTAGGATTCGGGACTTAGGGTTTAGGATTCGGGACTTAGGCGTTTAGGGTCTAGGGGTATACTATATTGTTCGTATGAGTGAGGAGCCATAATAAGGAATACTATTCCAATCGCTCAGGCCCTAAACCCCTAAACCCCCCTAAACCCTAAGCCCTGAACCCTATCCCCGAGACCCTGACCCCTAAACCGCAAGACGCATGAACCCAAAACCCCAAAACCCTAAACCCTAAACCCCCCATCCCCTAAACCCCAAAACTCTAACCCCTAAACTCTAAACCCTAACCCCTAACCCCTAACTCTAAACCCTAAACCCTCAAACCCCCAAACCCCCAAACCCCTACAGAAAACCCCATAAAGTTGGAAACCGGATCAAGGCCAAATAGAGCTGGGATTCCCTATACATTACTCTTAAGGATTCGGGCTCTTGGGTTTCCAGCTTTTCGGCTTCTAATGTAGTTCAATCGTTCAGGCTCTAAAGAGCGACGAGGACGAAGAGGAGGACGACTCCTTCGACTCGGTGGAGCCTCGATGGATTTCTGTTGCGGGGTTCTGGGTTTGGGGTTTGGGCTTCTAGGGGTTTAGGGTTTTAGGGTTTAGGGTTTTAGGATTTAGGGTTTTAGGGTTGAGGGTTTAGGGTTTGGGATTGTTTGGCATGTGGCCGAGGTTCGCGATAGGTACCCTTTTGCCCTTGTTAGTTTGGGGTCTCCTCATTAGAAACAAACAGGAGGAAGAAAGTACCCTTATTATAACGCAGGACATGATCAAAACGAAGTGGCAACGTGAGTGTTGGTGGTCCCACAGCTCGGGTTTAGGGTTTAGAGTTTAGAGTTAATTATATTGTCCCGCAGTCGTTGGTCACCCAAGGACTTGTTCCTGTTGCGGAAAAGGAAGCGCGCACTTCTCGCCAAGTCTCCCGCTCATCCCACGATGGAGGCACTCGCAGGAGAGCAAGGAGACATAGAGCAGAAGAAGCAGCTAAAGAAGTTTCTCGGCTGGGGGTTCAGGATTAGGGTTTAGGGGTTATAGGGTTAGGGGTTTAGGGTTTCTGCGCAAAACAGTTGCTAAGTAGCGCTGAGAACCGCATTCTGAGGCAGATCATGGAGTGGATTGAGACAAAGCAGTTGCCAGATACTCGGCCGTTCTTGAACACTACTTTTGTTTGTTTTGACATTAACTAGTATATAGTGTACAGTAGTCTCAGGAGAAGGAGCATAACAAATAGATATTTACATATATATATATATATATATATGTATATATATATGTATATGTAAGATGTATATATATATATATATATACATATGTGTAAATTTCTACATGTATGTACATATATAGTTACATTTATACTAACTGTTAATTCTGAAAGGACGTCCAAGAACAGCCAAGGATACACTTGACCAGATCTCACAGTACGGCGATGCGGCTTTCGAGAGCCTTGGCCGAGAGCTGTTAAAGCATCCGGAGCTCGCCCAGCCATTGGCACCTGAGCAGCAGAGTGGGGCAACCCTGAAGCTTTTCCTGGTTTTGTGCAATAGAATTAACAATTATCTAATAATGATAATGGTCACAAGAATGAATACTCAAAATAGTAATAATCAGAATGGTTTAGGGTGGTGAACGACCCCATAAGGCAACCGGACAAGTAAGGCATTGGCACTTGGCCACGAGGACTCCGAAACAGAACCGCCACATGGCCATGATGACCCAGTTTCCTCGCAAGACGACGCATCTACGTCACCTCAGCCCTTGGCCGAAGTCGTTGACTCTAGGTAGGCCTTTGGGACATGTTATACTTTCCATTTTTGGGGCTAAGGAGGATACGATTTACTAATATTTTTTCAATTCCTAGGACCTGGAGTAGGCCCTTATTCCCTTTTTTTAGGGTTCAGGTCCCCTTATAAGCCCCTTAAACCAAAAAGGGCACCCTTTTTGTTCCTAGGTTACTCTTGGGTCTAGATTCTTTTAAAGGGCCAACCTAGGACTACGAGTCCTCCGAAGAACCCTCGTCGGACCAGGCTGAGGACTCGGCAACCTCTCTTCGGATACTTGGCCCAAAGGAGGGACCCTTAATGGGGACCCCTACCCTATAATGGGCTATATAATGGGTATATAATAGCTATATTTTGAGTATCGCTCTGGCTCTTTGCAGGGAATGGGGGAATGGGTTATAGGGACGATTATAAGGGACCATCATAGGGATTCATTTCCCCATTCCCTACTAAGAACCAGGGAGCTATGTGTATGCTAGGCTACTGCACTAAGGAAAGCATAGGTCTACACTGTCCATTCGTCTGGTATTTGAAAGTAATGTGCTGAAAAAGAACCCAGGATATGGGGCCGGAGTGTCCAAGCAAGCCTCGTCCAGCAGCGCGATAAGAGCCGACTCGCTCTGTGGAACCACACGCAGATGCAGGTGCCACTTTTTAGCGAGGTGCTGAACATCGTGATGAAGTCCATGGGCAAGGTGACGGCTGAGCTCCTTCAACAGGGACAAAGAGAAAGCTCGGAGAAGCATGCAGTGCTCATGCAGGATGCAGGGAGTGAGGCCAGCGAGATGCAGCGTCGCGCACGGGTTATGGCCAGCAAGCTCGAGACAGAGTGCCACCGGATGCTGCACTATGAGCCTAGGAAGCCCATTACTAACCTTCGAGTGTTTGGTACTTCTGATATAGGCGCCTAAATAATTGCAAATGTACCATTTTGGGGGTTCTTATTCTAATTCTAAAAAATGGGCTCCCAAAGCCTAGCCTCATTATCAAGGCCCCCTGTTTGGTGCTTCGAGCCCTGACCAGCCCTAACTTCTAGGCACGCGGCCCGACCTGTGGGTAGCATGATGAGGGAGACCCCTTAAAGGGTACCTTCCGAACCCTACTTCTGGCTCTTAAAAGTGACCTTATAACTCCCGACCTAGGAATTGCTGGCCTTCGCTTTGACAAAGCACGAGAAAGAAAGACTCCTTGAGCTGAGCACCGGAATGGTGCAAAGCCTGTACCGACAAGGACAGGGCATCTCATTACTTGGAGGGTCTTTAGGGGACTTAGTAAGTAGGTAGTAAGTAGACTTATAAGGGACCCTGATTGGGGTTAGGGTACTTATACGTCCCTAAAATAACCAGTTACTAAGCCCCCCGACCCTCCAAGTAGTCGTCGCGAAACATGCAATGTTCACCTATCGGAAAGTAAGTCTTTATTTCAGTGTTCCTCATTGGGGAGCCCGAATAAGTGCCGACATTCTTCCTGTGGGCTCCCCATTAATTACAGTTCTGCGATACATGAGCCCCAAAGCCCTTTTCGACTTCTTGAGGCCCTTTTTTAAATCATATAGGGGTCTAAAGAATTACCAATACTATTTTGGTGGTTCCTTATCATAAATATGCTCCAAAACCCTATTGTAATTATTCAGGCCTATAGTACCCAGAGACTCCAATATCCCTTAACTAAGGAATATACCTTAAATCACATGAGGGATCCTACTATAATTTAAGGTATATTCCTTTATTAAGGGATATTGGAGTTTGCGGGTATCCAGCCTGCAGGGCATTTGGGGCAGCTGGCACAGATCGCATCGGAGGCTTCCGGAGCGGCAAGACAGGCGAGCCAAGGGTTTTGGTTTAGGGTTTGCGGTTTAGAGTTCACATTAATCCTGAATAACCTACCTTTTTACGGTTCCTTGTTAAGATTTCCTTATAGAAGTCCTTCAAAAGGTATGTTATTCCGGGTTAAGGTAGGGTTTTACGGCGCAGCGTTGCTCTTGCTGAGCTCCCTCCGAACCACCCTAGACGGATTCGGATATGAGCTTACACCCTACCTTAAACTACCACAACCTATTTTGTGTAGGTTCTTATTGTAAACCCTAATATGAGATTTATATGGACCCTATAAAGAGTAGGTTTTGGTGGGTCACGGTAAACACTAAAGGCCAGTTATTTATAATTTAACGCTTGGAGCCGGCCAGAAAACCAAGTTATATACCTGGACAGGTACTGAGCATCCATGCGGACCATGCCAGCAACTCCAAGAGGATCCAGACCAGTGGGGCCGTCTCGCTCCTGGTTTCCTCTGCACGGCATTCCCTGCGCTCCTCACCCTGTTTGGCTTATAGCAAGCTCTGCATCATAGGAAAATGTCGCGATTTCAGGGGGGGTGAACCTGTATCTCTTGGCTCTTCCGTCTTTTGGATGGGAATTATCGTTGCCCGCTGGGTGTATGTGATTCGATCCAGAACTGAAGGATCTTCTTGCACTCTATCTGAGCTTGCTTGCACTCCTCGTGGAATCGTACCTTGACGCTCCAGAAGATCTTACAATGGCTCCCATCAATCTCCCTAACTCATCTTCTGGCAGGCCGTTAAGGACTCCTAGACCTTGAGGACGCATAGACTTGTTCGAAAGTGCGGAAGTGCATCCAAGGCTCGCACCTGCAAGCGGCTATCGACGATGGAACTACGGCTGTTTCGAGACAATAGCTACCCCTAAAACCTGACTGCCCCAGGCCGTAAACGGTTGTGCAAGTCATTATCACGTCGATCCTGTTTGCTGCTTTGTGTGGGCTTCTGGGCGTGTTTGCACAAGCTTCGAAGCGAGCGGCTGTAGATGGGAGATTGGACCCAATTCTCGATGCGCCTAGTGGTCTGACAATGACATCAGGGTTTCCACTTTCTGTTACATGTGTCCAGTTTCAACTACTTCCAGTGACCGCCATTCTGTTGATGATAGAAATCCTGCATTAACTTAAGGACCCCAAACTATGGGAATTATGATATATTCCTTATTATGGGTCAAGCAGGATTCATATTAACTTTATCAACCGTTGCGGTGAGCCCCGTTGCTTTCCTGTGGGGTTTAGGCTTAAGGCTGTAGCATTTCGGACTAAGGGCTTTGTAGCTTATCCTAGCACAACCTTAACCCACCAAAACCTACTTTTTGTAGGATCCCTATAAATCCAATATTAGGGTTTCTAATAAGAACCTACAAAACAGGAAGTTATGGTAGTTTAAGCAAGTCAGTAGTACGACATGATTTTGCTGGCACTATCAGTACTGCTGCTGCTGCTGCTGCTGCTGCTGCTGCTGCTGCTGCTGCTGCCTTTTCTATTTCCGTTCTGATTGCCGGTGCTATCTTTTTCTACTCTACTCTTCCTGCTAAGTATGCCACAGGGATGCCACCACAACCCTACTACGAGCAGTAAGTAGAACTAACATAGTACTAGCAGTACATGGCTCTACGTGTGCGACTTCATCCGTGGCTCACATTACGAGGCTGTGTTGAAGCATGCCCACCACGGCCTAGATGACCCTAAACCCTAAACCCTTTACTAAACCCTAGACCCGTACTACTAAACCTTAAAGGGAGCTCTTTAAGCGGCTGTGGAGAAAGGGGCTATTGCACGTAAAAAAAACCTGAAGGGAGCCCTAAAACGGGATCCGACTGAGGAGCTGTGGCCCTCAGCATGACTGCCGAAGAGAAGGCAGACGTGGCTGAGCGACTTCAGCACGAAGCACAGAGGAAGCTCCTGCTGGTGAGTACCTCGACCCCACAAAGTATAACAATAAGTTATGAATAACTGGCGTTTAGTGTTTGGGGTGTACTTGGATCCCACAAAGTATGTAGACTAAGGGCTTTTCATAGGTTTTGGGCCATTATTTTGCCTACTTTTGGGGGTCGAGGTAGGCGTTCCGTGGCGAAGATCGTGCAGCGGATGTCAGAAGACCTCGACGCCGAGAAAGACGAGCTTATAGAGCAGTTTATGCTTGCACCTCGAGCCATTCTCGCGACGGAGCTTGGGAAGCTTACATCCAGCACCCTCTCATTCGCCGGAATCAAGGTGGAAGAGAAGCTCAAGGTGACTTCGATGGGAACGCCACTGGCGAAAAAAGAAGCACAAAGCGCCATCAGAGAGGCACGGTGCAGGGACCTGCTAGTCTGAGGATCGGGATGACACACTTGAAGTTTGGAGTTCATTGTGTTTGTTGCTTTTCTGGGGAATGTCGAAGGAGGGTTTGTGCAAGGTTGCAGCAGTCTTCGAACAAGTCGTCGGCACAATGTCGCGAGTGCCGCAGGTCCAGAAGCACTTGGATTCATCGGCAGTTCATGCAATAGAAGCAGTCTCGGCTGCTGCTGATGAAGCTGCCGCAACCATCAAGGCTCACATGAAGAAATCAGCTGGGACGGCCCTGATGCAGTTGAGGACGTCAAAACTTTCGCGTAGTCTGTGTTCTACAATGACGACTTTGGCTACGTGTTTGATTACACTTTTCCCGGCACACGCCTTTCCCACTCCCTTTGCTCCTGCTCTTGCTCCCTGTCCTGCAACCATCATGACTGCGATGACGGCTGCTGCTGCTGCTGCTGCTGCTGCCTCGTTTATGTATACTGCCATGATCTGCAGCTTTAAAGTGGAATTGCTCAGTTATCCGCGCAGAAGAGGGCTCGGGCTGTTGTGTGAGTTTGATCTCCCTAAACCCTAAATAAAACCTAAACCCTAAACCCTAGCAGGCTTCCCTCCCGGGATTTTCCATCTCACACTAGCCATCCCCCCCCGAAGGGTCCCAGGACTCATGGTTTTTAACACGATTTTGGGCCTGAATACCTTGTTATGTAAGGCTTTTAGGCCCTTCTGAGCCTGAGGGCTCGATTTCGCAGAGCTGTATTGAAGATACGCGTTGTTGGATATTCCACATGAAAACCTGCCATGAACATTGCGATATGCAGGAAGACGGTGTGTGATGTGCAGGAAGACAGTGATTCCGAGCCCATCTGGATCCAACATAGGGTAGTAATAATGACTACGAATAGCATCCGTGAAGCCCTTAGATCGAAATAGTATCTTGGTGAAGGGCCCCTAGATTCCCTAGGTTATGCCTTAACCCGGAATAAAATACCTTTTTATGGACTCATATAAGGAAATCAGAAAAAGGAACCCTAAAAATGTAGGTTATTCAGGGTGAAGGTAGTCCTGCAATACCTGCGAGGACGGGCGACTGGCAAGCTGCGATGGCCGGGATCATTGCTGAGGCAAAGACTTCCTTGGCGGAAAAGGTGATCTCTACCCGCGCCTCGGCCCTAAACCCTAAACTCCCTAAACTCCCTAAACCCCCTAAACCCTAAACCCTAAACTCCCTAAACCCTAAACCCAAATCAGGCTTTTCAGTTCTAGAATAGAGTCCCTCCCGGCCAGGTTTTAGGGTGCAGGGTCCCCGAAGCCCAAACCCTGAACCCTAATTTGCGAGAAGGAGCGAGTGTGGCTGAACTAGTCCTCCAATCTGTGGATCCGAAAACCTACCGTTTTAAGGGCTACCTGCTATTTTGCAGGGTTTGGGGATACAGGAACAAGTGCTCAGGTATGTCCGCCAGCTTGAAGGACTTCGTTGCCAGGGTTTCGGACCGGCTCCAGTCCGTGACGCTGTCTCCTGTCTCGGCGGACACAGCACCCGCCGTGGCTGCAGTGGAAACTGCGGCAAGGGCGACTGGGTTCTTGTTAAGACATCTAATTTTGGTTATCTAGGGATCTACAGCATATAGCTAGTATGGTTTCTTTTTCATTATAATGACTTAAGGTACATTCTTTTAACAAGAAGCATAGCTAGTATGGTTTCCTTTTTGATATTATAGTAACTCAAGTTACATTCTTTACACAAGAGCCCAGGCGACTGTGAGGGAGGCTCTGGAGGCCACTCACAGCCACTTGGGGTCTGGGCATCCCGGATCGCTAAGTAGTTCCTTTTTGGGATTACCTGTTAGGATTCTATATATGAACCCCCCAAAAGGAACTACTTTGGGGCCTTTGGGTAGCTTGAGTAATGTAGGCTGTTCAGTGGTACGCTTTTTACTTTCAGGTTTCTGGGTTGCTATTATGAAATAAGAAGCCTAGAAAAGTATATACTTTTTCCCAGTGGGTTAGTGAACAGCCTAGGATGTCAGCGCTTTCCCAGAATGTCCAGATGCTCATCCGGAAGAAGTGCCATGCCGCCGGAAACTTGGCTCAAGGTTTAACGTTCAGGGTTTAGTTCTTAAGGAGCTTCGTTCAAGATACCATGTTCCTGGTAAGGAAAGCATACTAGCCACTGCGCACATCCCCTGTGCAGTATGGTAATCCCGATACCCCGAGACCCTACTCAAGCCCAAACCCTCCTAAGCCCTATGTTAGAAGGGGCCCCCACCCTGTAATAGTGGTATAATAGGAATATAACAGGGTCCTAACATAATCCTTATAGTCACTATTACAGGGTGGGGGCAGCTTCTAAGCCCCATGCCTCTTTGAAACCCCGAAGTTAAAGTCAGTTTCCCAAGAAGAGTCCAGGAAATCTGAGCAACATCAACGCGGAGTTCCAGAGCTTTGATCTGGCGCCACAGGATGATCTGGTCCCGCTGCTGCAGTTTCTTAGGCTTCGACGGTTTTTGTTTTTAATTTTTGAGCTGTGGGTTTAGGGTTTAGAGTTTATTGTTCCAGAGTTCAGGATGTTAGGGTTTTTGCGCATGGGGCTTTTACAATGTTTTCGTGTGCGGCTCTACGACCCCACGAAGTTTTTCAGATGGGAAGAACTACAAATAGCACCCGGTTACAGCCCTTAGTTAAGTTTATAGCCATAAGGTACCCCAAACCCCTATTGCCCTATTCTAATCGTGAAGGTTCCTGTATTATAGCCGATGTGACGTCCTATGCGCGGGTTGTTCTAGCTCGGGCCGCCACTTGCAGGGCTCAGAGCATACACTGCATAACTAGGTTGGATTTGGGGGGCATTTTTGTTTTCCTTATTTGTGTTTATAAGGGACCCTATATATAAATATTTTTTCAGGGTGTTTGAAGGCCAACCTGGATAAAAAGCATAAAAGGTTCCCATGACGAGGCTGTCATAGGGACCCTAAGAGTTTACTGGGGTTAGAGATTATATGGTTACTAGGATGCCCAGTAGTACCCTTATTCCCTTTTTGTAGTCCTAGGTTCCTTATAAAGTTACCCAATACCAAAAAGAGATGCCATTTTAATCTTAGGTTACTGGGTATCCTAGGTTAGTAGCCCTAAACTCTAAACCCAACTGGAGCCCTGGAATTCGTGCTTGAATACAAGATCGCCTGTTTGTGCTTGAATACGAAATCGCTTGATTACTCAGGGTGAAGGGTTTAGGTTGCAGAGTAATGTAGACCCCTGATTAACAAGACTCGCCTCCCTCAATACTTGGAGGGTCGGGGGACTTAGTAACTGGTCATTTTGGGGACTTATAAGTACCATAACCCCAATTAGGGTCCCTTTTAGGGTACTTACTAAGTCCCCCGACCCTCCCAGTAGGGTTTATACTAGGGAATCTCGATCTTAGGGGGTTTGAGTATACGGCGTTCATTAATCATGTCTCTGCATGATTCGAGATTCTGGATGGCAACCCCAAGACACACCTGAAAGCCCGAGAGTTGTTCATAGCTGAGCTTCTAGGTATACAAGGTACTAGACTTGCACTTGTGCGTACCTTCCGTAGCACCAGCTTCAGAATCAGCAGATCTTTATGATCATCCCCGCACCTCTTCTACACTCCGACTTTAGAAACAGGCAAAGCTTGCGACCCTCAATCCTGCAAGAGGGCATGCGCCTCTTAACAAGAGTCACGAGATTTTATACAGGAAAGGCGACAAGAACCTTCGAGATTGCTCCCAAGCCTTATGAAGGCAAAGTCGACACCCCAAAGGGTCCTATGTACTGTTGTGGGGGATACTTCCCTAAGTCATAATAGTAATTCCTAGTATGGAAAACCCGACATTCTACCATATCGGTACATAGGACCCTTTGGGCACGAACCCTCGATTGCTTCAAAGGGGAAAAGGATGGACCCTTAATGGGGACCCCTACCCTATAATGGGCCTATATAATGGGTATAAAATCGCCATATCAAGGGTATATACCTAGGGGTCCTTATTAAGGGTCCCTCCTTTGACCCTTGGATAAACCCTAGTACCCTTATAGTAACCCTTTAAAGGAACCCCTCTAGTAACCCTCTACTCCCCTTATACTAACCCTGTAAAGGAACCCCCCTATGTCCCTCCTTTGACCCTTGGATTGCTGAGGTGCTTCAGTCGCTGCACGAAGAACTTCAACGCCACCTACAGGGGGCGGCTCGAAGGGGGGAGCAGAAAGCCAAGGACGCCTACCTCGATGCTCATGCTTCATTATGGACTTTACTTGGAGGCCTAGGGGACTTAGTAAGTCGGTTGTAAGTAGGGTTATAATTGCGGTAACTCCACTTAGGGTACTTATAACTCTACTTCTGACCCACTTACCAAGTCCCCTGGGCCTCTAAGTAGGGCATAGGTCTTAGGTTCCTTGGCGTTTCGGATTTAGGGTTCAGCAACTTCCTGTCTCCTGGACTGACGCAAAAGGTAAATTTAGGTTTTGGTGTAAAGGTCTTAAACTAGGATGCCCAGTAGTACCCTTATTCCCTTTTTGTAGTCCTAGGTTCCTTATAAAGTCACCCAATACCAAAAAGAGAGGCCTTTTTATTCTTAGGTTACTGGGTATCCTAGTAAAGGTATTAAACGGCTCATTGAACGACAACGGCCAATATCCGGATTGCATTAGCAAACTCGCACGCGAGTTTGCAGATTGCATATGCACACTTGCGCCTGTTTGTAACTCCCTTCATGTGTCGCACCCTCCATCACAATGTCAGGTAGAGCCCAAGGATTCTGGGAATTTAGGGTCTATGTCTAAGGAGTGGTTTGGTGTTGGATTGTCAGATTATGCGTGTGGATTTTATTTTCTGAAACTATAAAACCAGAATGTTTCAGCTACAGACTCCTCATAGAACCCTATAATCCCTTGCATAAACGCGTGCAGCAGATAAATGGGTGGTTGTCAAAATTATGGTCCCCTTTTGGGTGGGTCCTTAGTATAATACGGCACCAAATATCAAAAAGGGACCATAATTTTCATAACTGCCCATATAGCAGACGCCAAAGTCAGCCCAGGATGCCCAAAGCGCCGCCGATCCCTGCCCGAGCCTTTGCGCGCGCTCTGCGAACGACCTCGCCGAGTTCCTTTCAGATCTGGGAACCCGGGCTTCGTACTGTTTTGGGTTTACCTGGACCCTAAGGAACCTACCCTTTTTAGGGTTCCCTAATATGATTTCTGAATATCAGTCCTGAAAAATGTAGGTTATTTGGGGGTTAAGGTAATATTCTAGGACCTGGAGTAGGCCCTTATTCCCTTTTTTAGGGTTCAGGTCCCCTTCTAAGCCCCTTTATAAACCAAAAAGGGCACCCTTTTTGTTCCTATGTTACTCTTGGGTCTAGTATTTGTAGGATTTGTAGGGGTTTAGAGTCTGGGTTTAGGTTTATGGGCTCCGGGGTATACAGTTCGGGGTTGAGGATGTAGGGTTTAGGGTTCGGGCTTGAAGGCCATGATTTTAGGGTTTGGGGTTAGGGTTTTCGTCTTAGGCTTTCGGACGCTCATTGTCCATTGCCCATCGCGTTTACAATGGTTTTATGTGGGCTCTGCACAGTAAGGGTTCTAGGAGGATTTGGGTTTTGTAGGCAGGGGCTCCTGCAAGCGCCTTACATGGGTCATTTTATCGGTTAAGTTACAGATCGGCGCTACAAGTCCTGTAGATGGGATCTACAAGGTTTTATGTGGGTTCTTCTGGGGTTGTCTCAGTTCTCTACATGCAACCTTTAAACTGTTGTTACTGTGATGTATGCGCTTTTCGGGTTTATAGTTTCAGGTAGAGTTTCAGAGAACGGAGGAGCCCACAAACTTGGGGAATCCTCTTTCCAAGGACCCCTACCTTAACCCACCAAAACCTACTTGTTTGTAGGGTCCCTATAAATCCCAGACTTGGCTTTATAAGAACCTACAAGAAAGTAGGTTATGGCAGTATGAGGTATAACTTGAGCGATTCCCTTATAAGAACCCTCCTACCCTACCACACTATCAACTCCTTGTCGTCTGAACGCGTTGTCTGTGGACTGGACAGCCCAGGAACGCATGCCTTGAGCCAGATGGAGGGAGACTGGGATTTATGGCTCGAGGGAATCATTAGAGGGATAGGATTCTCTTCGAGGATAGATTTGTGAGTTCGGGGTTCAGTTCGAGTGTTTGGATCTCAAGATGACGGGTTTAATATAGGGGCCTTAACAATTCGAACAGGTTTTTGGGCCGTTTATACGAAAATGTAATAAGGAACCCCCAAAAAAGAGTTGATAATTATTATGTAGGCCTCGATATTGTGGGCTCTTGCAGCTTTCGTGGCCAAGGCATGCAAAGCTGGAAGCAAGGGCGCCTTCGCGCCAAGGGCGACGCGCTGATGTTTCTTGCTTCTGCAACAATGAGCCTACAAACCTCTAGTTTCTGATGGTTCTCGTGGTTGTAATATTCAATTTAATTCCAAAGTATTTGTATAGTAGGGCTGCGCGTCGCGTTGTACTCAAATCTCAACCCTTTGTTTCCCGGCATGGAACTGGGACAGTAAGGTTCAGCGTCTCCGAGGCAGCAGCGGCCAGCACACAGCGGCATTGCGCCCGCGGGGACTCCATCAAAACCATCGTTGCGAAGATGCACAATGACGAGAGGCAAATAAGCCCTGCTTTTTAAACGGAAGTTGCAGGGAAAGCCTCCGAAAAGGGATACGCTAGCCCAAGGTAGAACCAGCTCACATTTTCTATTTGGGGCTCCAAATTCTGATGATGACAATCGGAGCAACTTGCCGTACTATCATTTGCTACAGTGGCTATTTGGTGCAAGCAGGGCTCGACACGCCTAAATGTGCATCGAGCTGGATGTTCAATACCGAACGTCCTAAAAACCCAGAACACTTGATTCTGCCATCTATAAGCTTCAGCCCGCAAGCTCTAACCTGAAACCCGCTCATAGCCGAAATGGTCTACTGCACGAGCTAACAAAGGAATCAGTCCGAATCAGACAAGAGCCTGCGCTGCTCTTTTTCTGTTTCAGACCCAGAGTTCATAGGGGGCCCACCCGTAGTGTCCAATGCATCGGTGCAAAGGTTGAGCGGCAAAGTCGGGCAGCAATCACTGTGTCAGTTACAGCCGTGAATCTACATTCTCTTAGGTGTCAACACCTAATATCGGGGCCTAAATAATTACCAATACTATTGTGGGGGGGGTGCTGTATTACAAATATAGTAAAATGGGCCCAAAACCCTATTCTAATTATTACAGGGTCCCTTTATTAAGCGCATGGTTCAGGGCATTGGGTGTACCTGCAAAACCCTTCAAAGCCTCGAAGGGCTCCAGAGCTGAAGGTGAAGGTCTCACGGTTTAGGGTTTAGGGTTTAGGGTTTAGGGTTTAGGGTTTAGGGTTTAGGGTTTAGGGTTTAGGGTTTAGGGTTTAGGGGGACTTCTAACTATTAGGGTTGTTGTTGCCTAAACCCCTCGGAGGAAGTCTAACTAGTACTATTCGGGGTTAGGGTTTTTTGACCTAAAATCCTTGGAGGACTTCTAACTAGTACTATTAGAGTTTAAGGATTTTGTCGACCTAAACCCATTGGAGGAATTCTAGCTAGTAGGGAACCCGAAACCCTAAACCTAAATCCCACATCTCAGCGCCTACAATCCTCAGCCCCCGTCGTCTCCACTCTCAGAAAATACAGTATATGACATATAACATACAGTAGAGCAGAGCATACTATATAGTTGATAGCATGTTTATAACAGGTCACATACGAACTACGAAACATGCAATACACCATATGTAATATGTGGGCATCCCAGGTTGAGGCAGTGAAGTCCGACATGGGCAAGGAAGCCGCTCAAGCAACTCAGCTGCTTCTTTAGGTTGCAGGTCTATGTCTGCGGGGGGGTTCGAGCTAAACCCTAAACCTTCCCCCCTAAACCCTAAACTGGCTCAGCAGTTTCAGGTGTCAGGTTTAGAGATTTCAGCTGCCATATCCTGATTTGTCAAAGTGCTCGAAACCCTAGTGCGCTAGCACCTGCAAAGCCTCCCAAATCAAAAACCTTAGCCCGGTCATGTCCAATCGCCAAGTGCCTCTCTAGTTGTCGCGGAGGAAACCTTCTGCACTCTCGAGACAGTAGACTCGTTACATACCCAAAAGCGTTCACAAACCAAAGCCGGAAACCCTAAACCCTAAACCCCCATGTCCAGGCGAAGCGCGATTGGCAATCGCACCTGGAGGTGATGTGGGTACTATAGGGGCCTCAATAATTACAAAATACTATTTCGAGGTTCCTTATTATAATTAAATGGGCCCCAAAACCGTATTCTAATTATCCAGGCCCCGACATTACAGATGATCCGGTGCAGTTCAGGGTTTGGGTTGAAGTTAACAAGAAAATTGGACAGCCCACCTCTTCTCTTCACTTCCTCGATCTCGCAGGGTGTAGTACTGTTAGGGTCGGCAGGCTGGTCTGATATGTTTAGTTGCCCGCCAGAGTACGTCAACCCAGGGCTCCCAAATTTGGGTAATGAAAGCCCTGGTGCAAGCAAGATGGATGTCAGTTGGCTTCACTTACCTTTGGTTAGTAGGGAATGGAAGAATGGTAGTAATAGTAGCTATAGTTGTACCCCATTCCACCATTCCCTACTAACCAAAGGTAAGTTCAGCCACAGTTCCTCGCCACATCGGCCCTGCCAGCATTCCGCAAAGGGCAGACTGAGAGCGGTTGCGTCCCGAATTTGTATGGGTGGTTATCACAATTAGGGCCCCTTTTTTGGGGTCCGTAGTATACTGCGGCACCTAATATTTAGGGTGCCCCAAAAGGGATCCTAATTTTGACAACCACCCATTTGTATGGTTTGAAATGATAGCTGTTTCTTCTTTCCTGTCGCCTTCTCTTGTTCCAAAATTGCGACTGCAATAACGACGGTTCTGTCGATTTAAAGACGACTAGTGTCGCTCCTCGGCGCATGTGCGTCCGTTGGTTCGTCATTGGTTGGCACATGGGAAATATTTGCCGTGATGTTAAGGAAGGATAAGCTGATAGCAGGCGCTTCTCTAAAAGCTTTTCCGCGAGAGCCTGTCTTGTGAACATCCATAACTAGCTCCTACCGGGTAAACATCAACCACCTCCGCGACCACCGCCAGCAGCAACTGTGACAGCGACAGCAGCCGCAGCAGCAGTAGCTACTGCTTCTACTGGAGCATGTATTTGGACAACCTGACGACTGTTGCAGTCGCACTCTTCTTTTGTTCAAGCTTGTCTTCGCTACGTTGCTTGCATTTGTTTTTCTTTCGTGCTGCAGCTGCTACAGTCCGTCGTAGCCTATGCCTTTCAAGGGATTGCCTGCTATTTGTGCCGGGGGCCACGCACCGTTACGTTGTTGCTACGGATCGCATGCCGTCGCATGCATTCTTCACCCTATCGATACGATCATAGCTGCAGCCGTCACGAAGCAAATTCAGTACAACTGCGCGGCAATGTCAGGCTTTGGTGACGGCCAACGAGACTGGCATCACTTCCCGGGACTGAATTCTCTCAAGTTTTATCACCAGGAAGAGGCTGCAAATATAGGCTTTGCAATGTGAGTTGTTCAGGACCAGCAAAAGGCTTTGTCCTGGTTCGACAAAGACTTCCTTGGACCGCTGGAGGAGCGCAGTGACCGAACAACCAAACTTCCTGCCATCGGAACCTCCTGCCTGAACATGTGGGGGTTTCCGAAAATGGGGGGGCCCTAATATGGTACCCTAAATAGTAGGATCCTTATGATAAGGACCCCAAAATAAGATACCCCTAATTTTCGGAAACTCCCATGTTGTTGGTTGCCAAGTCAGACCTGTCTCGCATGAAGCGTTGAGCCAAAGCTTTTCAGGTTTCCACACACGTTGCATCTACCTGGGGATCCAAAAACCTGCCGTTTTGCGCGTTATGCCCTCTAATTAAGGGGTCATGACCTCCTATGTTGTAAGGTTTGGGGATACAGGTAGCCATAGCAACCCAAAAAACACTGACCTTTGATAAACTGCATTCTGGTATGCAAGAAGACCATGCAGGAATCGCTTGCCTCCTTTCTGGGGCAACGCCACATGCCTTGCTCAGCCACTTGTCCTGAGTGCCGTCAAGATGACGAAGTTCTGCCGATGCAAACGGGATCATACTGCTAGAGCTGATAGTGCCATTAGCATTGGTATCAATGCTACTACTACTGCCCCCGCTCCTGCTCCACCTCAACCCTCCCACACTGCTGCGGCTCTTGCTCCTGCTCCTGCTCCTGCTCCTGTACTACTACTACTACTACTACTCCTCCTCCTACTACTACTACTACTACCACCACGACTACTACTACTACTACTACTACTACTACTACTACTACTACTACTACTACTACTACTACTACTACTACTGCTACCACTACTGCCACTACCACCAGCACTATCACTAGCACCTAGCACCAGCAGTAGTATTAGCACTACCACTAACACTACCACTACCACTGCTTCTGCTGTTGCTGCTACTGCCACTCCTTGCATTGCTGTTTCGAATACGACTGCTATTACTCCGACTTCCGTCCTCTGCTGGTGTGTCCTTGGGACTGTTTTTCAGTTCCCAAAAGATGAGCAAGATCACATTATCGCCACGCTTTCGAACCTCATGTCATGGCTCAGCATTTCGAAGGCTGCAGCAACACAACCCCAAACCCCCGAACCCTAAACCGTACCCAGGCTTCCGACGATGGCATCTCTTCCAAGAATCGCGCAACTGGGCTGTGCTTTGGGATATTTTTTAGTTTCCCTCTTTTCCTTATAAAGGGAACCTATTCATAAATAGTTTTCAAAGAGTTTAAAACACAACCCAGGCAAGCATCCTCTATCGATCTGCGGTGAGACGCCTCTTCCGCGAAGCGAGTATCAAGCTGGCCAGCAAGGTGTCCGAAGATGCCCAGGACCCCCCTTAAACCCTAAACCCGGACCCTTAACCCCGAAGGGACTTAGATACAGAAATCATAGTAAGGAGCCCTGAAAAGGTAGGTAAATGCTCAGGACCTGAACAATATTCTCTTGCGGGCGTTCTACCCGACGTCCGGGCCTGACGGCACGGAAATCCCACAGGGCAGTGATTCGGGGTCGTACCCCAACGGCATCATTCTCCTCGAGGAGGGGGACGAGGTCACTCGAAGTGGTACCGGCCTGGACCTTGCTGAGACGGAAGCCATTCTTGATCCCAGATTGCTTCGTGAACTTTTTGTTTAGAACATCTCTGTTTGAGGGTTTAAGGTTTATGGTGTAGGATCTTTCGTTCAAGTATCTCTCTCTAGCATGTCTTCTTCGTAACAGCCTACAAAGATTGAGAGAACTGTTTGAGAACACGAGCGACCCAGGATCGAGGCTTCGCAGAGCTTCAGCTCTTCAGCGCCGACTTCTTGAGAAAGGGCTGGAAGGGTCCCACAAAGACGATGACGGACAGCAGCTTCTACAAAAACCGACACAAGGAGGACCAAGCCACTCTTCTGCAAAAAACAGGACTGCATGTGCCCTAAACCCTAATTTCCGAAACTTTCAAAGGTTTATCCCCTAAATCCTTCTCCGACTCTGCAAACCCCGTCTTCGAATCAGGTGATCATTTAGGCTTCCGCCCTAGAAAATTGTCTTTCGCTGCTTGCGCCTTGAACCCTGAACGCAAGTTATGCCCTACATCCGTGAAACCTTACCAAAACCTGAACCCTGCAGAATCCTAATCCTATGAAAACAGTAGGACTATCACATACTATAACTGTAGAAAACCGGTTTGAACAACACACACACACAGAAGCTAAGCATAAAACTCGTGTAAGTTCACCTTCAAGCAGCCGGAAACATGTCCCTAAACCATAAACCCTAGCCGAAATCAGGTCTTCCTGGACATGGCCATGATCCGAGCGCAGGAGAATGCGGCGAACCAAGCGATTGCGATGCTGTATGGACGCTGGGCTTTAGGGTTTAGGGGCTGGGCTGGGCATTCGAATTGAGAGTTTAGGGGTTCAGACTTCACGGATGCAACCGATCGCTGGGGGATAGTTTCCAGTTTATACTTAACCCCTATATCGTTGTCATATTATAGGATATGACAAGCATACCCCAACACAGTACTGTAATCATTTAGGCCGCCCAGTCTCCTATAATGGTGCTGTAGGGTTTAAGGTGAATGGTAGCAAGTTTGGGAGATTGTTTGACCAAGTAGCAAGTGACAGTGAGGTCACCTTTGATTTTTCCGGCTCATATTACCGCTCTGCAAGTTTGCAATGTACGCTTAACCTTGTTGGTCAGGCAGCTCAGCAACCAGGCTTCTGGTTTCGGGATAGCTTCGGGTTGTAGGGAGTAGAAGCCCTGAACCCTAAACCCTGAACCTTAAGCCCTAAGCCTTAAACCCTAAGCCCTAAACCTTAAACCCTCAAAGTAGGATAGCTTCTCATGTCTTCCGAGCAAGCTCAGGCTTCAGGCATGGATCGGGGTTCAGGGTTTGGCTGCATCTATGCTACCATTGTGGAATTAGGCCCCCCGAAGCAATCCGTATCAAGGTTTTGGAGACCTACATAATTCCATACTAGTATGTCCGTCTATTATATATGTATACATACATACATACATACATACATACACATTATAGATTTGGGCCTTCATTGCTCAATTATCCAAAGACTCCCAGAACAGTAGACAATGCCAATGAGCCCTCCCTAGTTTCTGGTTTAATTTAGGGTTCGAGGTTCACTTGACGTCAATCGGGCTTGCTTAAGACAGGCTCTTACGTTTCAACGACGCCGCAGCTTAGCCGGTGTTAAGCCAATGAGATGGAACTTCGCCCGTGTTAAGCCTTAAGCCCCTAAACCAAGGAGATGGAAGAAGCCCTTAGACCCCTAAGCCAAGGAGATGGAACTTTGGGGAATCCCTTGTGCCCCGGCGCAACCACATTGGCGAGTGACTTGGATCTTGCCTATGAGCAGGCGCGAAACTCCACCCTTACCCTCGAAGCTCCTACGACTTATTTGCCGCTACTATAAAGAAAGCCGTATAATGTAGCATAGATTATTTCTATAAGGTACAATCGAAGTACGGTTTTAGCATGAGGATAGTCTTAAGGTATACTGTAAGCAGAGCTGAATGAAGCCCCAACTCATACCGACCCCCTTGTGAGCACCTCAGAGAAACCTAGACCATATGCGAACTCCAGACCCAAAATCCAACTCTGCTTGGGCCTCAACCTCAAACCCTAATCCTTAAATCCGAATCTCTAAACCCTAAAGCGTTGACCCTAAACCGTAAACCTATACCCCAATCTCAGTCTCTAACCTCCTAAACTCCAGCTCCCTGGAACAGGCAACGACTCTACGAGATGGAAATATTTTTGGCACCTTCCTTGATGCAGGCAAGTTGCTTGGCAAGCTTTTCCGTGGCAGCAAGGAAGCTGGGCAACACTTCAGGGTGTAGGGATTTAGGGGTTTAGGGTTAAGGGCTTAAAGTTTAGGGGCCCTCGCATGGCTCTTACATAGGGTTTGGGCTTTGAGGTTTCGGTGGAGGCCTGAATGCCCTGAATTCAGCATGGGTTGCAATGGACGTCGGCCTTCTGTTGTCTTGAGGCTGCTAAAAGCTTGTCCGTGAGCGAACTAAATTTACAAGTCAGAGGAGACACATCAGTTCATCACCAATCTGTACGACACCGCATGGTTCTTCAAGCACCTTCTGTCGCTGATCTCCAACCTGCCTATCGTCGGATGGGTTGCGAAGATCTTAGTAGAGCCTGTGAAGATCCTCGAGAAGTTTATCAAGACGAAACTCCTGGGGATTCGAGACAAGCTTAAAGACAAATGGCAAGGCATCTTCAAGGACGCCTTCTTCTACAATGCAAAGGTGGCGAGGTACGTCCGCTATGCTATCGAAGCCATACCCGTCCTGAAGATGCAGGCCTACCCTGCCGCTTAGCTGAAGTGGCACACTTTAGATTTCTTCGAGTGTTGGATTTAGGGCTCAAGCCTCAAGCCTGGCCCAGGGTGAGCTGGACAACCAAGGCGAACAAGGCTGCTGAATTGGTTGGTCTAGCAATGGGTGTATGTGTGTGGCTGCCGGATTTGACGACCATCGCCAACAATGCCATGAAGGGGTTGGTCGCCGCTGATCAAATGGCAGGCATAGCCACGGACTTCGTTAGGGACATCATAAACTGGGTCGAAGGCTTAGTCCCGGAATCTGTGATCACGAAGATGGCGCAAGTGAACAACTTCTTCGATGTCATCATGACGCCGACAAGGGGCTTCAAGGTTGCCCTCTTTGACAACCACAAAGTATGTATCTCGTGATGCAACTTGCAACTTTTTTTGGGGGGCCACATATAATCCCGAAATATCCCCAGAGGTTCACCTCGAGTTCCCCTGGGAAACTGCACAATGAAGGTATCATCTTCAAGTGTTTCGAGTTCTCTTTGCGTGACCTCCTGGCAGCTCTTACGGGGTTTCTCGAGAAGATCTTCAACTTTGTCTTAAGTCCCTTCCGGCCGATCGTGGATGCAGTGGCCGCCCCCATCAAGAAGCTCTTCGACCCTATTATAAAAATGCTGCCCACCCCCGCGATCTTCTTTGACAAGGTGAAGGAAATCCACAAAGATGACAAGAGCCTTTCAAGCTTTGTCGGCGAGGCCGGGACGACCAAACAGCAGATTAGGGTGCCATACACCCCGAACCCCAAGCCTTAAACTTGGAATTCATACAAGGCTGAAATGCCCCGCCTCTTAGAATCCACAACGTGCGACATGCACGTGCCCGACAGAACGAGACGTCAGCCTCTGTACCGTATGTTTATTTTTCAGCCTGAATCCCTGCACCCCAACCCAGAGGCTCCACATATACTACCATTATGGAGTTAGGTCCTTCAAAAACAAAATAAGAATGGTCTGTTTGGACCTGCTTCCACAATGGTAGCACATATGGAGCCTCCAGGTAAACCTTGAATCCCTGAACCCTAAACTACCGTCTCTTTAGGAACTAGTGTTTATGTTTGTTCATGATTCATGTCAAACCCAAGGGAAGATTAACCATAGTCTTTTTATTATGGTTCTAAGGGGGGGGTATAGTAAACCCTGAAGTCCCTGAACCCTAAACCCTAAACTCCGGAACCCTAAACCCTAAACCCTGGATCCCTTTCCTGGATCCCTAACCCCTAAACTGGGTTCTTGTTAAGGAACTTAATTTAAGTTACCATAATAAGGAAACCCTATTATTTACGATAGATCCCTATTATGGTAACTTAAATTAAGTTCCTTAACAAGAACCCAGTAAACCCCGAATCCCTGAACTCCAGAAGTCGAAGCCCAGCTCGAACCCGACAGGCTTTCTCCGAGAACTCGGCCACCACCTTCCTGGGACAAATTGAGACCTGGACTTTAGAGAAAGGGCCCCCCGCGCTGTAATAGTGACTATAAGGATTATATTCGGGTGCTATTATATTCCTATTATGCCACTATTACAGGGCGGGGGCCCCTTCTAACCTGGACTTGTTTCAACAGCTGTGAAAGGTGGATGTGCTGGTAGTGAGTGTGATCTGGGTATCATTCGCATACCTATCCTAAACCTTAGACTTTGAGCCTTAAAGCCTTTTGCTCTAAATCTGGAACTCTGCACCTCGCAGTGCAGTGGCACCGTATCTTACTACAAATCAGCAGTGTAGAAGCCTGTGACGTGCAATGCTATTCCCTTACTGCTCCTGGTTTTAAACAAGCATACCAGCATAATTACCCCATTGAAATTAGCAATGGCCCAATATTGGGTAAGAAGGGAAATTCTGGGCTTGCATGATCCTGCACATGCTAAGAAGCTCAGCTTGTGTCGTGCCTGGGTACTTCTAACGTCTTAGTACAACACAGACACTCAATTATCCGACCTAAGCTCGAAACCCTAACAAGCCCTGAACCGTAAGCGCTTTTATATACCCTCAACACTAATAAACCCTAAACCCTCAGCCGGTTTATATTCCTTAAGCCCTACCAAACCCCGAATCCTATAAGCCCTTGTAGATACCCTAAGCTATAAGATCAGCCGAGGAGAAGGCTTACGAGTTGACAAAAGAGCAGGCAGGATTCTGCTTCTCCTACGGAACTGAGCGGCCACGCTGAAGAGCATAGGATTGATTCGGCTTGCTGTTTAGGGTTTAGGGTTGTAGCCTGGATCATGGTAGCATACGGCTGCATCGTAAGTGTGATGTGAACTCATGTTTTACAAGTGTTGGTGTAGGTCACGCTTGCAGCGCATCAGCTACCGCTCATTAGCCAGAGAAGCTGTTTGTGCATGTAGTGGCTACGCGAAGCAGCCAAGGCTTCCGGAGGCCCGAGCGATCTGCAAGGATATCACCGAGCGCTATGGAGAGGTCTCTTCGCTTAGTTGAGTGTTTACCTGGACCCTAAGGAACCTGCCTTTTTAGGGCTCCCATAATATGATTTCTTTATATCAGTCCTAAAAATGTAGGTTACTTGGGGTTAAGGTAAGCAATGAATTAAGATGTCTCGCTGTATATACGTAAACCAGTTTGAACTTACACCTGGAAGCTCATGTCAGTTGGTAGTTGGTGAGTCGAAAACTTAATTCCGCTGTTTTTGTTCCCTTAAATCTGAAAGCTTAGCTTTTTGGTGGGCGTTTGTACTTGGTAGCCTGGTAGCCCAGGTCAGCAATCCGTTCGAATGCCAGAAGTTGTGCCAAAGCGCCTGCGGGCGCTGCGTCCGTTGGTCTTTCGTCATCACCAACGAAGAGCGGAAGCGTGGAAGATGCCGCTTTACCAGGAACGATGGCTTCTATGAGATCAAGAGCCCCTCCTCGGTGAGTGGACCGAAGTCATGTGGAGACATCACCAAGTATCTGCGGGGCGGAGTAGTTAGCTTTTTTTTGTTGGTGGAGGGGATAAGCGAGTCATTCTTAATGAGGCTTTTGGCTAATTTCTTCACTGTAGGAAGCTGAGCAAGTAAGGTATCAGCCAGACACTTGGCAAGAACACTCTCAACCCAAACTTTGCAAAGACATGGGAGCTTTTCCGGAGATGAAAGATCCAGAGACTTGCAAGAAGGCGTGCTTTGTGGATGCAGGCCCGGGTTGGATGAAGGTTTGGAGTTCATCCTAAGACCCTAAGCCGTCATAGTACCCTTGTAGAACCCCACATTGAGCCTTAGACCCTAAACCCCTAAATCCAAAAAATTGTCGGCTCTCTGGTTCAGGGCATAGGCCTGCGGCAACTGTCCAAATGGCCCGGGCTGTTGCTTTACACGAGCTCCTTGAAAGGTTGGCGTTCCACGCAAGTCGGTCTATAAGCGCTACTAGCTACTAGGTTGCTCTAAGGGCTACTACAAGTGCTGCTTCTGTATGGGCCAAACATTGTCTGTGACATGAACTGCCCATCCACTGCAGCTGATCCTGAGCGTACGGGCCATAAAGTTAGAACCCGAAATAGTGATCCTTACACTACAGGCCACACAGTTAGAATCCGAAAAGAGGGACCTGCTTCCCCGAAACCTTGGTCTGTTCCTGTCAGATTGCAAAGTGGCGCAGATGTCCGGCGGCATTTGCTGGACCGGAATCGGCAAGGACACCCCAAAGCCATAATCTCGAAAGCCCCCTAAACCCTAAACCCTAAACCCTAAACCCTAAACCCAAAGCCATAATCTCGAAAGCCCCAAAACCCAGCAGCCCTCGCGTTCTCCGACACCTGAAGCCCTAAACTCCAGCACCCTTGGCCCCAAACCCCCACAGCCCTTGATTCAAGCCCTGCACTCGTAGCAACCCCTAGAGAACCCAGAGAGCCAAATACCCCTTAATTAAGGAATACGCCTCAAATCATAGTATTAGGGCCTCTATAAATTAAGGTATCTTCCTTAATTAAGGGATGTTGGGATCTCTAAGAACCCTTCCGGAACCCTTCCAAAAAGCAACAAACGCCCTTAACGGGGACCCTACCCTATAATGGGCTATGTAATGGGTATATAATAGCTATATGAAGGGTGTATACCTAGGGGTCCTTACTAAGGGTCCCTCCTTTTACCCTTGGAGAATAATCCTAAACCCTAAACCCTACACCCAAGCCCCATATAGACCCGGATGGCTTCAGGTGAAGAATCCTAAACCCTAAAACCCAAAATCCAAGCCCTTCCAAAAAACAGCAAACGCCAGGACACCTGCAGCAAAGGCCCGACCAGCATGTCTCTACACAAAACGAGAACTGCAGCTCGGTTTAGGGTTTAGGGGGCAGGGAATGGAGGAATGGGGTACAATTATAAATACTGTTACTACCATTCTCCCATTCCCTGCTAACCAAAGGCTGCGCAAGGGCGGGTGTGGGATTTCATAGGGTTTAGGGATGTAGGATTTACGGATTTAGGGTTTGGGGATTTAGGTTTAGAATTTCATAGGGTTTATAGGATTTACGGCTTAGGGGTTGGGGGCTCGGGTTCCGTATTTCGGGTTTTGGGATTCAGGGGTTAGGGCTCCGGATTAAAAAGAGGCTTCGCTCTCGCGTGTGGAATGCCGACTGCTTTGGATGCTGAGTACCCAGAGCCCCGCGAGGATCTAGAAAGTAGATCCCCTAATTAATTTGCGGCCCTATACTATACTTTATAGGAACCCCCATTAAGGGATCTACTTTTTGGATCCTCCGGGATGCTGAGTAACTGCGCTCCCAGCCCCAAGCCGAGCCAAAGAACAAGGCAAATCCCCGAACCTCAAGCTCACAAAGCCTGCCTGCAGTCTGCCCAGAGACTCTACTATGATTTAATTAAGGAATATAACTTAAATGATAGTAGGATCCTCCACTATCACTTAACGAAGGAATATTTTGTAATTCACATTTGGGATCCTACTATGAGGTATATTCCTTAATTCACGGATATTGGAGTCTCTGGGTTACCCCTCAACCCGTATTCCATCTTTCTCCCCAGCTGGAAGTAGCCGAAACTGGTCCACATCTGCTTCGTAACCTCTCAGCTAAGGCAAAAGAAGCGCTCCAGACAAGGTCGGCCCGGCTCGGGGTTGATAGGGTTTACCCATAGGCCCAGATAGTAGTTCTGTTTTGGGGGTTCCTATGTAGAATCCTATAAGGTAATCCCAAAAAGGAACTACTATGGGGACTTAGGGGTGCCTGTATGGTACCTCATTTTGGGATCCTTGTGACAAGGATCCGACTGTTTGGGGTACGATATTAGGGTCCCCTATTTTCGGAAACTCCCATATACTTGTGCTTCTGCAGCAATGCAGACCCGTGATTCAAACAACACACCCCCTTTCCCTATAACTTTAGTACCGGTATCCCTGGCTATGGCCTGTAAAGACATGGGGGACCCTAAGGGTCCAAGTATCCAAATAGTAGGGCTTCAAGGTCCAAAAACCATTCAGAGTATGGATTTTGTGACTTAAAACCCTACTATTTGGGTACTTGGACCCTTTGGGGGACAGTGATCAGGGGTCTAAATCATACCAGACACGAGCCCCCAGACTCTGACCGGACGCTAACCCGAACAGTTTAGGGTTTATAGGGTTTAGGGTTTAGGGCTAAATCTAAGGTTAGAAGAATGGGCCCCTAGTATGGACCCTTAGGCTTTTTTGGGGAGCTCTAAGCACCCTAACTTAAGAGTCTATCTGGGGTATATAGTAGGTATTTAGGGATCAGGGTTCTATGGTTTCAACCGTTGACTAAACCCTTGTGTCCTAAACCCTTATTCAGGTCTTTGCGGGCCAGGTCTGTGGTGGGGTGTCGGAGGGTGCTTCCCCGCAACCCATGAGTTACCATTCTCGGTCTCATGGGTTCAATGCATATCTACTTTTATAAGGGTTACTCTAAGGGCTACACGTTTGAAAGAGTTTCTCGACGGGCTACTATATACACTTTTGTAAGGGTTACCCTAACGGCTACTACAAGGGTTCTTGCTGCATTGAACCCCTCGTCGTTTAGTTGGATGGCAACTCGATTTGTTGGCTTCGTGCTTACCCTGTAAAGGACATAGCCGTCCCTAAGCCCGAAACATTGTAAGCTGAAAACCCTTCGCAAGCCTATCTTTTCCGTTTCCCAGCCCGAAACCCTGAACGCTTGCCCGAAACCCAGCGGAGAGAGGATCCGAACCTGGATCAACTTCCAGGTGCAATGCCGCCGGCGGTGTGCAGAGGGCCAAAGACTCGAAGATGGCGCTGTGCCCGCAACTGGGTTGAAATCGAGCGTCGGGTTTCAGCACCTGCAAGTTAATCTGAGGCGAAATAATTACCAATACCATTGTGCGGGTTCTTTAATATGGTTATGGTACAATAGGCCCCATAACTTCTTTATACGAGGACGATACAAGAAGATATTGGCAGTTCTAGTTGGCCCGAACGCTGCTAATAGCTTGGCGTGGATTCCCCCGGTAAACTCTCAGCCCTTATGAGAACTGAAAGTCTTGCGTTCCAAACCCCTGCGCCGTGCTAGACTTTACACCCATAAAATCCCATAAACATCCCATGAGCTAGAATCGCAATGCCTACTAGACGCTGAACCCAGGAAACCAAGAAAGAGAATCAAAACCTCAAACCCTCAAACCCCCCAAACCTAAAGCCCTAAGCTCTTAAACCCCCCGAATCCTAAACCCCAAAGGGCCACACCGTTTCCTGGCCTTTTTTGGCCTCTCAGGACCCTTTCAGGCGACTGGAAAAAGGAGCTCAAAAAAAAACTAAAGCCTTATAACCCGAATTCAATTCTTCCGTGCCACTTGCAATCGGCCCAAAGCCCCAAACCCGGAACTTCGAAGCCCCGTGGTGCCTGCAAGATTACGGGTGCTGTGACAATTCTCAGCACTAACCAAGAGGGTTCATATACAGTACTATTATGGAATTAGGTCCCCAAAACCATAATGGGCATGGTCTTTCAGGGCCTAATTCCTTAATAGTAGTGTATGTGGATTTCACCATGATGTCGATGGAGACGCTGAAGAAGGAGAGGATGATGTTGATAATGATGGTGCTGATGATGACGTTGCTGAGGATGATCAAGTACTATTCCTGCTACTAGATTACTCCGTGTGTCGTGCTCTTAGAGGCCCAGGGGACTTAGTAAGTAGGTTATAATTAGAGTTGTAAGTACCTAAATGGAGTTTCCCCAATAATAACTCACTTTTCACCGACTTACTAAGTCCCCTGGGCCTCCAAGTATAGTACCCTTATAGAAACTCCATAGAAACCCATACATCCCTAAAGGGACCCTGGCTAGGCGAGACGTGGAGGATTGCGATGTCTGGGCTCTCGAAGAGGCCACAAAGCATGTGCATGGATCCGGCTCGGAGGTCTTCCAGGACCCATGGTTTAGGGTTGACTCAAATCCTGAATAGCCTACCTCTTTAGGGTTCCTCGTTATGAATTTTAGAAAAAAGTCTCCAAAAAGGTAGGTTATTCCGGGTCAAGGTAGGGGTTAGTGGTTTAGGGTGTTCTGTTCAGGGGTTGAGGGTGTAGGGTTTAGGGTTTGGAGTTTAATATCACGGTTTGCGGGGGTGTAGGTTTAGGGGTTTTGGGGTTCGGGTCTTGGGGTTTGGGGTTCGGACTCTTTAGAGTTGATCATGGCACAACCTGTGAAGCATCTTCGGACAATCGGCAGGCCACACCCTCAGGTGCGACTCCCAATACAACTAAAGCAACTGAGCATGTGTGGGCCGTCGTCGCGGCAGGGCAGCCCCCTAAACTCGTGAGGAAGCCATGGCATTGACGGGAACCTCGTGGAATCAGTTCACCTGCGAACTCTTGGACATCGATGTGGACTGTCCCGACGTGAACAAGGGAGACAAGGTCGGCAAACATGATGTAACTAGGTCTGGTTCTTCCAAGAGACTTTGCTCCATATGGGTTGTATCGGTTTGGGATGTGTTTGCAAACATGACGCCTGTGCCGATGACATGCAGATTGCATCTCGACCATGCACTTCCACTAGCAGGCTGCATAGCGTTGGCAGCCTTAACCTGGTTGAATAACAAATAATCGATTCTTTACAATAGATATGATATACAGAAGTAGTCATGTTCCTACGGTACATAATCTACCTTACATCATCATTGGCAACAGACTATTTATACACATAGATGTAGAGTCTATTGTACGTAGTATATCGCATATAAGATGTAGCAGATAGTCTGTTGTCTATTGTGTATAGTCTGTAGTATAGAGTATGTACTTAGCAATTTAGCATGTATACATATACATATATATATATATATAGATACGAAACATGTACAATACAGTAATTTACCACAAGTATTTTATAATATGTGACACATATACATTACATTACAACAAAAAGTGTTTTTTTATCGTGCACAATTCAAGTGTTTAATGTATATATTTATATAGATATACGTAGAATGTAGAATGTATAGGGTGGGCGAGGGAAAGGTTCCGCAAAAGTCGATCGTGCACCTCCAGCATTGATCACCGCCACAGGTGGACAATTTCGACATTTGCAAAGAACAAGGCGACACTTTGTACACGGAGGAAGCTGGGCTTTGGAGTACCATACTTTAATATGCTTTTTGGGACCTGTTACTTGAATCCTAAACCCTAAACCCCTAAACTCTAAACCCTAAACCCATTCATCAAAGCCCAGGAAAAGATCCAGGAACTGGCCGATTCGGAGGTGGTGGAGCAACTCTCCAAGTGTCGGGCGGGGGCTGGTGCGGTTCTGGAGAAGCGCCTCCGACTTATCTGGGGCATGCGGAAAACGAGGCAGTACCTTATGCCTTAACCATGAATAACCTGCCTTTTTTGGGTTCCCTATTATGATTTCCTTATATAAGTCCTTAAACAGGTAGGTCATTCGGGGTTAAGGTGTGTTACATGGGTCGTAATATTTAGTAAAGTTATCCCCTTGTAGTCCGAATCTTAACGGTATTATTTGGGATCGAAGGGCTTATTGGCCTGTGAAAGAATAGCTTACCTTCACAACGGCTACAGTTGTGGTTCCTTTTAGTTTGGGGTTTAGGGTTTGTGGATTGGGGCCTGCAGCTTGGGGTCGCGTGATTGAGGAGTGATTGGACCAAGGGCGGGACAATCATGACATACCTTGGCTTGCCACGAGCATTTGCGACCGGAAGCCCGAAACGAACCAAACTGGGATTCCAGTATCACCAGTACGGGAGTTTGCGAAAATAGGGATAATATAGTACCCAAAATAGTCGGATCCTTATTACAAGGACTGCAAGATAAGGTACCCGTCATTGTCGGAAACCCCCGTATCACCCCAAACCCGAAAATCCAAAGCTGCGCCGGATCCCAGGAACTGCAAGCTAGCAGGAAACTTGGCCCACGCTAGGCATCCTGTCACTTTTTGTGTGGTTTGGGTTTCCTTAGCCCATTAAAAGGATCCTGTTTCTTATAACCCCTAAACCCCAAACCCCTAAACCCTAAACCTAAGATGGCCCCAGGAAAGATGACCGGGAAGGTCGTGAAGAAGTTTGGAGACCTCTGGAGGAAGATGTATTGCCCCAACAAGCAGCGGCTTGGAGATCTCTGAGTTGCGTACTGTAGGGGCCTGAACATCTACTTTGGGGGTTCCTTATGATAAGTACAGTATCATGGGCCCCAAAAGCCTATTCTAATTACTAGGGCCCCTATATTAGGTTTAGGGTTTATAGGGTTTGTAGCTTTGAGGGTTTAGGGGTTCAGGGTTTAGGGATTTAGGGTTTGTAGGGTTGAGGGTTTAGGGTTGAGGGTTGCTTAGTGCTCTGTTGTGGAAGGCCCCGCGGGGGTTTTGAGTGTCTTAGGAAGAGACCCGAAGGTTTGATGGGCCAGCCTCTAGGGTTTAGGATTAGGTAGTATTATTAGGGAGACCCCTTAAAGGGTACCCCTTCTGAACCCTACTTCTGCATGGCTCTCTTAAAAGGGGCCTTATTGAGAGGGTCTATATCCCCGAGGGTCCCCCTAATCCTAACTCCCAAGGATGTAGGGGTTGGGTTTAAGTAAGGTTGTCTGACGTCGAGAAATGCGATTGGCTGATCGACCGCCTCGGTACCTTCCAGGGTGCAACAAAGACAACCAGCATCCTGGCCGTGGAGATTGCAAACTGTCCATGTTCTCTGGTGTGTTGCGCCGGCCCACTTTCAAACTGAGTTTGCATTTTGTCTAGACCCTAAACCCTAACCCCCCCCCCCACAAAAAAAAAAAAACAAACAAACACAACACCTACACCCCAAAACGACCCCGCGCCCAAGGTGCCTTGCGGGCAGAGATTGTTGCCTCCTATGTTCCGTCAGAGCAGTGCGCCAAGGCTGGTCTAAGTCTCGAAGGCAAAACTATTTACCTTTGGTTAGTAGGGAATGGAAGAAATGTAGTACAAGTAATTATAACTGTACCCCATTCCTCCATTTGCTACGAACCAAAGGTAAGACTAGTACTGTAAGGATATTACGGGCTTATAATGGTTTTATGTGAGGGTACTATAAGGATTTTCTAAGGGTTCTATTTGGGTGCTATCGAGGTTCTATGAGGGTTCCTAGTAGTAGAGTAGGTAACCTTTAACCTGTTTGTGGTACTCTACTCCCTATATAATCCCAGTATACTCCCAAAGGTTAACCCTTAGTTCCACAGGATACTTGACAAGAAGGCAAAAGCTGACAGAACCCCTCGGCGGTTTTAGAGCTAAGAATTTGGAGTTTGGTGACGGAGTTCTAAATCCGCTGAGCCTAAACGGGACTGAGACAAAAAAGGGAAGCAGAAGCCGGCAGGGTTTAGCATCTGGGTCGACCAGTAGACTGTAAAGCAACCTTTATAGTAACCTCACATTCACTCGTGTAGCAATCCCTGCAGAAACCCTTGTAGCAACCCTTATAGACACTGTTGAGCAAATCCTTATAGACCCTGGACTCACGCAGGCTGCCGGTGATCAGTGGCTATGTGAGCTCAAGTTTCTCAACGAAGGAGGTGGCGAAACGAAGCAGATGGATCTGACAAACCAGATCCAGCTGCAAAACATGTACCAGGCAAGTGTTCGGCCTAATCTTTGCAGTAAGTCAAGCAGCTCTAACATCAATCAGTTTGTGGGTGATGGTCACAAGAATGACGGCTGCCAGCACGCTTAACACACCAGACAGAACCATCCACCAACACTTACGATCATCATCAGGCAGGTTAAGCACCTGCACCAACATGAGCATCTCCACCATGTCAGTCGTCGTCGTCGTCGTGGTAGTCGTAGTCCTAGTGGTAGTCGTCGTCAGAGTAGTAGTAGTAGTAGTAGTAGTAGTAGTAGTAGTAGTAGTAGTAGTAGTAGTAGTAGTAGTAGTAGTAGTAGTAGTAGTAGTAGTAGTAGTAGTAGTAGTAGTAGTTAGTAGTAGTAGTAGTAGTAGTAGTAGTAGTAGTAGTAGTAGTAGTAGTAAGTAGTAGTAAGTAGTAAAGTAGTAAAGTAGTAAAGTAGTAAAGTAGTAAAGTAGTAAAGTAGTAAAGTAGTAGTTGTAGTAGTAGGGGTAGTAGTAGTGGTAGTAGTAGTGGTAGTAGTAGTGGTAGTAGTAGTAGTAGTAGTAGTAGTAGTAGTAGTAGTAGTAGTAGTAGTGGTAGTAGTAGTAGTAGTAGTAGTGGTGGTAGTGGTGGTAGTGGTGGCAGTGGTGGTGGTGGTAGTAGTAGTAGTAGCAGCAGCAGTAGTAGTAGTAGCAGTAATTCAGTAATCGTAGTAGAATACTACAGCAGCTTGGCGAAGGAACATCAGGTACAGGAGGACTAAGAGTACTCGTCTTCGCCACATGCAAGACCACAGCTGCCAGGCGAAGCAATTCGACATGCTGGCCGCCGAAAACCAGAAGCTGGGTTCTTGTACAGGAACTTAGTTTAACTTCGCGTAATAGGCAACTACAGTACGTGATATGGCACCTTGCTTTTGGCCTCTTCGCATACACTGCCTGCCTTAAAACCCTACAAGATACCTCCAAAATGTTCATAAAATCGCTGGAACCTCATGAACCCTAAGTCCCCAACAAGAGCTCAGGAAGGTTCAGGGAGAGTTGGCCGAGATCCAGAGCATGATGGACGAGGGCTTTGCCAAAACGCAGGAGCATCCTCCGGTCTGCGCTACAGGGTTTATCAAAGGGGAAAAGGAGGGACACTGAATGGGGACTCCTACCCTATAATGGGGTATATAATGGCTATATTAAGGGTAGATAAACCTAGGGGTCCTTATAAAGGGTCCCTCCTTTTACCCTTGGATTTAGGAAGTTTAGGGCTTCCAGGATTTGTAAGTTTAGGGCGACGGGGTTGTGGATTTAGGGTTGTGGGTACATACAGGGTTTCGGGTACGGGGTTTCGGATATTGGGCACGGCATTCTGGGGTGCTGAAACGCAGGAGCAGCTCTTCGCTATGGATGCGGCTGCTGCCAACCGCACTGGCGAGCAGACCAAGCAGATCTTCGAGAAGATCGATGCATCTGAGTACGAATTGCGGTGCTACAGTTACACAGAGTAAAAAAGATTAGATCCCCAATACCTACAGTAAACCCCATAAAGTTGGAAACCGGATTAAGGCCAAATAGTGCTGGGATTCCTTTTACATTACTCTTAAGGATTGAGGCTATGGGGTTTCCAACTTTTGGGCTTCTACTGTAACCTTTAAAGTTTCTGGGCTCTTATAGTTTAGGGGGAATCGGAAAGTTTAACCGTTCATTTCTGTGGCTTGTTGAGGTAGTAAGAAAAAGCGTGCAAGCGAATGACCAGAATCCACCGCTACGGTCCGCTGCGGTCTGTATCCTTGAAATCCAGCTTCCCAAACAGTTTTCATAGGGGCCTTAATAATTAGAACAGGGTTACTTTAAAGGTCTACAACAAGGGTTATTACAAAGGCTCTATAACCCTAAACCCTAAACCCTGAACCCTAAACCCTGAACCCTAAACCCTAAACCGTAAGGGTACCATGAGGCATCCCAGAAGGAGCAGAACGCCCGGCTGGCTTACATGATGCAAGCCGCGCAGTGCGACAACAAGCTTCAGACCAAGGAGTTGAAGGTGGGCTCGAAGTGTTACGTGTTCCTTTAAAGGGGTCTACATGGGGGTCCGTTTAAAGGGATCCTTAAAGGGATAGGGGTCTACTATAGGGGCCTTTAAAGGCATCCATTAAGGGATCTATAGGGTTTAGGGTTTGTTAGTGTTCCTTTAAAGGGGTCTATATGGGGGCCTTTAAAGGGATCCTTTAAGGGATCTGGGGCCCATTCTACTATAACTATAGTAAGGAACCCCCAAAAATAGTTTTGATAATTATTTAGGCTCCTACAGTAGTAGGGTTCAGGGTTTGGGGTTCAGGCTTTTACTCGTTTATGGGAGCAGTTTGCATCGGTTCAGGCTCTTCAGCGTCTAGTTAGGTCGCTTGGGGTTAACGCCCCCCCCCATTACGTACCGGAGTCCTGGATCCATGTCTCCCCGAGATTTCGGACTGCCGTGAGAGGACTTCGTTTCCAACGGCCTCGACAACTTGCAGAACGCTGTGCTCAGTGGAACAGGAGGGTTGGGGGTTTAGGACCCAGAGCCTCCAAAACCCCTTTTTAGGGATCCTACTATGATTTAAGGTATATTCCGTAGTTAAAGGGTTTTGGAGGCTCTGGGGATTTCGGGAGCTTCATGACACCCTCGACTGCCAGTCCCTAAACCCTAAACGTAATGGGCTCCCTATTCAAGCTGTCCTTAGGCAAGCTCGAACCCTAAACCCTAAACCGTGAGGAACCCTTCCTGGAGCATCGTTGAAACTCCCCAAGATGGTCCTTAAATTTAGGGACCGAGTCCAACCAGCACCCCCCAAGTGCTCCGAAATAGAGCCCTTATGGCCCATAAGAGGGGGTATTTAGGGTATACTAGGGTAGTTGGGGAACCCTAAAACCCTAAACCCTAAACCCTAAACCCAAAGCCCTCAACCCGATCATGGAACCTTCCCTCACTTGATAGAACCTTCCCTGACTAGAAGATCCTAAACCCTGTAAACCCTAAACTCCTAAATCCTAGTTCGTAAACACCTAAACCCTAAACTCCTAAGTCCTAGTTCCTAAGCACCTAAGCCCTAAACTCCTAAATCCTAGTTCCTAATCACCTAAACCCTGAACTCCTAAATCCTAGTTCCTAAACACCTAAACCCTAAACTCCTAAATCCCGGTTCCTAAACACCTAAACCCTAAACTCAAAAACCCTAAACCCTAAACCCTGAACCCTACAAACTCTAAACCCTACCACAAGTTTAGTAGAAGCCCCAGGACAGCAAATTGACGCAGCCGTCTCGAAGATGCAGGCCGGGCTCTTTCTCCCAGTAGTCGAGTACTTGGAGGGTCGGGGGACTTAGTAACTGGTTATTTTAGGGACTTTTACGTACCATAACCCTAATTAGGGTCCCTTTTAGGGTACTTATAAGTCTACTTACTACCCACTTACTAAGTCCCTTGACCCTCCAAGTAGGTAACCTTTTACCCTTTTTGGGGGCTTAGGGTACCCTTAAGGGGTTCCTTCAAGGGGTCTTTAGGGGGCTCTTACTAGTCGAGTAGGTAACCTTTTACCTTCTGTGGGTAGTATAGTCCCTGTATAACCCCCCATACAACCAAAAAGGTTAACTTTTAGTTCCGCATGATACCCGGGGTGTCCCTCCAAGCCCCAAAGTCGGGATGCACTTTCCCGAATCCTAAACCCTACAGCAAAGCCCTAAACCCTAAACCCCCTTAGCCCTAAAGCCCTAAACCTTAAATCCACTAAACCCTATATCCTAAGCCCTATATCCTGGCCTCTCAGACCTTTCGGGGCACTGGAGAGAAGGAGCTCAATCAAACATCCTAAACCCTAAACCCCCTTTAGCCCTAAATCCCTAAAACCCCAAGTCCTAAATCCTAAACCCCAAGTCTTAAACCCTAAGTCCTAAATCCTAAAGCCCAAACCCCAAAACCACAAAAGACGTGAACCCTAGATCCCCCTAAGTCCTAACCCTTAAACTTAAACCTTAAAATCTTAAAGCCACAAACCATAAATCCTATGTAAGTCAAACCCCAAACTCGTGAGCCCTAAACCCCCTTAGCCCCACACCCCCGGAACCCTAAACCCCTAAAGCCCCAAGCCCTTAACCCCAAGGTAACCCCAAAAAGGAACTACAATGGAGACTATAGATAAATCCTACATCCTAAACCCCATACCCAAAATCCTACATCATAAACCCCAAATTAGGACTCTTAAACTCTAAACCCCTAAACCCGTGAACCCTTAAATCCCTTTGAGGATGCCATGGCCAAGAGTCAGCGGGCCATCCAGACACAAATGGCCGAAGGATTCAGCGACTTCGTCTTGTTATTCTGATAAGTACAAGTGTTAGGAGTATTACTGTTTTTATTGTTATTTTGATTCAGCGACTTGGTAGTGTTATTATGATAATTATTACTATTACTACTGTTATGACTGTTATTATTATTACTATTATTACTATTATTACTATTATTACTATTATTATTGTTATTATTACTATTATTGGTCTTGTTATTTGGGGGGTTTAGGGTTCAGGGTTCAGGGGTTCAGAACTGTAGGGTTTAGGATTTAAGGGTCTACAGTTTAGGGTTCAGGGTTTTCAGGGTTTGGGGCTTTAGGGTATCTTTCAGCTTGTTTGGGCTTAGGGGTTTGGGATTAAGGGCAATCCCTGTAAGATCAGGTTAACCTTTAGTTCCCTTGTGATGCTGGACAACCAAGGCGATGTAAAGCAAACAGTTACGGAAGGCTTCGACAAAATGCAGAAGAAGCTGGATGCAAACAGGAAAGCTGTCCAGGAACAGCTGACACAGCGTTTCAACAAAGTCGACCAGCATCTTGTGAAAGTGCAAGGACTGCAAGAGACGTCTTGCTTGGGTCTACTGCTTCTGAGGACATTGACATCCAAGTCGCGTTGCCCTTGCCAGGACAACTCGACGTGGCACTGAAGAACATCGACGTCGTCGATAACAGGAGTGCACTGCGAGTGAGTTTGAGCTGGAGCTTAGGTCCGAAATCCTGCGCATTATATGGGTGGTTGTCAAAATAAGTGTCCTTTTTTGGGTACCATAAGTATTAGGTGCCGTATTTTACAATGTACCCAAAAAGGGACCCTAATTTTGACAACCACCCATATACATTCTAGACTAACTATAGATCATTAAGACTATATAGTATGTACTTTATGACCTGGGAAGGATCAAGGATCTGGCAAAGCAGAGCAGCAGGCAGTTTGAGGAGCTCAGGCACGGACAGCAAAGGCAAATGACCGCTCTCTTGGCGGTCGTCCAGAAGCTCGAGGTGGGAGTTTCCAAAAATGGTGGACCTCCAATATAGTATTCTAACATAGCAACGCTACATTCTAAGCCACATAGGTACTTTGGACCCTTTAGGTACATGGGAGTTTCCGAAAATAGGGGACCCAATATAGTACTCTAAATAGTAGGATTCTGATTATAAGGACCCCCCAAAAATACCTCTAATTTTTGTAAACTCCCAGGTCTTGGAAGAGAAGATCGACGACATACCAGTGGCTGTCAGAGAATCCCGCTTTCAGGATTGGGATGTCATGGATGGGGAGCACTGGCTCTGTCAGCTCAACATAGTCTGCACGGTCTGCCTAGCTGCTTCTACCCTAAACCCCTTAAATGCTGAACAAGCTTCAGGGCATCAAATCCGAAGCCCTCCGGACCCCGAAGCCAAACATTAGGGCTAAAGACTGTAAACTCTAAACACTTGACTAGGAAGCTGAGTCCCAAGCCCTGACATAGGACTTCATCTATGAGTTTGAGAAGCTGTCGTTGGCGCTCATGGACCTCTTCAAGCAGGTCGAGGCAGGTATGGGAATAGCCCAACAAATTGAAACCCAATAGCTTCAATCCTTAAGAGCAATATATAGGGAATCCCAGCACTAATTGTCCTTAATCCGGTTTCCAACTTTTTGGGGTCTACTGTATGGCTTTGAATGAGCTCCTCAACACAGACTTCTGCTTCAATGCTGAGCGGGTACAGGGGTTAGAGCCTGGCTGGGCTTCGGTTTCCGACATTGTCCCCTTTGCAGTCTCTATGTGGGTAGTTGTCAAAATTGGGGTCCCTTTTTGGGCACCCTGAATACTTGGTGCCGTATTATAATCAGGACCCAAAAAGGTACCATAATGTTGACAACCAGCCACGTCTATATAAGCATCGTACAATATCGCCAGTATAGCCTAGTTTTGCAATATCCTGCATCTCTCGGGCTTCTATTCGGTGTGCTGCTGCTTACTGCACAGATGTGGCGAGAGGATGACCGGTGCATGGGGGAGACGTGGGGTTTAGGGGTTTAGGGTGTAGGGGTTTAGGGTTGGGGTTAAAGTAAAGATTTTGGGGTTTAGGATTTAAACATGGGTGTTAGAGATGTTGTAGGAAGAATCGCGTGTCTTTTGCTTATTTGTCTGTGCACTGCCAGAGGATTTCTCAGCCAAGAGGCGCGTGGATCTGGAGCACATGAAGACTACCCAACTCTCTTACCAGTCTTGCGGTAGCCAGATCGAAGATGTGCAGCTCGGCAGGAACTTGGAGGTCAAGACCTCCTTCATTACCTTCTAGCCGCGTAGCCTTTAAACTTTATATAGGGGTTCATGTAATCCTACCATTATTAAATGTTTTTTCCTCTTTTGGGCTAGGGTTCTCAGCTACTAGGATTATGCTCTGTTCACTGTTGACTCCTGTCAATTCATAGGGATCCTTAGGGGTGTAGGGGGAGGGGGGGTAGGGGGCCTTAAGGCCCATAATAAGGACTAATAAGGCCTATTTAAGGAAATATAGTCCCCTACACCCCTCCCCCCTACACCCCTAAGGATCCCTATGATCAATTCAGAAGCCAAGGATCCAGGCGACAAAGGCGGTGAAGGAGTCCTCTGCTCAAGCCGTGGCGCTGCTTCAGAAGTCATTCAAAGAGGCCGTTATGCGGTTTGCAGAGACTGGGCTACTCCCAGTAGAGCTGTAGCCTTTTGCCACGTGTGTGCTTTCGGTCTCCCTATAAAGGCAGCTTTAGGAAGAAAGGCACCATGTATATTCTTAATTACTACTATATGATTCGTCTTCTTATTATTATTATTAGTATTCTTATCTTTATATATATATATATATATGGGTGGGGAGGACCCTTTATCGGAACCGTTGCATTCTTAAGAGCTTATTGGGGTCCTAGAAGAGCTTATTGGTGTCCTAGGAAATCACGATCCTGGCCGTGGATAGCGGCTTCTCCAAGATGCACTTCGATGCGTTGGCAGAGCAGATCGCCGAGGACGTTGCAAGCAAACCATGGGGCCAAGGCGGTTTCGGGTTTAGAGTTTAGGGATTGAAACGCAAACAACAGAAAGAATGCCGACCCCAAATACCCGAAATAAAGCTTTTTAGAAAAAAGATGTATACATGTGTTTGCGTGCGTATGTGCGTCTGCAGGCGTGGGAATGCAGGTGCACGTGAAGGTGCATTAAAACATATTTAAATTTAATATTACCCCAACACGCCCACACCTGGAAGCCAAGGCCAAACTTCAGAGTAAAGCCAGCCCCACCGCATCCCGCGAGGACTTGCGAGCAAACGAGTCCGAAAAGGACCTCTTCCTGAGTCATGAGAGCCTCAGAAAGAGCTTAGGGTTTAGAGTTCAGGATTCACGGAAGTGCATACCTGGACCCCAAAAGCATGTAGAATAATGGCCTTTTTATAGGTTTTGGGCCATTATTTTGCCTACTTTTGGGGGGTCGAGGTAGTTGAGCTTTTAGAGTTTAAGCGCGTTGGGTGTGGTTGAATTCTATGTTTTGTTTGCACGAAGCTTTTTTCCCTAATGAACTCCAGAACTAAGGAGTCTGAAAAGTGTCATTGTCGCAGATCAGGAGGCTCGACCGGGCTTCGTTTAGGCTTTAGGCTATCCAGGCTCTGGGTTTCTGGCGTTTTGTGGTTGAGGGGTTTAGGGTTTAGGGGTTTAGTCGGCGCGGTAGAGATCAGATCTGGTATGAAGCTTCGGTATAGAAAGACCTCACAGGTTTGTAGAATTTCGCTTGGTTAGTCCGGTCAGGACTTTCAGGCTTCAAGGTTCTACCTATAGTCTCCATTGTAGTTCCTTTTTTTGCTTCAACCAATTTTATGTTAAGGATCCTAAAAGCTAACCCCAAAAGGAACTACAATGGAGACTATAGGTAGGAGCTGCAGAGTTTAGACCCTTTCTTGGTTTTTGGTTTAGGGTCTCTGTCCGTTCGGCACTTTGATTGGGGCGTTTCGTGCAGATTGCTTTTCAGAGCAGGCCAGAAGCACTCATGTGTTGCAAGCCCTGAGCCGCCAAGCAAGAACGCTAGAGAAGAACGTATTTAATTGTCTGTATAATTCGTAGTAGTATCCCCTTATCATCCTTCTCAGATTACACTAAGATACCCCAGAACCCGATTCCGCTGATTCAGTCCCCTACATAAACAGATTGCCGGCTATCGATGTTGAACAGATTGGACAACTCTGGAAGTAACCGGTCCTAACCATCCCGGCCTGTTGGACCCAAGTGCCAATCTTGATACGCTACACTGAACCTCAAACTGCCCCAAACCTTCACCCACTTAAAGCCTCAACCTAAAGCAAACCCACAACCTAACCCTAAAACCCGAAGGAAATCCTAGGCCCTGACTGCTTTCGGCAAGCTTTGGGGGCCCATTGTATCGAGTAAACATAGACTGTTGAAGTCTATACCCCCTAATAGAGGTCTGAATGCTAACCCGTTTAGAGGCACCCTTTCCAAGAAGCCATTTTACCGGCGACCGTTTTAAAAGGTGCCTTTTTTTGCTTGCAGGTTCTGCACGGAGCGGATGTCACGGAGAAGTGCGCCGCAGCCTGCAAGCCTCACGATGTCATCAATCTCCGACCGTGCCAATGTCTCCCGGCCTGCCGAGATTGGATTTAGGGTTCAGGGAATTACAGTAGAAGCCAGAAAGTTGGAACATCGTTATCCTCATTCCCTTAAGGTAAAGTAGAGGGAATCCTAGCACGAATCATCCTAAATCCATGTTCCAACTTTCTGGGGTTCACTGTAGGGGTTTAGGGGGTCGGGGTTTAGGCATTAGCGCTTTGGGCTGTTGAGTTTAGTAAGTGCAAGACAGAGCGGCAGTACAGGGCGTAGGAGCGTTGGGTTTTAGGATGTACGGTTTTCGAGCACAATCACAAGGTTAAGGGTTTCGGGCAGAATCCAGAATTTTCAAGCCATGAAAAGCGCGTGCCGAGGTTCGGATGGCCGACACCCCTTGCGGCAGGTGTCGGGCAAGTATCTTTTCACACCTGTCGCAGCCGAGATGCTGTTGGATTGGGCGAAGGCCGCGCTCGACGATGTCCCACTCAAGTTCCTGGGTTGTCCTTTGGGATCTTTTTTGATTTCCCCGACTATTTTGTAAAGAACCATAATGGTAAATTCTGTTCAAAGGGCTGAAAGACAACTCAGGTTCTCGATCAGCCTCAAGGATCTCTACATGCAGATCTCCTACATGCATCGCAAGTTCGCATCCTGGGGCTTAGAGTCACCCGACGAGCATAAGCAGTTCAACGCTGATTGGGAAAGGATGGCCTTTGACTTCGAGAACATCCGCAAGAGCTATGCGATGGTGGACTCCACGGAGCGGCTGGGCTCTTGTTAAGGAGTTTAAATTAAGTCACCACAATGGGGATCTATAGTAATTAACATGGTTTCCTTATCATGGTAACTTAAACTAAGTCCCTTAGCAAGAACCCAGGCGGGCCGTCGTGGGAAAGTTGCAGCTCTCCAGCCGGCTATTGGATGCCACTGGTTAACCGACTTGGTCTTTTGTTCTTCGAGGCTTTCTATAACTCCTTTGTAGCATGTGACCTGCTGAAGCGCAGTAAACCACCTAAACCCTCAACTGACACAAAGGCCTCAACATTAAATTCGAAACCCTTTGCTTTCTTAAACCTAGTAGTCGAGTAGGTGACCTTTAACCTTTTTCGGGTAGTATGTCCCTATACAACCCCTATATAGTTCCCCATGATGCCCGACAAGTAGGTAAACACCTGCTAAAGCCGCAAACTAAACCCGAGAGCCTTAATGAGGCCATGGCCACCACGTGGAGCCCGGCGCCCTTGGAGTGTCAGAAGCCTGCGCTGATGGACTTGGGTGAGTCGGAGCTCTCCAGGCTCAGGGTTTGGGGTTTAGGGTCTCGAGTGGGGTTCTGAGGCTTTGCGTGGGTTTTATGGGCTCTACGGCGTCGGTTAACAAGGGCTTCGTATGGGTCCACAGGGTTCTGCAGCGGTTCACTTTAAAAGGGTTTTTGAAGAGAGTTTAGGGCCGCAGAGTCTATATTAGTAGGCGCTTCTCGTCCGTCTCAATTAAAAAACCTTGAACCTTCAAGCCTACACCCCAGACCCTAAACCGCCCTAAAATCGGGGCTTCAAATCGTATAAACCCTACATCCTGAACCCTAAACCCTAAACCGCCCAAAGCTGAGGCTTCAAATCGTATAAACCCTACACCCTGAACCCTAAACCACCCAGTTGGAGGCCCTACACCCTAAACCTTAAACCCTGAACCCTAAGCCACCCAACCCTAAACCCTAAACCACCCTAAGCCCTAAACTCTAAACCCTGAACCCAGCCCTGAACGCAGGGCTGTAGGCTTAGAGCCCTTGAGGCTGGTGCTCTGGAGCCCCCTAAAGCCGAAAGAAGGAATCTCGGCGGCTTCTTAAGTTCTTTGTTTTTTGTATTTTGGGCGTGTTACCTTTGCTCCCTGTAAAAAGTAGCATGATGGGGTTGCTTCAAGGTGTAGGTGTGTTTTTTGGTTGGGTTTCGAAGTACTACTATGGTGTTCCTTTGACTAAGGTTTAGGGCTTTTAGGTTTGAGGATTTAGAATTTAAGGTTGAATTCTGCAGGTTTCGCAAGTAAGGGATAACTAAGGTTTGGGGTGGATAGTGTTCCTGCTAAGGACCGAGTAGGTGAGTAGACAGCGTTCAGCGTTTTTGGGGGGCTTGCTCAGCGCTGCCATGATTTATGCAATCACCCTTCTTGGGCCAGGGGGTTTAGCAAGTACCTTAACCCACCCAAACCTACTTTTTTGTGGGTCCCTAAAAATCCCATATTGGGGTTTATTACAAAAAAGTAGGTTATGATAGTTCAAGGTAGGTCAGTTACTACTGAACAGCAGCTTGACATTGATATGGGGACACTCTTTACCATGTCTGCACCTTTCCGACAGATAGTAACACGAGGTGTACAGTGGCACAAACAGTTTAATCGGGTATAGACTCCAAAGTGCCGCGTTGGCATTACTGCCATAAAGACATCAACATACCAGAGACGAGAAGTTATCCGCTGGTCAGCCAGATGCCTCATCCGGCACTACCCACCCAAACGAAAACTGGAGTAACCTCGTGTTGGTTTGAGCAAACTCCAAACTTCGATGATCACTTGACTCTATTTCTATAGCCTGAAAAACACAGAATTTGCAGTTCCTGTTGTGTCCCAAGACCAGGGTTACCATACTTTCCGCGACACCCTATAAACGTTGGCCGCTGGACCGTTAACAGAAAACCAAGCCGAAAACTACAAACCTGACACCCCCAAAGCCACGAAACCTAAAACCATGAACACTGTTGCCCTGGAACCGTTAAACGCTTTAACCCAAATCACCCCTAAACTAAATGGGAGTTTCCGAAAATGGGAGGGACCTTGATATAGCACCCTAAGTAGTAGGATCCTTATATATTATAACGATCCCAAAACAAGGTACCCCTAATTTTCGGAAACTCCCAAATAAGTCACCAGGAACAGCGGCATGGCTCATTTTGCGCCAGCCTTCCCGCCTCTTGCACACCTCAGCACTCTCCTGGGTGCACGATGCCGCCGTCACGGACTGTCGGTCCATTCCAGACGGCTACTCGGGGTTTAGGGAGTTTAGGTTTGTTGTTAGGGTTTAGGGTTTTAGGGTGGGGATGCTTTTGCCATCTTAAGCAATCTTACCAGGGCCGTAACAAAAAAACACACATTGCATAATGAAGACTTGGGGCTTAGGGTCTTATATAATCGTTCGTGCCTTTAGGCCCGAAACTGTAGAGCTGACCGTGAAGGCTATGGGAACATTGAGGGCCTGATGCAGAGTGGCTTCATCTGCTGGAGAGACATCAACGGTGTTGCGAAGGTTCGTTCCCCTAAACCCTTAGCCCTAAACCGCAAGCCCTAAACCCTAAGCCCTAAACCCTAAACCCTGAACCATAAACCCCTAAACCCCTGAACCCTCAACCCCTAAACCCCTGAACCGCGTTGCGAAGGTTCGCTCTATGTGTGACCCACAGGGCGTTGCCGATGTCGTCGACGAGAGTGCGCTGAAACTAGGATGCCCAGTAGTACCCTTATTCAATAAGCCTTATTCCCTTTTCGTAGTCCCTTATAAAGGTACCCAATACCAAAAAGGGAGCCCTTCTTGTTCCTAGGTGACTGAGCATCCTAGGAAATGGGTCTCTGAAGAGAAGTTTGCGCAATACGGCGCCCAGCATGCTCTTCTTACCCCGATCGCCACTTCCAAGATCCGAACCACACCCTTCAAGGCCGAGGTGTTGTCGTATTGGGAGAGGCAGGTGTCGTTCATCGTCGCCGCAAGCTGTGGCAATGGCAAGCTTGACATGACCGAGGAGTGCAGTGAGTTAATGTAAGGGCCTTAATAATTGGAAGAAGGTTTGGGATTATTATACTTGTAGTATAACATACTCCCAAACCGTATTCTCATTGTTAAGGCTGGTGGTGTCGGGTCTCGTGTCAACATGAGAAGAAGCTTCGGCGAAGGAGTGCGATTCACCCGGTGAGGGCTGCAAGAAGTGCAAGCTGGTCCCCGGATATGCCACCCGGCTGGAAAGTGAATGTTGTTGTTGAGCTGCCATTCCTCGGGCGGGCCTTTGGGATATGAGAGGATTTACAGTAGGACTGCTCGGCACGGATCAAGCGGCATACACGGAGACCTGCGACAAGGGTTCAATTTTCAGGCAGATAAGCTGTTCCCATGGATGTCACAAACGGATGACTACTGATGGAGGGACCCTGACTTCTGAAAAGAGCAACAGCGGCTCTGTAGCAGGATCCCACCTGGGGTCCTCGACAAGTGCTTTGTGGGTGCGACAACTAAACTCTGACCGCCACCCCTCAACTATCCCAAGCGCTTGCTTTTAAAGCCTGAGTTCCAAGCCCCTGTGTCTCAAATTGTAGGGGCCTTAATCATCAGAACAGGGTCTTGGGGTATATTATACTTACTATGATTACAAAAAGGAACCCAAAATAGTATTGGTAATGATTGAGGCTGTTAGGGCATTAGGGTTTACGGGACTGAGGAATGCCCCGTGCCTGGCGAACCGTGCCAAGCCGCTTCCTGGCTGCCCTTTGAAATTGTTTTGGGATTTCGGGTTGCCCAGTATACAAACCTACTCAAGCCTGTTTCTGGTGGCTCCAATTGTGATGGTGTAATATATGGCAGTTTTGCAGGGAAGGACGTGGTTTCCGATCATTCAACGCAAGAACTTTCATGTGCCTCGTCAAGTGTCCAAGGTGTGCGGTGACCACAAAGCTGTTAAAATGGAAGATTGTGACGAAGCCGACAGCGACAAAAACGACGGCTGTACGCCTTCTTGCCAGCTCGAGTTCTGCCCTCGGAAGGCACCTCAGCCGAGACTCCAACGTAACTTCTCCTTTGGCTCACGTATGGGATGTTAACAATAAGACCAGTCAGCCAAGAACGGAACTACTCTAGTAAGAACAGAATGACCGCAACAAACATGAATCCCAGATCCAAACCCTAAACCCTAAACCTTAAACCCTAAACCCTAAACCCTAGGAGATCGATCGACTATCGACTCCAAGTTACAAGATCTTTGCTAGAATAGGGGTCCGGGCTTCGGGTTCCAAGCTTTCCGAATGCCCGACACACTTGGCGTGTCGTGTGTAGTTCTCCTAAACCCTTAGTCCTAAAACCATCTGATTAAGCCCTATAAGCCCTATATAAACCCCAAACCCTAAACCCTCATAGACTAGATCCCTTTAAAGGATCGTTGCCCTACAAACCCTTTAAAGAACTCTTAAAGAAACCCTGCCCTGTAAACCCCAAACCCTAAACCCAGAGCCCAATTAGGAATTCTAACTGTATCTGCAGGCGGAAAAAGAGCCCTCAAAAAAAGAAACAGAGCCCAATGAAGGCGCTGAGTCTGCCAATCACCCATGCCGCCCGAGAGCTGCCAGACCCTTGGGTGAGAAGCTTGTAAACGGTTTAGGGTTTAGGGGATAGTTCTCCAAATCAGGGCCTCTTTTCGGCTCTTTTAAAGGGATCTCTATAAGGTACTATAAGGGTTCTATCTGGGTAGTTCTTCAAATTAGGGTCTATTTTACGGTTCCTCTGAACCTCGAAGAGACCCCAAACCGTAAACCCCTAAGCCCTAAACCCTTGAACCCTGAACCCTAAACCCGTAAACCCCTGAACCCCTAAACCCAGAACCCTTAAACCATTAATAAACCCTAAACCCTAAGCTGGGCTTTGGAGTACTATGCTTTAATGCTTTAATTCTTTTGGGTGTACCTGTTACATAAAGGGAACCATCATGAAATAAAGTCTATACTTTTTCTCCATGGCTACTTCGCAGCCCAGTCTTGGGTTTCACAAGCCCTAAACCCTAAGCCCCTAAAGCCTTAAAACCGTAAAACCTTAAACCCTTAGAATTCCAAGTGCTAAATCCTTAAAACCCTAAGAAGAAAGAATCCAAGGGGAAAAGGAGGGACCCTTAATAAGGACCCCTAGGTATATACCCTTAATATAGCGATTATATACCCATTATATAGCCCATTATAGGGTAGGGGTCCCCCTTAAGGGTCCCTCCTTTTCCCTTTGAAAGAACCCTAAACCCTAAACCCTAAGAAGAAAGAACGAAGGATCCTTCCCCTGACTTGGAGCTTTGCGGAAGTCAAGCCCGAGGAAGCCCCGGCTCTTTGGAGAAGTGCCTTTTTAGAGTTTAGGGGTTCAGGGTTTACAGGGTTTAGGGGTTTAGGGTTTTAGAGTCTATGGGTTTAGGGTGTTAGGGGGTTTAGGGTTTAGGATTTAGGGTGCCTTGGGTGCTGACTTGAGCGCTCTTAGGAATTAGATTTTGTATGTTCATGATCATGAGACTCCAAGGAATTGTCAAAATACATTTTTAATTCTGGTTCCAATGGCGCTGAAGCCGACAGTTAGGTGCTTTGGGAGCTTCGAAGGTTAGAAGGTTTAGTGCTTTCAGGGCTTAAAATTAAAGCCCAGGGTTGTGGGGGTAAGGGATGGCTCATTGGAATTGGGACTTCGAGTTCGAGGTCTTCGGGCTTTTTGGATTTATAGGTTAGGTTAGTTCAGGTCTTTAGGGCTGCGAGTTCATGGGGGCCCCAACCTAGCGCCAGGCTCCGGAGAAAGGGGATCCCAGATGTGAGCTCTGATCCAAAATTTAGTAATTTAGGCTTTTTGCAGTCTGCAACTCATTGCAGCTCAACAAATGCGCTGGTGTTTGCCAAGCAACCAAGGTGCAGCGAGTTCACCGAGCTGGTCTTTGCTGGCTTCAGCTTAGACGGCCATTGGGTTCGCCACGATGTCCGGCTCGATGAAACAATCGGAAGTGCTGGAGCGGGTCCGTGGGATACAAAGGCCACAGGGTGGAAGACGCTTGGAGCACCGTACAAGATTCCAGGTGGCACTCACGGATTCGTTTTCACTTCGGGTCTTGTGGAGATACCCGTAAACCCTATAAACCCTGAACCCTCAACCCTCAACCCTAAACCCTCAACCCTGAACCCTAAACCCTAAACTGTACCAGCATGCCCTTACACTGACAACCCAGGATCTGGAATGACGGCGAGTCATTAGCGGTCACTTGCAAGGGTGCCCTGGATTTGAAGTACCATACTTGAATACTTGTTTTTTTTCGGTACCTGCTCCTTAAAGGAACCATCATGAAATCAAAGTCTATACTTTTTCTCCATGGCTACTTCAAAGCCCAGGTTAAATAAGCCCTATCCGAATCCTCAAGCCCCAAAACCCTAAAGGGAACTCCAGAAAGTTGGAATATGGTTTCAGGGTAGGATACCTTATAATTTACCATAAAGGGCTTAGGATAATCATATTCCAACTTTGTGGCTTCTACTGTAAACCCTTAGAATTTAAAGTTTTACCAGGTGCTGACACGATGACGGGATGCCTCTTCTGGTGCATGGCTCTCAGCAACTTAGAGTCCCCATGGTGTCAGGTTTCAGGGCCTTTGAAGTGTTAGGGGGTTCAGACTTAGATCCCCAATACCTAGCCTTTAAACTTTTTTGGGCTGTTATAGTTTAGTAGGAATCGGAAAGTTTTACCTTTCATTTCTGTGGCTTGTTGGGGTAGTAAGGCAACTCCTCCGAGTGCCTCCGACCTTGGCTCGTGCAGACGAACGCTAACTCTGACCAGGACATGCATGTGCCATAGGGCCCTGAATACTTACCTATATTATTGCAGGGGGTTCCTTAGTCTAGTTATAGTAAAACCTCCCCCCTAAAACCCTGTTCGAATTATTAAGGCCCCTACATTTCATGTGCAAGGGGCGGAGATCCTGGAACCTTGCCTGTCCTTTAGAAGCTGCCCCCACCCTGTAATAGTGACTACAAGGATTATATTAGGGCCCTATTATATTCCTAGTATACCGCAATTACAGGGAGGGGGCCCCTTCTAACTTGTCCTTGATGCGTCATCTGTCCGGGTCCCAAACCCTGACCCGGAGTCTCTTATTGCCTTTGTCCTAGTTGGGTAGCATTTTAGATTTTTATGGGTACTTAAACCCAATAAAGAACAGCAAGTTTGAATTTTTTCCTATCCCAACCATGAACGAGTTGCTAGGACGTGCATGCAGAGAAGTTGCTGATCTATGGGCGCAAGTCCACTGACTCAACCGATTTGCAGACATGCACCGACGGCGGAGCGCAACTTGTTACCATGCAACTGGGCTTTGGAGTAGCATACTTCAGTACTTTTTTCTTAAAGGAACCATTAGGAAATGAAGTTTTATACTTTTTTCTCCCTGGTTACTAGAAAGCCCAGGCAATGTGGTGACGAGCTCATCACCGGAAACGAAGAGTGCGACCCTCCGGGCGGCTGCTGCGATCCCAAGTGCAAGCTTATTCCCGGATTTCAGTGGCAACCTGCCTGGACCCCAAAATATGTAGAATAATCGCCATTTATTGGTTTTGGGCCATTATTTTACCTACTTTTGGGGGTCTAGGTGGCTCTGAAATATTCTGAAACATTCTGCTTGACTACACGGTTGCTGAGGTTCAGATTCGTGTGGGTTCAGGGCTGAAGTGAAAGGCTCCGCTGCAGAAAGAAAGTTTCGATCTTGCCCGACAGGCAAGACACGGATGGCTGCCGGGCCATTTGTGGCGATGGTGTGGCTTAGGTGCTCAGCAATACTTTGTTATTGCATCTTCAAACATTGGGGGGGGGGCAGTATGTTTCGAGATTAGCCGCTTAGCCAACTTCGAAAGCCACATGAAGCTTGGCAAGCTATTATTTTAAAAATCTTTAAACCTTGAATTTGAACTCAACATATTCCAAAAGCTAAGGTGGTCCTGGGCAAGGAGGAGTGCGATCCTCCTGGCGACGGGTGCAACGAGGAATGTCGCTTGAAGGAAGGGTGGAAGTGGTTGCAGAACAAGGCCGTGCCGATTTGCGGAGACAGCCTGCTCGTCGGGAAAGTTCCTTGGCTTAGAGCTTAACGGCGAGATTAAGATGAGGGGTTCAGGGGTTTAGGGTTGGGCCCCTGGGCACAAAATCTAGACTCTCAAACCGTGAGGGCTCTGGGCGTCGTTGCTTTGGCTTGCGCCTCACAGCTTTTATTGTACTGGCGTTTGAGGGCCTCAAACATGTTTTGTGTATGCCAGTTCAGGAACTCTAGCTGACTCTAGCTTGTGTGGAGCAGGCACTAAACAAGTAGGATCCTTGACTGTTTGAGTACGACAACTGTATCACACGGGCCACATCTACGAAAACAACGTACACAGCTTCCTGCGGATTTAGAGGTGTGCGTTGAGTAGCAGTTGTTCTGTCACTAACCTGAAGAGTGCTTTTTCGTGACGAAGAACTAAAACGCAATGCAACTGCCGTCACCCAGAGTGGCACCTTTCACTCAAGGGTGAGATGCGCTGTTCCCGACCCTGCGGCAAAAGACTGACCGCGTTAAAAGGGACTGACCAGGATACACTTCACATGGTTGCCACCCTCCACAAGCTCATGCAATGCTCGTTCCATAAGTCTCGCAAACCCCAAACCTCAGAGCTTTCCGTGAAGTCCAATTAGCCTCAACGGCCTCAACCCTAAGGCCCCGGAGCTCGAATCATGAAGCCCATGACCCAAGGAGCAGTGCGATCCCCCGGGATCTGACTGTTGCAATCCTATTTGCGACCTCCTAGACGGATGGAAGTGGGAAGATGGCTGCAAGGCGATTTGCGGCGATGGGGTGCTGTGGCGCAAACCTTAGACGAACCGCAAAAACCCAGAATCTCTTCGCCCAAAACCAAACCCTGCACCTTTCACCCTACAGTAAACCCCATAAAGTTGGAAACCGGATTAAGTCCAAATAGTGCTGGGATTCCCTATACATTACTCTTAAGGATTGAGGCTAATGGGTTTCCGACTTTCCGGCTTCTACTGCACACCCTCAGACCCCTAAAGCTTCTACCCTAAACCCCAAAAGCTTTACTCGTAAAGCCCATGCAGCTGAAGCATCTTCTGATTTGCATGGGGACCTGCGTACTGAATTACTTCCAGCACCCCCCCCCCCAGTCCTTTTAGGTATTACCTACAGCATGATATACCCCAAAGTCTATTCTAATTAAAGCCCCCATACTAGGTAGAGCTTTGGGACATTTTATGTTTGCTCTTATTGGGCTTAAGAGGACCTTACCTACTAATGTTTTTCAAAGGCTTTCAAGGCACCTCCTAGTATATGAAGACCTTGGACACCTGACTGAGTACAGGACCTAAATCCGAAACACTAACCTAGTAGTAGAGTAGGCAACCCTTAACCTTTTTTGGGTAGTGTAGTCCCTATGTAATAATCCCTGTATAACCAAAAAGGTTAACCTTTAGTTCCCCATGATACCCGACAAGTAGGTAACCTGTGGGGGGAGGGAGCCGCTTCGGGGGCTTAGCGGTTTCAGGCTTCAGAGCTGTTATGGTGTCAGGGCTCAGGGCCTTTGAAGTGTTAGGGGGTCCAGACTTAGATCCCCAATACCTAACCTTTAAACTTTTTGGGCTCTTATAGTTTAGTAGGAATCGGAAAGTTTAACCTTTTATTTCTGTGGCTTGTTGGGGTAGTAAGCAGAGCTTCAGGTTTGTTCCGGGTTTAGAGAATCGAGTTTAGGGTCTAGGGCTAGGGTTCACATTGAGGACATGAAAGCTGTCATCTTACTTCAAACCCTAAACCCTAAACCCTAAACCCTAAACCGTGATGAGGTGGTGCTTGGAAAGGAGGAGTGCGATCCTCCCGGAGAGGGGTGCACCGACGAGTGCAGGCTCAAGGAAGGATGGGAGTGGGTGCCATTGGAGCGCCTTGGAGGCTTTTTAATTGTTTAGGGTTTAGGGTTTAGGTAACGGGAATCTAGAGGGTTTCGTTTAAAGGGATCTTTCGGGTTTTAGGGTTGAGGGGTTCAGAGGTTTAGTGGGGTTTGGTGGATTTATGTAGACACCTGATTAAGAATACCAACACTGTTTTGTTTTTTTCGCGTTAGCTAGAGTTTATAGAGTATTCCCCCAAAACCCTATGCTAACTATTAAGGCCCCTGTGTTAGTCTGGTTGAGAGTTGAGGGTGGTGTATAGGGATTAAGGTGCAGGGTGACTTATTGCATAGTTGAGATTGCACGAGTTGGGGGGTTCGATTAGTTTAGCTTGATTTGCGGGGGTTGGGATGGCTGAAGGAATTCCTCCTGCAGCTAACAGTTTAGCCAGATTCTCCCAAGCATGCCTGGCAGACACCTTTCCTTTGCGAACCCTGCACTATGACTGTGGCTTACTAACTAAGCCAGAAACTGTTTCCGGCAACACCAGGCCCTCAACCGCAAATCCTAAGCGCCTCAGCCACCAAGGAAGAAAGCTGCTTCCATCTGCGGTGATGGTCTGGTGGTCGGAAAAGTGCCTTAGCTGCAAACCGGAAGTGAAGATGTGAACGTAAACTTCAGGTTTAGGGCTTGGTTCAAATCCATGGTATGGAAGCGTCCGAAAGTAGGAATCCTTTACAGGGATTGAAATCGTCTAGATTAATCCGAGTTGTTGTTCGGATATGAGCTTTGCTCTGATGTTCCGTGGCTGTGGTTGTTTTATCATATTGGTTTAAGCTGTGAAGCATCGATGCTAGACGTAGTACCATAAAATTGTGAGGTACTGAAGGCAGCCGCTTGGTGCATGTATCAGCTTTTGTTCACCTCACCCCAAGTAACTTACACAACTACCTGCATAAACTTGTGCAGGACTCTTGCATGCCAAAGTCGCTGTAAACACAAAAGTGTCTGCGAATTCCTGTCATGCCAACATCAGTATCGGTGTCACGAACACCGGGTGCCATGACCATGATCCCCGTGAGAAACAGTAAGAACACAAATATCATACGTTCCTTGAACCCTAAACCCTAAACCCCATCGGCTGAGTGGCTAGTGTTTTGGTGTCAAGGTAAAATGCCTCTGGCATGTTGTGCTCCCCTAAACAGGCTTTTGGTGTGCGGACCCAAAAAGGAGCCCTTAAAAAAAAAAACTGAGCCCTAAGCCCCAAACCCCTTAACTCTAAACCCTAAACCCCTGAACGAGAAACCCTAAACCCCGAAACTCTAATCCCGAAAAACCTTGCATACTTTTGGGAACGGAAAGGCACATCTTCGTCGGAGCTCCTGATCCTCAAAAACCCGAAACTCGGAAGCCGCAACTTAGCCCCGAAACCCGACCTGTAGCCGAAAAGACCTACATTTTTTAGGGTTCCTTATTATGGTTTCAAAAAATATAGTTCCTTAAAAAGGTAGGTCTTTTGGGCCACAGGTACCTTAACCTGCCAAAACCCCACCTTTTTCTAGGATTCGCAGAAATTCCACATTAGGGTATAAAAAATTTACAGAAAATAAGACATTACGGGCCCCATAGTTACAGCATTAATGTTTTTCATGTTTTTGGTTTGCTTCAGATTTGAAGCAACATCACTCGTGCATACGATATCGTTATCCTCATATGCATATTCTTAAATAGGATACTTGCACGTATACCAATACATGTGCTTGTTTCAATTGTCGACGTGACTATACAGCAGGAGGTTTGACTCACTTCTTGGCTGGTTTAGGCCCGAAGGGCGAGAACACTGCTACTAAGGGGAAGGCGGGGGGGGGGGGGGCGGCGGCCAAAAAAAAAAAAAAAAAACCTGGAGGGAGGGGGGGGGGGGCAGCGCCAAAAAAAAAAAAAAACAAAAATCTAAAATCCAAAATGTTATTTGTTTTTTTTTTTTTTTTTTTTGGCGCTGCCCCCCCCCCCGCCAGATTTTTTTTTTTTTTTTTTTTTTTTTTGGTGGCTGCCGCCCCTCCCCCCCACGGGGACAGCAAGGCAAGCGACAGCCAGCGCCATGGTGCGCCATACTGCGGGAGCGGACACCAACCAAGAGCCACATGATTTAAACCTGGTGCCCTTAGCCCATGCAAGCCTCACTACAAGTGAGTAGATACTCTATGCCGAATATTAAGATCAATAAGATTACAAACTAACCAGATAAACATCTATAGAATTTATAAAAGACCTCAGAGACTTACTGCGTATAGAAAAGTCGATATCTGATATTACATCTCACAAAGATGATAAACTATTTATGACTGATGACATCATATGACGAGGAGACCTTACATTAACATACATTCGACGGATGCGAACTCACGACACAACCACTGCCTGAGCAATACCAGGTGGACAACCAGTTGAAGGGTCTGTCGTAGTCAAGCGATAACAACAATGATTGACGTCGCATATGATGTGGTAGCATATGCGAGGACATATGGTCGGTATATATGTCGGATGTCAGATACATGTATGAGCAGTCTCCTCGATAACATATACAACAAACACTGTCTTCGCCTTTCATTGACAGGTTGCGATGTAAGGGATCCGAATCCGACTATCTTATGGGTGCATGAAAACGGGAGTTTGAATATTCCACTTGTGCGATGTTCGAGCAACATGGTGGGCTCTGTCGGGGAGTTTACAACTGGAAAGGCTGGAAATCCTTATTGGTTTATGTTCCTGTGATCAGGATCGGCTACTCGCAGGAATCTGAATATCATTATACCAAAAATGGCTAGATATGGAAACAATATATCTCATGATCACGTCATGGTGAAGTATCAATCTTCACGTGAACCATGCGCATCATAGAATGATATGGCGTAACACACTCGTAAACATGTAGCATGAGGTGCTAGGGAGATACCATATGAGCTTGGCAAGCTCACGGGATGCACAAGGACATCTAAGTCAAATCTCATAGAGAAGATATGTGTCATGAGATGCTGTCTGCATCTTGCGACCTATTCATACCTAGCTGTGACTGTTGTAACTTCATGGGAGATTGGGTTTTTGTGTGAGAATAAGTCTCCGGGCTTTTAGAAAGGTCTACCGAGGGGTTTAACCAATATGTGGTGCAATCCCGCTTGCCCGCGCGGCCGGAAGGTGTAAAGGGGGAAGTCCGAACGATGCGGGCATCTTATAAGGACACCTACTGCGATGATCTATACGGATGGCTCAATATCATAACGATATGTTGAAGAGATTTCCTGGTGCTCTATGTTGATATGGCCATATTCAACACATAACATGCCTTTTACATTGAAGGAATGCGGCGAATATCCTGTTCAACTGCCGATTGGGTGCCTCATTATGACGGCTCCATTACTCTTGCCAAAACTGGCATGCAGCTGCCAATGTAATCTGCCATGTTTACTTCCACCACAAGAGATACTTGACTTCTTGGTCATGGCACATATTAGAAAGTTGGTTTTAGGCATAGTATAGTTACTATACTTTTGCTTGGGTAACAGGATTTAGTTTACGGAGATATCCATAAGACACACGATGAAGTGCGTCATGAGCTTTAACAAGACCATATTAGAATGGTTGCGGCATACAGGTGCATTGCCTGCAGCATAGATACAACAAGCGGTATTGTTTACAGTTGATGACAATCGTATGTGCGTGTCGGTGTATGTTTGTGTGTGCATGTGCAAATAATGTGTTTTCACGGCAGTCGACCTATGACTAGATGGTATGAGCAACAAGACAGCGAAAATGATTAATATTGCAGGTGGATCTCCATATGTCTGCATATACCATAATGATAGCAAAGCACCATCTCCTTGGAAAGTATATTAACTAAATTATATCCTTATCCTTTGGGGGCTCGTGGGCTTCAGCCGCAATGATCACTAATCTGGATAAGCCAGCATTGTAGTTGTCAGGATGTATACAGCAACATCCATGCGATGATTGTCTTCGATGGTCGTAGGTTTTCAGTTTTCTGGGTTGGCTTCTGTGAGAAGCTGTTGCAATTGAAATACACAATTCCGCACACACAGCTCCGAATACTGGACAAATTATTGGACTGGGAGCTCCGAAACAAGGACAACCAATGCAACAATAATCGCAAACAATAAATACGCCTTTGAAGGAGGTTGCACTAAACAAGCCAGCATTCATACGAAAAACGGTATCGAAACTGAATGTAGCAAAGACATCTATGTACATATATGTATATATGTACATATGCAAATGGATCCGGTAACACGATCCAGTTGATCGCCTGCATGTATACAGCTTGAGACGGTGGGAACTGTTTGAGCAACCTGCCTGTATGATGCCAAACTCAACTTGTCATGCTACAGTATATGCTGGACGTCTATATCCAAAATCATATGTTACCATGTACATGATGGGGCCTGCAAAAACCGGTGGGATATGTAAGCGTTTCTTTACGTTGATATGCAAAAGTTATATAGATTGACCGGTCTTCTACATCACTCAAGGGTGGAGAAATGCACGGTTTCGCAGACGCATTGTATCTCATTTATCTGCAAGATTATACTATGAGACACAAAGAACAACCACAAGATTGAAGTGGCATTGATTTATCGGATAGCTTCATGAGACTCCACAATGAAAGGTAGTCACAAGTGCATCCCATGCTGATTGGAAAAGTACTTCCCATATCAGGCATCAAGAGCAACAGGGTTAAGTAAGCTTGAAAACCACTAGTATGCAAATTATGACGATTGTAAGTTTTTGTAATGAAAACTCTTAGAAAACAGCATTTTGACTGGAAAATATGGGGCCCGTAATGTCTTACACTCTCAAAATTTACTTTTTGTAGGATTCGCATGAATTCCATATTAGGTAATTTTATAATGAGAACCCAAAAAAAAACAGGTTGTGGTAGTTGAAGGTAAGCCCTAAACTGCTGGCGCGCAGGAGCAATGCGACCAGGGGGAGTGTTGCGCCGACAACTGCACGCTGCTGAAAGGCTCCGGGTGCGTCTTAGGGTCCGGGTTTAGGGTTTAGGGTTTAGGGCCCAAAATGGCAACCTTTTAGTAAGTAGGCTGCTGCTTCCGCAGGGTTTAGGGCCTGCGTGAGTGCATGTAAGTCTTTGACAAACGTTGGTGAGAGGATGTTTGGGGCTGTCCTTGTAGGGCTACCTGCTATTGTAGCCTTGACTGGATGGTTCTGTTTTCTGTAGGAGCTCTTGCTTACAAACCTATTTACTCAGTCAGCCCACGAGCCAAAGACCGTACAGTACAACCCTCAGCCCTGAACCTAAACCCTCTACACCCTAAACCTCAAACCCAAGCCCCAAACTTTCAGCCCTGAACTTTGACCCTTACCCAGAGGCTCCATAGTAGTTCCTTTTGCGACTACTGTGGAGCCTATGGGTATGGATTATGAAAAGAACTTCATCCTGGCAGCGGGAGGATGGCAGTGGGAAAGCGGCTGCAAGCCCATTTGTGGCGATGAGGAGGTTCTTGGAGCGGTTTCGGGGCTTGGGGTTTAGGATTTATAGTAGAAACCGGAAAGTTGGAACATCATTATGCTCATGCCCTTAAAGTAAAGTATAAGGGATCCTAGCATTTATCCTCCTAAAGCCATGTTCCAACTTTCTGGCTTCTACTGTAGGGGGTTTGGGGTTGAGGGTTTAATAGGGTTTAGGTTCAGGGTTTAGGGGTTAGGCCCTTGACAGCTTTTGCAGATAGAACCCCTGCAACCTCCTGCATCCATAAACTTTAAAGCCCTCAGCTCCTGAACCACATACCTCCACGGAGGAAGATGGCACCCCACCTTAGGGTTTAGGGCTTTGCTTCCGGACCCAGGTGGTTGGGGATGAAGAGTGCGATCCTCCCGGGATGGACTGCACCGCAGATTGCAAGAAAAGAGCAGCTCGCCTCCATGTTTCGAGGTTCAGCGGCTGCTGGGATTTGGGGTCAGGGTTTAGGGCTGGGATTAGGGGGCATGGTTCCAGACAACCCAGCCAGGAGGAGCAAAGCAGCATGATTGCAATTTCAGGCAGAGTGGGGGAAAAAAGGGCCGCCGTTTCTGAGGATCTTCAAACCACCACGTTTCAGACATAGCCCAGTATGGTCCGCAATAAGCCCAAACGACGACTCACATCATACATGAGGTTTTCCGTAACTGAGCATATGGTCTTGGGTCGGCATACATTGAGGCTCAGGGTTCAGGACTCTCCAATAGAACTCAACGCTTAGATCCCCAATACTTAACCTTGAAACTTTTTGGGTTCTTATAGTTTAGTAGGCACCGGAAAGTTTAACCTTTAATTTCTGTGGCTTTTTAGGGGACCCTAAACCCTAAACCCTAAAACCCTATGGCTTCTTGGGGTAGTAGGAACGGGATGTTGAGTTTGGGGTGTCGGGTTTGGCTCTCAGCGAGGCGTGCGGATCCTGGTGCCCAGAGACTCCAATATCCCTTAATTAAGGAACATGCCTTAAATTATAGTAGGATCCTTAATATGATTTAAGGTATATTCCCTCATTAAGGGATATTGAAGTCTCTGGGTGTCTAGACTGCAAGGCGGGTCAAGGCAATGTTAGACGTGGCGAAGGTAGTTATAAGTAGGTTATAAGTAAGGCAAGTACGGGAGTTATAACTACACTTATAAGATAATGCTCATAAGGCTCAATGCGCAGCATCACGACTAGTTTGTCTGTCAGTCTGACCAGGGCTCTTTAAGACGATTTACGACAACAGTCCCTGCACCCTAAACCTTTGTAACCCTAAACTAGACAACTTTGGGCAGAGCTTTCCATGTCTCCAGGTGCGGATTTCCGAAAACAGGGGACCCTAATACAGTACCCCAAATAGTAGGATCCTCGTTATAAGGACCCCAAAAGTAGGCAGCCCTTCTTTTCGGAACCTCCCATATAGGGGACCCTATTATCGAACCTACTACTAGGCCTCCCGGTGGGCCCTTTTTCCCTTTTTATAGTCCTAGGTTCCTTTTCAAGTTACCCTATAGGTTTCTGGGCATCTTAGACCCCTTTGGGATCCCTTGTAAACGCAGTCAAAAGGCTTAATCAAAGCCAGCTTGACTATAGAACCCAATTGTCTCCCAGGTCGATCTATTAGCCGGCTTAGAGTGCGACTACTTCTATGACAAGAGCCAGTGCCGCCTTCCGGACCTGAGTGCCCTGACTCTCGGCTTGTGTGGCGTCGTTTGGAAGTTGCAGATTTGTTTTTGTAGGTTACTAGGATGCCCAGTAGTACCATTATTCCCTTTTTGTTGTCTTAGGTTCCTTATAAAGTTTACAAAAAAGGGAGCCCTTTTTATTCCTAGGTTACTGGGCCTCCCAGGTCAAGGTTTGTAGTAAAGGAATTGCAGTTTAGAGTTTCGGATTCAGGCGCAAGCCTCATGCCTAGCACATGGCACCTCAATAACGTAGGAGCTTAAGTGACTACCAATACTATTTTTTGGGTTCCTTAATCTGATTATAGTACATCAATACTAATTTGGGGTTCCTTATTCTAGTTATCGTATAACATACCCCAAAACCCTATTCTAACTATTAAGGCCCCTAGATTAGGACACCGGTTCATCGTGAGATCGTGCCGGAGATCTACATGGACCGGGATGGGGAAAAAGGGATGAAGGTTAGGGGCCGGCTCGGCAGGGCCACTGTTGCTGCTCTTGCAATCATGCAACCCTAAGCCCTATACAAGCCCCAAAACCCTAAACCCCAAACCCTAAGCCTTAAATCCTGAACCCTAAACTCTAAGCCTTAAACCCTAAACCGGAAACCCTATGTTGCGCTTGCGATGATGTGCTTCCTGGTCAGTCCGGCGGCAAGTTCCCCAAGATACGTCAGCTGGATCAGTTCTGTGTCAGGCAGGGCTTGCAACCACTTGGCTCGTCCCGGGATGTCGCAAACGCCGTGGCAGGTGCACTGGTCTTCTGGTCACGAAGAAGGAGGGCAACTACAAGTTCTTTCTCGCCTCAGATGATGGTGCCCTGCATGCAGCAAGCAGTGGCCCCGCATTAGCACGGGTTGAAGAGAGCGTGTGCTTGCAGCTGAGTTTGTCGTGAGGCTCTCTCATGTGGCTGAACGGAGAGCAGGTCGTCGACAACAACGATTGCCATGGAGAAACGGAGAAGGGAAGCAGCGACAAGTTCCTGAAGCCAGGTGCCCATGAGATCAGGGTAGAGATGTGCGAGAACCACGGCGCCGAAGTCTTCAAGATGCGCTACCAGGGTCCGGATACCGGCAACTCCAAGGTGAAGGTCCCCGCTGCAGTCCTCAAGCACGAGAAGGCATTCTGGGATTGACAGCAGAGTTCGTTACAGTGAGCCAACTCATGGCATGCACTTGCCGTGTCGTCTAGGGTTTCGGGCGAGGGTTCGAGCTGCAGCTGCTGCTGTGGCAAAGCTGAGGTGCTGTCCTTGGGGTTTAAAGTCGTGGCACTCGGCGGTAAACGCTCCCTAGGCTCTGTAGCCCGGAACCCTAATGCATCCTTCACCGATGCCACGTCTACTAAACCCTATAAGTCTTCGGCACTTCGAACCGCGGAAGCCTGAATTTCCCATCGAACCTGTAGGGTCTAGGACCTCGGATTTAGAGTTCAAGATTTGCACTTTAGTCCGTGCGATTTGGAGTTTAGGGGATAGCCGCTTTACGGTTAAACTTAAAACAGCTGCGAAGCGTTGAGCACGAAGAGAGCGACGGGTCTTGGGAGAGTTTGTCAGGAGGGGGAGGAAGAGAGAAGGAGAAGGACATCTAGCGTGGATACATGTACGTACAGGTGTATAGGTGTATACATACCTGCGTACATGCGCACATACAGGCGGAGCCACCCTCTGGATCGGCGAAGGGAAGACAGAGAGAAGCTAGAGCTTATATGGGGACACACAACATAAAACCCTCAGACCTAAACCAAAAACCTTCATGGATAAAGGCCCAAAGCAGATCCAAGATCCCACACAGCAGAATATTTTATTTATTGTTTATAAGAACTCTCAAAGCCTAAACCCAGCTTTAGCCCTTGGCAGAAGTTGGTGCCCTGGTTCATGGGCAACAGTGGGGAAACCTGCGACTCGGTGCCGTGGCTCAATTTTTAGGGTTTAGAGTTTAGGCGGGTTTAGGGTTTAGGGGAGTTTAGGGTTTAGGGGGGTTTGGGGTTTGGGGGTGCAGAATTTCCGGATTTCTGGTTAAGGGTTTAGAGTTTCGGGGCTTGCGAGGAAGGCAAACAGCATCAAGCAGCGTAGGATTGCATCCAGAAAGAGACACGCCAACCTATCAGCGCTGTGCAACTCCTACAACCCTCAGCCGCATTCCCCAAAGGAATTTAACTTATTTTGCTACCAACCTAGTACCAGAAATGCATCACAGCGATCCTAGATCCTGATCTTTCAGCCTACACGGATGTCGCATGTGTTGCCCACATCACCAGGGGCTCTATTGGAGGTCGTTTCGATGTGTTGGTGTTGTCAACCACTCACGATGTCAAATACCCCTCTTGGCTCATCAAAATTGTAATTCGATACGGGGGTTTCTTTTCGATACCGGCTCTCCATTATCGATTCTGGTGTTTTTCCAAAATCTCGATAATGAGCCAAGAAATACCAGGACCCCCCAAGGGCCCTGTATGGCCCTGAATAGTGGGTATTTAGGGTATATTAGAGGGTAGTTGGGGGTCTAGGTATAGAAACCCTTTATAGATCCAACCCCGATAGATCCCTTTAAGGAACCCTAGAAAGGGACCCTCAACCCGTTGTTGGAAATCCAGAAATCCGATGGTCTCTTGGAACAGGTGTGCGAGCGCAACTCCTACGAGCAATGCGCCGCTGAGATGAGACAGTTCTAATCTCGACAGGGTTTACTTGGAGGCCCAAGTAGGTTATAAGTAGAGTTACAAGTACCCTAAATCGAGTTACCCCAATTATAACCCTACTTATAAACGACTTACTAAGTCCCCCGGTGCCTCCAAGTAGGGTTTAGCGATACCCTGAAACCAAATCAAAGCCAGATGCTATAGTTGTCTGAAGCCCGAAACATAAACCTCCCCGCAAAGCTGATCCGCACACCCTGAAACCACCTATATATAGTCTCCATTGAAGTTCCTTTTTGGGGTTACCCTTCAGGATCCTTAACATAAAACTGGTTCAACCAAAAAAAGGAACTACAATGGAGACTATAGGCAAACGTCAAGCCGACAACCTGTAAATCCGGCGCCGTGAGTCCTACGAACTGCACATCTCCTCAACCCAACGCCCTTAAATCATAGGAACCCTTAAGCGGGGGGTCTGGGGCGGTTTAGGGTTTAGGGGAGGGGGGTAGGGGAACTATACTTGCTTAAATGGGCCTTGTCAAGTCCTTGTTATCGGTATTAAGGCCCCCTAACCCCCCTCCCCCTACCCACCTAAGGGTCCTTATGACCCTAGCCGCCTCCCGGCTGAGTTCTTTGAAAGAGGTGTTCGGCCAGCACGATTATAAAGCTTGTAGGTTTAAGGGTTCCGGGGTTAAGGACATTTAGCACATTTAGGACTCAGAGAGCATCGTAGAGGTGGACTTGCCTTTGTGACCTAAGCTGTCCAGCAAAGTGTGGCGACCGGGCCATCGAGAAGCAAATGCCTAAACGAGATGATCGCAGACTGCAGGCCCTGAAGTAGGTAGTTTTGTGCACTTTCAACTCTAAACCGCAACCTGGGTTGTTCTTTTGAAACTCTATACCGCTACCTCGCTCACAAACCCCAAATCCAAGGATAAGGAGCAGATGGTGGCCCTCTCCAGCAACGAGAAAGTCTCAGCGGCCTTCCGCGAAGTGGGCTACCACTGCAAGGGTCGCGTGCACCGAGTGTGGGTTTAATGGTTTAGCTTTTTTACGGCTGTAATGTGGGTAGTTGTCAAAATTCAGGTCCCTTTTTTGGGTGCCCTGAATAATACTAGGTGCCGTATTATACTAGGAACCCAAAAAGGGAAATAATGTTGACAACCACCCAAATGTAGGAATCCAATTAAGAAACCTTGGGTCCTTATTAGGGTTCTTAGTATAGGGCCAGGGTTTCTTAACCAGGTTCCTACATTAGAGTTGTTAAGTTTTGGTTTTGTTTGGTTTCTCAGAATTCAGGCACCGGTCGAAGGGTCTATGATTAATTTAGCTTCGGATGCACATGCCTTCCGGTAGTTGTGACTTTGCCACGGTCCCCATTAACCCGAACTGATAAATCTTCAATCCTGAGATTCCTGTAGTAAAAATGGAAGCCCACAAGTTGGAAACCCGATAGCTTCAATCCTTAAGAGTAGTGCTTACGGAGTCCCGGCAGTAATTCTTCATCCGGTATCCAACGTTTTGGGGATCATATCATCATGTCAGCTATGATCCGCACGCCGAGGCCCTTATCGCAAACCGAAAAACAAACTTAAAACCCAACACCTACCCCGAAACATCTAAACCCTGAGCCTAGATCCTAAAAGCTTATGAATCCCTTGAAGGACTCCTTAGGGGGGGTTCTCGCCAAGGCTACCATGGAGCCCGAAATTATCCTGGCAGCCCTTTCTCCACGGGCAGAAACGACGACTGCGCGCCAGCTGTTGGGCTGATTTTAAGGGATTCCTTCTAAAGGGTCCAGGGCTTAGGGTTTTCGAGGATTTTGGGTTTAGAGTTTAAGTGTTCTTTTCAGGGTTCCTGTACACTGCACACGTTCCTCAAGGGTTCTTCTAAAGGTCCACCTAGTAGTAGAGTACGTAACCTTGAACCGTTTTTGGGTAATATAGTACCTATATAACCCCTATATACCCCCTATATAACCAAAAAGGTTAACCATTAGTTCCCCATGATACCCGACAAGTAGGTTAAGGGATCTACTTGGAGGCCCAGTCGTCTTAGTAAGTCGGTTATAAGTAGGGTTCTAATCGGGGTAACTCCATTTTCTTACTCTATTACCAGCTACTAGGTCCCCTGGGCCTCTAAGTAAGCGATCTACAGAGGGGTCAATCAAGCATAAGTTTTCGGGGTTTAATCTGTTGGGGGCTACTTACTATAATTATAGTATACTGGGCGCCTAAACCCTATTCCAGTCATTAACGCTCCTATATTGGAGTTTCTCAAGATAGGGGATCTTAATATAGTGCCCTGAACAGTAGGATCCGTATCATAAGGACCCCAACATAAGGTGCCCTATATTTTTTGGAAGCTCCCATATCAAACGCCTAACTAAAGCGAGTTTCAGGGTTGAGAGCTCCTGCAGGGTTTAGGGTTTAGCTTACCTTAAGTTAGTAGGGGATGGAGGAATGGGGTTTAGGGTAGTAGGGTTTAGAGTTTAGGGTAGTAGGGAATGGAGGAATGGACCATTCTTCCGTTCCCTACTAACCAAAGATAAGTTTGGGGTTTAGGGGTGGCCCCCTGCCGAGTCTCAAGTGGAAGAAATCGTTTTTCGTTGTCGTTTAGAGATTGAGTCGTTACACATGGTTCCTTTTTGGGGGTTCCTTTTTGGAATCCTATAAGGTAATCCCAAAAAGGAACTTCGACGGAGCCTCTGGGTAATGCACCTCATGTTGCGAAATACTTGTGGGCTAAAGGATGCTGGGATGCTGCTGGAGGTTGAACCTATCCTAGGATGCCCAGTAGTACCCTTCTTCCCTTTTAGTCCTAGGTTCCTTGTAAAGGTGCCCAATACCAAAAAGGGAGCCCTTTTTATTCCAAGGTTACTGGGCATCCTAGTTCTTCCTGCATGTTCAGTGCAAACTCCTTGTTCATGCAGAGCTCAGGTTACTCCCGAAACCAGTCCGAGCTCATTGAGTTGCGACAGGAACCAAGGTGGCGGCAAGCCGCTTTGTGCCTGCAAAGAAAAGAAGGCCACTTTCGGGCAATGACGGTTTAGTGTTTCAGGGCTCAGGGCCTAGGTTTTAGGGTTTAGGGTTTTAGGGTTTAGGGTTTAGGGTTTAGGTTTTGCTCTGCTGATTGTTTCGGGCTTAGGTTTGTGAAGCTGCTATTGGCAAAGGTTCATACCTGGAGTTTCAGAGGCCTTTCATCAGGGTGTCATCGCACACTAGATTTACGAGGTTCTTTCTTACCGACTCCTCGTATGAGCGCTGGAGTTTCCGGGTACACGGTAAACAGGGCTTAGGGTTTAGGGGTAAACATGGGCGAACACCCTGGTAGGGAGAACATACCTTCCCAGCTCTCGTATGCAGCAGAAACAAAACGGTACAATCATGAGTAAGTAGCAAAGCCAAGGTAAAGCTTTATGCACATATCTAAACCTTCCGATGTCAGAGTCACGTCTCAGGAGCAGAAGAAGGACAAAGTCCTGCAAAACAAAACCGAAAAGCGTTAACACCCTGAGCGGTACGACAGACACCTACATGTTGACCCAAGTGCTAAGCACTAAAGCCCAAACCTAAGAACACAAACAAGCTGCAGGACAGAGTGTGGTTCCAGGCAGACTTCGCTCAGCCGTGCAACGACGTGCCTCGCCCGACGTGTGCATAAAGCTTAGGGTTTAGGGGTTTAGGGTTAAGGGTGTTTGAACCTTTGCGGTTTAGGGTTTCGGTTCTGGTGTTGGTTTCCAAGAATCTTGAACTTGCGGCAGTTTGGACGTTAGGTTTTTGTAGGGCTGCATGGAGGTTATGGTTTCATTGGGCTTAGTCTTCGCATGCCTGTCGGCGAACTTTGCTGTCGTTTGCAAAGAGCAAATGTCAAGTTTATTCGTCGTGGGGTCCAAATCATAAGGAGAACTCAATGCACTGAGCTGCCACACAAGATTCCACTCAGACTGTTCGCTTGAGCTCTGCTGGCTCTGTGCTGTTGTCCATGGCTTTGCAAGCTTCCTCTTGACGGTGAAACGATACTGACTGGAACCATGTTTTGAGTCCTTGCATTCGGCCTTGTCTGCAAGCTGTGTAACCGAATCCTTCAGTCCGAAATGCTTATTGCTTAAGCGTTAGATTCTTGGCCCAACACATCAAGTTTATTCGCTTCAAACGCTTCGTAAGGAACAGCATTAAAACGGCTAGGAAGTGCGAATTGTTTCACCGCCTTCAACAAAGCCATCAACATTACACCTTGCACTTGCGAGCCAACTTCAGAGTTTGCAACTGGCATGGCAGAACCTGTAGAGCTTTCCAACATCGCAACACAATTACTTTCACACGAACAAAGCCAACGACCACTGAATTCACACAACTGACCACTTTTCCCTGAAAATCCCGGCATCATGTGCACAACACTCCGCAAACCCTTATCGATAACGTGGTTTTCCTGCCATCAATGAATCAAAAGCTTTCCCTGGTTCCAGCCGGTCAGGGCCTTGTATGAGACTTTCAGGACATGAGGAACCATGATTAACGTTTCTAAATACTGAGGAAGACTCTGATGGCAACGGCCGAAAACGAGCAACTACTTGACTTATGAAGCCTCGCCGAACCTTCGCCCTGGCGAAAACCAGGTGTGCAAAGCCAACGGCTTCCGCAGCTGCGACACTTTGATTGATTAATATAGGGGCCTGAGTAAGTACCTATACTATTTTGGGGGGTTCCTTGTTATAATTATAGTAGAATGGGCCCCAAAACCTATTCTAATTATTAAGGCCCTTACATTGCGCGAAGTCGGACAGGTTTAGGGTTTGTGTGTGCCTGGCTTCGCTGCTCCCGCCGAAACACACCACGTGGGTAGTCCTCTAAAGCAGGGTCCCTTTTGAAGTTAGGGTCCTTGCCCGTACTTTGGGGACCCTAAAAGAGAGAACCACCCAAGCAGCGTTAGATCCCAGCACTTTGTCATAGTTGGGTAACATTTTACATTTTTACGCGTACTTAAACCCAATAAGGAATACAGATTTAGATTTTTAATCCTATCCCAACCATGAACTAGAGCAAGGCAGTGTAAACTGGCCGAGATCCCGGTAGGATACAGGATTTAGGCACCTGCTCTTGGCATTACACACAAGGCAAGGAGAAGCAAACCCCCAACCCTAAACCCCTGAGCCCCTAAACCCTAAACCCTGAAAAGAGCCCATAAAATTAAATATAAAAACCTAAACCCCTAATTCCTAAACCTAAACCCTGAACTCTGAACATGGCGCCTGTCCACGGTTGCAGGGGCCTGGGAGACTCCATGACCCCAAGCCGAGAGACCTCGAGACCTGAAGCCGAAAACCCGTACCTGTAAGTGGGGTTCATGGGTAGTTATAAGGGCCTCTTTAAAGGGATCTATAGGGATTCTATAAGGGTATAGGGATTCCCCCTGTAAACTTAGGGGTACTTAGAAATATTTTTTAATTATTGGTTATTATAGTCCCTAAGAAACAGCTAAAATTGTAATTGTTGCTAGGGTTCTAAGTTCAGTATAGTAAAGTGTACAGCCTGTGCTGAAAGCCGCGTAAACCCTAAACCTTGCAAGCCCCAAACCCTGTAAACCCTACACTCTACTTAGATCCCCAATACCTAACCTTTAAACTTGTTGGGCTCTTATAGTTTAGTAGGAATCGGAAAGTTTAATCTTTCATATTTGTGGCTTGTTGTGTAAGTAAGGGGTTTGGGTTAAGGGTTTAGGGGGTTTAGGGGTTTAGGGGTTTATGGTTGAGACCTTTTATTTCTGTGGCTTGTTGGGGTAGTAAGTCTAAACCCTGTAAGCCACTGAACCCTAAATCCGGTAAACCCTACTTGGAGGGCGTTTAGGGGACTTAGCAAGGGCTCCTTTAAAGGGGATTCTAAGGGCTCCTTTAAAGGGCACTATAAGGGTAGTATAGGGTTTAGGGTTCAGGGACTTAGTAAGTAGGTAGTAAGTAGACTTATAAGTACCCTAAACGGGACCCTAATTGGGGTTGTGGTACTTATAAGTCCCTAAAGTAACCAGTTACTAAGTCCCTCGACCCTCCAAGTAATTTTGGCCGTTGATACCCGAAAGATTCCCGGCTGCAAACCTATACCTTAGAAGCTGCCCCCACCCTGTAACTTAGAAGTACTTAGAAATGATTTTTAAGTTTTGGTTATTATAATCCCTAAGAAACAGCTAAAATTATAATTGTTGCTAGGGTTCTAAGTTCAGTATAGTAATAGTGGTATAATAGGAATATGACAGGGCCCTAATATAATCCTTATAGTCACTATTACAGGGTGGGGGCGGCTTCTAACCTATACCCTACAGCTTGGAGCCCGGGATGGTGAAGCTGACCGGCATTCAAGCCCCAATCCCCTAAACCCGAAAGCCTAAACTCCATTCCTAAATCCCTAAACCCCGAAATCCTAAACTCTAAACCCCACTCCTAAACCCCAAAATTTTAAACTCCACTTCTAAACCCCTAAACCCCCTAAGCCCCTAAACCCTAAACCCTAAAGTCCACTCCTAAACCCCTAAGCCCCTAAGCTCCCGTCCTATTCATTCAGACCAACTAGGACCCAGAGTAGGCCCTTATTCCCTTTTTTGAGGCTTAGGCTCCCTTATAAACCCCTTTAAACCAAAAAGGGCACCCTTTTTATTCCTAGGTTACTCTTAGGTCTAGCCAAAGGATGGCTTTCGAGCTCGCTTCCTGCTTTGGTGTTCAGGGCTCGGCTCTAGATCTTGGTTGCCAGGGCTCAGGGTTTAGGGTTTTAAGGTTTAGGGTTTAGGGGTTTAGGGTTTTAAGGTTTTAAGGTTTGGGGTTTAGGGTTTTAGGGTTTTAAGGTTTAGGGTTTTAAGGTTTAGGGTTTAGGGTTTTAAGGTTTAGGGTTTAGGGTTTTAAGGTTTAGGGTTTTAAGGTTTAGGGTTTAGGGTTTTAAGGTTTAGGGTTTTAAGGTTTGGGGTTTAGGGCTTTAAGGTTTAGGGTTTAGGGTTTTAAGGTTTAGGGTTTTAAGGTTTAGGGTTTAGGGTTTTAAGGTTTAGGGTTTAGGGTTTTAAGGTTTAGGGTTTTAAGGTTTGGGGTTTAGGGCTTTGGGTTGAGGGTTTAGGGCTGTATTGGTCCAAGACCCAACTTTTCAACTTTTAGGCTCTTATCAGGTAGTCTTATTCAGAAAGTGGAGCTTTTCAAACCTGGTGTTTTTCGGAAGTAAGTTAAGGGACTTCATTTTAGCTACCACAACAAGGGTTCCTTAAAGGGATCTATAAGGGTTCCTTTAAGGGTATAGGGATATATTGTAAGTACTGGGTTCTGGAGTACCGTATTCACTTGACATGAAAGCTCGTAGCCGATAACATGAATTCCAGATACTTCGGGGTGCCACGCATTCAAGGTACAAGTACGTGTATGTGTTGGCTATCTCTAGCTTTCATTCGTTGTGGAATTGTTTGGCAGAGCGCGATAGAGCCCCGTACTTAAGACCCCCTAGCCACTCCCTAACCCTATCCTAAACCCTAAACCCCATATGAATGGTTGTCAAAATTATGGTCCCTTTTTGGGCCCTTAATATAGTACGGCACCTATTATTTAGGGAGGGGCCAGAATTTTGACAACTACCCATATAAACCCTATAAACCCCAAAGCTCTTAGCCTCTCTACGTGCCTGCACGAAAGCATGAGATCCCGAGGACAAGCAGAAAATGGCTGCGCTCAATTCCAACGATAAGGTGGGAGGTTTTTAGCGTTTAGGGTTGGGGGTTTAGGGTGTAGAGTTTAAGGTTTAGAGTTTAGGGTTTCGGGTTTCGAGTTTAGGGTTTAGGGTTTAGAGTTTGTGGTGGGTGTTTCCGAGAATGGGCATCCCAATAAGCACCAGAACAGTAAGAGATTCCCATGTAAGGTTTTGTTGTATAAAACCCGAAGGTCAAGGCGGCTTTTGCAAAAGTCGGCCACGTCTGCAAGAGCTTCTCGGGCGCAACCCTCTTGCGGATTCATACCGGGGCTAAACGAGCAGTATTCGTATCAAGTCGCATACTAGGGGAATCCCCGAAACCTTATTCTGATTATTGAGGCCTTGTTGAGGCCCCTCTACATTCCATATGGGAGTTTCCGAAGCTTAGGGGTACCTTATTTTGGGGGGTCCTTATAATAAGGATCCTACTATTTAGGGTACAAGTTTTGGGTCCCCTATTTTCGGACACTCCCATATCTTGCTGAGACCGGCTGAGATATTTGAACGGCGTACGTCTGAGGATCAGAACTGCCCCTGGCCTCAAGGTTTTAGAGTTTGCCACCTCAACTTCGGAGTGCTTTCCGCACCAAGGTTTCCATGCATCGCGGAACTATCCCGGTGCCCCATTCATCACAGGCCGCAAAAATGATGATTGCACCTGGGCTGAGTGGATCTTCGTCATGATCTTAGGCTCTGAGGTGAGGGCCTAGGTCATAGGCCCAACATGGCCCAACATAATCAAAATATGCCGTACCTGTAGCCGAAAAGACCTACCGTTTTAAGGAACTATACATATGCATATATATATATATATATATATAGAAACCATAATAAGGAACCCTAAAAGGTAGGCAGGTCTTTGCGGCCACAGGTACCCCAAAGCCCTCTCAAGACTTTTTCGTTGACCAGAAAGGCTATCTTCTTTACCTAGGATGCCCAGCAGTACCCTTATTCCCTTTTTGTAGTCCCAGGTTCCGTATAGAGGTACCCAATTTCAACCTAGGTTCCTGGGCATCCTAGATTAAGATTTCAACTGTGTTTACGCTCATGCTCGATGGTTGAAGTTGGAGCATACGATGGCGGCTGCTCTCAATTAAGCCTCCTTGTAATACAGCGCCGAACAACCCCCGCGCCCTCGCTGCGCCGTATATAGTTGCCGCAAAACCTCAAGCCTTCAGCCCTGAAGCCCCAACCCATAAAAAACGAAACCCCAAAGCCCAAAACCCCGAAAGCTGAAATCCTAAACCCTGAACCCTATATCTCAAGCGTTGAACCCAGGCACGCCAGTAACTTCCGGAACATCCGCGAGTGCCTTGAGCTGCTCCAAAGTCCGACATTCCAACACAGCGCCGCTCTGTGCGTGCAAGGACAAGGTGAAGGCGACTCAGGGTTCCTGCTTGGAGGGTCGGGGACTTAGTAAGGGCTCCTTTAAAGGGGATTCTAAGGGCTCCTTTAAAGGGTAGTATAGGGTGTAGGGTTTAGGGTTCAGGGACTTAGTAAGTAGGTAGTAAGTAGACTTATAAGTACCCTAAAAGGGACCCTGGTTGGGGTTATGGTACTTATAAGTCCCTAAAATAACCAGTTACTAAGTCCCCAGACCCTCCGAGTGGGGTTAAGGGCTTAGTGTTTGGGGCTCTAGGGTTTTAGTGCTTAGGGTTTTTAGGGTTTTCGGGTTTAGGGCTTTAGGGTTAAAGGGTTGAAGGGTTTAGGGTTTTGGGGTTTAGGGCTTAGGGTTTAGGGTTCAGGGTTTAGGGCTTAGGGTTTTCGGGTTTACGGTTCAGGGTTTGGGGTTTGGGTTTTAGGATTTAGCGCTGATTCTTAGTAGGGAATGGGGGAATGGGATGTGCGGACTATCATTGGGGATTAGGTTATATAGGGGCTATTATAGGGATCCATTCCCCCATTCCCCACTAAGAACCAGACAGCAGTTCGGTGTCCCGGGTTTGATACTTCAGTTGTCTTAACTTACTCGGTTCTTCAATGCCCAACTTGGAAAGTCCTTGGGAAAATGCCACTGTGTTCTTTGACTTGAAGTCCAAGCTGTCATTCCTTTTTGTGTTTGGTAAACGAAAATCTGTGCAGCATTTCATGCTTAGGTTTTGGGGGTCGGGATGACCTTGTTATTTTGGGGTCTCCTGACTAACACCCATTATTAAAAAAGCATGCCTGGCGATACTGCGAGACCTGCTGTGGATTGTCGTCGTTATGCTTTGTTATTGCCGTCACTGTTTTTTGTTGTCTTTTTCTCCTTATTCATCCAGTCCTTGTTCTCGCTTTCATTGTCGTTGCTCTTGACCCTAAACCCTACACAGCCTATGGTAGTGGTTGCGGTCGTCATGGTTTCGGTTGGTTTTGGCGGCAATGGTGGTGGGTTGGGGCTGCTGGTGACATTGATGCTGGCAGTTGATGGCGGAGTGGTCGTAGCGGCGGCCGTAGTCATCCTTTCCGCCAGCTGTCGCCTTTGATTTTTTAACTGACCGCCAGAAGTAACAGGTTTTTGTTCGCGTTTGTTGGTCTTGCCACGGGTTCAGACTTCTCATCACAAAAGGCAGTCCTGGTCCTTGGCCAGAACGGCTGGATGCTCTGAAGAAAGGGGAGCCCAGTAGATGCTTCGCTGAGTAGGTGTCATCATGGGGCCACCATGGATGACGGTGTCATCTTTGTGCGGATGGATGCCCTGGCAAACGGACCTCATCATGTTTCGACCACGGCTGCGTTAGTAGATGGGGACCATGATGCTGCGACCATGGATGATTATGATCTGTGAAATCATGTCACACTGTCTGTCTCAAGGCCTCAGCTCGGAAATTCGCATCTTAGCTCTGCGAGGCTCTGCTTGGCCGAGAGGTCTAGTACAGTTAACAGTGAATTTCAAGACCCTGCTCCCCCAAAAAAACCGTGAATTGCCCAGAGACTCCAATATCCTTGAATGAAGGAATTCGGAATTTACCTTAAATCATATTAGGGATCCTACTATACTTTAAGGTATATTCCTTTATTTTTTGGGATATCGGAGTCTCTGGGTGTCCAGCCCTGAACCCCACAAGCCGAGGGCCAAGTCTGATAGCGAAATAGGCCCCCCAGGTTCTGCAAGATCCAGAAGTCATAAGCACCTTTTGGGGGGTACAGTTTTAGCCCAAAAGTTGGAAACCCCAGAGCCTCCATTCTTAAGAGTAATGTAGAGGGAATCCCAGCATTTTTTGGCCTTAATCCAGTTTCCAACTTCATGGGGTTTACTGTAGAGGGGGTAGGGGGCCTTAATACCCGAAAGAAGGACCTAATAAAGCGTATTTAAAGAAGTATAGTCCACTACCCCCCCCCCCCTCCCCCAAAACCCCCCTAACCTAAGAGTCCCGTATGAAGATGTCCTCGATGCAGCCGTGGATTCTCAGGTGAACTGGAAGCTTGCGTTGAAGGTTGGCGAGACGAAGACGCTGGGATTCTCCAGCCCACTCTGGACCAACACAGCCTTGCTCAACGAAGCATCGCCTGTGGACACCATTGAGGATGCCAAGTACAAGGAATCTAGGATGCCCAGTAGTACCCTTGTTCCCTTTTTTGTAGTCCTAGGTTCCTTATAAAAGATACCCAATTTCAAGAATGGAGCCCCTTTTATGTCTAGGTTTCTGGGCATCCTAGGAATTCAACACGGAGCCTTTCGAGCGGATCCGCATGTGCGTTGGGAGCCCGGAGTCTAACTGCGTGGTGCACGACTTCTCCAGAAGGTGGGTGGCTGCCAAATTGTGGTCCCTTTCCCTAGGCATCTAAGGACTCATATATTAAGGCTTTTGGGCCTAAAGACAATATTATGTAAGGCTTTTGGGATATTTTGATGCCCAGGGTTTTTGGGTCCCTAATATAGTACGGCACCGAAAATATTTAGGGTAGCCAAAAGGGGAGCATAATTTTGTCGACCACCCAGGTACAGCAGTGCCAGGGCCCTCTTCAATGCCGGTTACATCCGAGACGAAAGCGTGGACAAAGATGGCATCCTGAGCAGCTTCGGGCCGGTGCAAGGCTCCTACCGAGATTGCCCGATGCAGAGGCCAGGGAATAGAGTTTAGGGGTTTAGGGTTTGGGGATTTAGGGTTTAGGGGTTTGGGGTTTAGGGCTCACATGTTCGTTCTCAGAGGTTTGAGTCTCGTTGCTGCGCGTGTTCTGTTGCAGACGGTTTGCGATGTTTTTTGTCAGGCCTGGCTTCAACATCGAGTGCAAAGATGGCAACAAAGCTCGGTGGGGTTTCTGTGCGAACTGCCCAAGCCAGGCGTGCCAAAGCGCTGACAGCAACGATGCGGACGCTGCCATCGGAATTGGAATCGCGGGGCAGTCCACGGACACGGAGCTTGGAGCAGGTTGGACGGCGTGCCGCATCTGCAATTCAGTGCTGAGACTCCTCGCAAGGTTTGCCACAGTCGCTGGTGCATTGCAGATGTGGGAGTCTCCGAAAATAGGGGACCGTAATATAGTACCGAAGGATCCTTATGTTAAGGACCGCAAAATGAGATCACCCTAATTTTCGGAAACTCGTGGCCGTCTGCTCCACATCTCCCAGGTACTTCGCTTCAGGGGCAGGCACGTGCGCTGCCAACAGCAAGACCTTCAAGCCCGTGACCCGCCTGGATCTGGCTCTTAGCCAAAGGCCCCATAGTAGTTCTTTTTTCGGACTACCTAAGAGAATTCTAAATATGAACCCCAAAATGGAGCTACTTTGGGGCCTATGGGTAGACCTGCAGCCCTGACTCAGAAATGTAGAGGTGTATATAGAGGCCTCAAAAGATTAGAACAGGGTTTTTTGTGCCCATGATACTATATTTACAATGATGAGCCCTAGGGAATCATATTATGTGAATATTTAGGCCCCTACGTTAGAATCGTTGACTCGAGATGACTCGAGTATATTCGTGCACTTGTTCCGCATATAATATCATCGTTGGTCATTGTGCATCAGACATTACACAATCCCCAAGGGTCCAAGTACCTAATACTCGCACACTCTCCAAAATCCTAACCTACATACCTAGTATCCTAAAACCCCTAAACCCTAAACCCTAAACCCTAATTATTGAGTCCTTTGGACCCTTAGGGAATGTACTTTATATCGGGCCTTAACCCATAAACCAGGACCCTCCTTGAACCCTCCAACAGGGGTATATGGTCCCAAATAAGGGGCATTTAGGGTCTAATAGAGGGTAGACCCTAAACCCTAAACCCTGAAACCCTAAACGCCCGAAAAGTTCTCGAATTTCTATTACGGGTGTTGGGCCCTGCATCGGCCGGAGCTGTGGCCTTCAGTTCACGCCTCATGTCAGGGGGCACGGTTTAGGGTTTAGGTGACCCTGCCGGGTTCAGAGTTTAGGGTAATGTAGGAAGTTTGATTGAGAAACCTTGGGCCGTTTTTTTAGGGTTCCTTAAATGAATCCTACTATTTTGGGGGTTACAGGCCCAGGGTTTTTTCATCAGGTTCCTAATCGCGGGTTGTCCTTCACGCAAACGGTGGTGTTTGAGTCCGGGAGCGCCTGGGTCCCATAACCGCTGCCCGACGCAGGGTTTGGGGTTGTGGGGTTTTAGGGTTTAGGGTTTGAGGGTTTAGGGTTTGAGGGTTTAGGGTTTGAGGGTTTAGTTTAGTGTTTGAGGGTTTAGGGTTTGAGGGTTTAGGGTTTGAGGTTGGTGTTTAGGGTAACTACTTGCGGGACCCTCAATGACGAGCCCTCTCGCAGGTGCTCCCGCAAGGAACGCAGTCTTGCCTCTATACTGTAGGGCCTTAATAATTTGAACAGGGTTTGGGTATATAGTATATTTTATTTAAATCCACCAAAACCCTATTCTAATTTGAAACGCTTCGCGTCGTCCGCCTCGGCCCGGCTTTTCGCGCATGCGGCGACTGGCTACCATCCGGCGCAGCAGGAAGCTCTTGTACGAAAATAACAACAGTTGGAATCGCACTTGTATTAATTGTAGGGCAGGGCAAAGCAGGGCAGAGCAGCGTAAGGCAGAGGGCTTGTCTCAAGAAGCCAGCAAGAGGTTGATGTGACCATTGTAGCATCTCCGCGTTCTGTGCCTGATATTCGACATAGCCCCTAGCTGGCGATAGCGATGCTTGAATCTCCGATGCTATGAGAAGGTTAGGTCGTGGAGCGCGTGCTGTGCTGCCCAAAGCAACGCTATTTCCGAACTTTGCCTGGAGGGGGGCATAGGGGAGCGGGGGGGGGTTCAGCGGGGGGGGGGGGGGGGGGGGGGCGGGAGGGGGGCAGGGGGGGGAATAGAGGGAATCCGAATAGGAACCTCTCACCGCTTCCATGAGGGCCGAGGCCTGCATGTCCCCACCACTTGAAGCCGCTCGCTCACTCGCTTGAAAGTCGAGGGTTTAGGGATAGCGGCGACAAAAGGCCGCATGGGCAGCTACTCGCAGGATGCTGCGGTCGACTTAAACGGTTTAGGGTTTTTATGGTTTACCCAGAGGCCCAATAGCAGTTCCTTTTTGGGGCTCATATAAATTTAAAGAATCCTATAAGGTAATCGCAAAAAGGAACTACTTTGGGGCCTCTGGGTAGGGTTTAGGGACGTATGGCAGTCCTGGTAAAGCTGCGCAAAGACCGCATGGCAGCGTGCCAGCGGCCTCCACGGTGTTGCGCTTTCTTGCAAACAGATGTAAAAGCAGTCAATTGTCAAGCTGTAGTCATGCTTCTGTTCGAAGTGTACGTCCCACAGCACCTTCAAAGCCAACCTAAAACTGAAAAGGCTTAACGGCGCTGAAGCATGGATGTTGACCCTAAACCCCACCTTAACCCTGAATAACTTACCTTGTAAAGGACGTAGAAAGGAAAACATAGCAAGGAGCCCGAAAAAGGTGGGTTCTTCAGGGTTAAGGTCAACCCTAAACCCCTAAACCGAGAACCACTAATAAACCCTAATCCCTAGACCCGAAACTTATAATCCCTAATCCCAACCCAGGAACCTTAAAACACTAAAAAGCCCTAATCCCTGAACCCGAAGCCCTAATCCCTAGCCCGTAACCCATCAGGGTCAAGGTAAACCCTACTTGGAGGGTCGGGGGACTTAGTAAGTAGGTAGTAAGTAGACTTATAAGTACCCTAAAAAGGACCCTAATTGGGGTTATGGTACTTATAAGTCCCTAAAACAACCAGTTACTAAGTCCCCCGACCCTCCAAGTAATCTTCGAGCCTAAACCTGGCTAGGCCAGGCGCCGGCTTCCTGAGCCGAAGCTATACCACCTGTAAATGTCAGGGTTTAGGGTTTAAGGTTTAGCTATGTTTAGCTCAGGGTTTAAGGTTTAGTTTGGGGTTTAAGGTTTAGTTTAGGGTTTATTCTAGGGTTCAGGGTTTAGTTTAGGGTTCAGGGTTTAAGTTGTTTAGAACTTGGAGCTGGATTGTTGACCTCAGAACGAAACCCAGGTGTGGCTTTGGGTCAACAGTCTCAAAGACGCCGCTCTGCTGCTTTGGTTCGGTTTGCACCCCACCCCTGTGGTCTAATTTTCCACTGAAGTACCGAAGTACAGAAGCCTACACCCAAACCCTTGCACAAGACTGCGTTGTCTCATGTGGGTGGTTGTCAAAATTATGGTTCCTTTTTGGGTACCCTGAATAATAGGTGCCGTATTATAACAAGGACCCAAGAAGGGACCCTAATTTTGACAACCACCCATGTAAAGGCTTGGGATTTAGTCAGTTCGGCAGTCTGAGTTTTCATCTTTGTCGAGGGCTTCTGGTCTGGCTTGGTTGCGTTGAACCTATAGTAGAAGCCAGAAAGTTGGAACATGGCTTTAGGAGGATTAGTGCTAGGACCCCTTATACTTTACCTTAAGGGCATGAGGCCAATGATGTTCCAACTTTCTGGCTTCTACTGTAGGCTTTTATTGCAACTAGCTTAGGGTTTTAGGGTTTCTGTACATGCACTGCATACGCAGAAAAAATGTGCATGGCATTGTCTGAAAGATTCCCAGTTTACAGCCTCCTCGCTACAAGAAAGAAGTTTGGCAAATAAGAGCTTCATTCGGCAAAGCTAGGAGTTTATTCGACCACTACAGAGTTCATGAGTATTCCTTAAATCCCAAACATGTAATGTCTGCCCTCAGCATGGAATCCCGTGTTCCCAGGCGGACATTCTGCAAACCTGAATGTTCATCACACCAACCCTATAGCCCTACCCATAGACCCCAAAGTAGTTCCTTTTCGGGCTCATATTAAAGAATCCTATAAGGTAATCCCAAAAAGGAACTACTATGGGGCCTCTGGGTAAACCCAAAACCCTAAACTTTGAACCCCAACTCCTAAATAGACCCGTATCCCTAAGCCGTGAGCCCCAACGCTGCAAATCTTAAACCCCCCCTAAACCCTAAACCCTAAAATCCGAGTGGCCTGTCCACGCTCGTTCCTCTGGGTCCGAGCCCGTTCATTCGGCCTTGACAAGTGGCTTTAGCCCAAGGGTCAAAGGAGGGACCCTAAATAAGGACCCTTAAGTGTATGTGTGTATATATATATATATATATATATCTATATATAGGGTTACTATAGGGGTTCCTTAAAAGGGTTACTATAAAGGTACTAGGGCAGAATCCTTGGGTTTAGGGATTATCCAAGGGTAGAAGGAGGGACCCTTAATAAGGACCCCTAGGTATATACGCTTAATATCGCTATTTTATACCCATTATATAGCCCATTATAGGGTACGGGTCCTTATTATGGGTCCCTCCTTTTTACCCTTGGATTTAGGGGTTCGGACCTAGAGGGTTTCGGACTTAGGGGTTTGGGGCTTCGGGGTTTCGGACAAGGGAGGGCCTTCGTCATGAAGCTTAGGGTTGTTGGGCTTTGGGTTTAGGGTTGAGAGTTTTTTTGTTGGTTCGTTTCTTTGTGAAGCGCTTGCCGCGCACAAATGCTCTGCTCTCTAGCCAAAATAATTACCAACACTATTCTGGGGAGGGGCTTCCTTCTTATGCTTCTAGTGTAAGAATAAACCCCCAAAGCCCTAAACCCTACACCCTTTTCCGATTATTAAGGCAGCTAAAATAGCCGAAAGCATGAAGTCGGAGCCAGTGCCAGGGCTGTGGTTCCATCACTGGCTCGTCTGGATTGGGGATCGGATGGAATCTAGGATTTCCAGCAGTATACTTTTTACTTGTTTTGGTATTGGTTCCTAATACAATATGACTAACTTAAAGAAGTCTACATGTTTTCTCAGTGGGGTGCTGAACTGCTGAGGAATGCCATCACAACGATGAAGGAAGGAATCTTGGTGAATCCAGGCCAGCGTGACTACAAGCTCCAAAACGTCCCCTCCGTGCTCGATGGTGGCAAGTACAGTGGTAGCAAGACTTGGCCGTCTGCGGGGACATGGACAATCTCCTATGAAGCACCAGTAACTCTCTACGTGTGGGTCATGAAGCATCACTACAATGCCGGCGTGGATGCCGCACTCAGCGGCGACGGCTGGGAGCAAGTGGATGCGGGCGACTTCAAGAGAAGTGACAACCATGTGCTCAATGTTTGGAAACGTTCGTTTTCCACTGGCAGTCACCAGGTTGCCAAGCAGTACCCTTTTGCAATTTTCTTTTTGGGCTCCTTTATAAAAGCCAAATACTAGGAGAAACGGGACTTGTATCCCTCAACCCTAAACCCTAAAATCTATAAACCCTAAAACCCACAAACCATATGTAAGACCCTAAACCCTAAAACCCTAAGCCCTATAAGCCCTAAGCCCTAAAACCCTAAACCCTAACAGCCATAAACCCTAAAGCCCTAAATCCTAAGAGCCATAAACCCTAAAACCCTAAACCCCCCTAACAACCATAAACCCTAAGACCCAGGTCAATACCAGATCAAGACCACTGGGCTCATGGTCGGAGGTGTTGTGTCCAATGGCTGCCAGGCCAGGGATCCCCAAACCTTCGACTTCGACCCCTAAGCCCCAAATTTTTAAACCCTAAGCCCGAAACCCCACAACCCTAAACCACCCTAAAACTTAGGGGTACTTAGAATTTTTTTAGTTTTTGCGAATTATAACCTCTAAGAAACAACTAAGCTTATAATTTTGCTAGGGTTCTAAGTTCAGTATAGGAAACTGAGTTAGCTTGAGTAATGTAGGCTGTTCTGTGGTACGCTTTTTTACTTTCAGGTTTCTGGGTTCCTATTATAAAAGAAGAAACCTAAACAAGTATATACTTTTCTCCCAGTGGGTTACTGCACAGCCCAGGTAATGTAGGGGCCTCAATAATCTTATTGGTCCAAAGCCCAAGTTTTCAACGCTTGAGCTCTTATCAGGTAGTGTTATTCTGAAAGTTAGAACTGTTCACCCCTGGGGTTTTTGGGAAGCAAGTAATTAGAACAGTTTTTTGGCGGTTCCTTATTATAGTTATAGTATAATACAACGCCAAACCTTATTCTAATCATTCAGAGCCCCTGCAGTACGCAGGGTTTTACAGTGTTGGATGTTTTTTCCTGACTGTCAGGTCCGCTATCTAGCACGATGTTCCACGGCGTACTTGCACACGAATATACGTTGCTCTTCTCTCCCTCCTGTTTTATCTGTGCTTTTCGTATGTATGTACCTATATATATATATATATATATATATATTTATTTATTTATTTATTTATTTATTTATATATATATATATATAGAGATGTGTGTCTATCTCTCTCTTCCTATATATATATATATATATAGTTGTTCATTTGTTTACTTAGATATATTTATATATACAGAGCACTGTGTGTACATGCATATACACGGAATAATTTGGCATATGTGTGGACACATGCGAAAAACACCCTGGTAGGATGTACTATACAGACAATAGAGAAAGCGTGTGTTTGTACGCGTGTGTGCATGTCATTGCAAAGTCTTAACATACAGTATGAACTGCATGCTGACACAGGTATGCGCGTGTTGCTGGATACAGGTGCCTGCATGCAGAACAACATGGGTGGTTTTGTCAATATTAGGGTCCTTTGTGGGTCCTTATTACAATATGGCAACTAATATTTAGGGTACCCACAAAGGGACCATAATTTTGACAACCACCCACATGCATCGTTATGCCTTGCTTCACCTTGAGTTTTTTTGGCGTGGGCTTCAGGCTTCAGGTGCTTGGAGCCATAGAATCCTTAGAACCTTAAGCCCTACATCCCTAAACCCCAAATCCCTCAACCCTGAACCCCTAAACCCTAAAACCCTAAACCAAAAACCTCTGAACCCCTAAACCCTAAAACCGTAAAACCTAATAAACCTAGACCCTGCTTAGACTCCTTAGGACTGAGCGTGTTCAGCCTTCCTGGCGAGGGTGTGTTTCAAAGATTTCTCAGCTCAGCTGAGGGTGTAAGTTTTAGGGTTTTCAGACATGGTTGTTAAGGGCACCCTAAACCCCAACTAACCCCTAACCCCACATAAACCCTTAAACCCCTCAACCCTACATGTACAGGCTGGGTAGAAGTGTAGCGCTACGAGCGCTGGCGATCGGGCTTGTACTCGAAGCTACTGTAGGCAGGAGGTTAGCTTGCTAGCGGAGCTGGGCGGCGTTTGCAATCTTGCTAATCGGCGCATTCTGATAATAGCACATCCGACAGCAAGTGGCTAGACATGTCAGTTAGTAATCAAAAACAAAGAGTCCCGTCTCTGCCAGTCGCAGGCAGCCGTCGTGAAGGAGGGGTTGAAATGTGGCTACTTCTACGACAAGTCTCAGTGCCGAGTTCCTGACCTCTCTGATTGGACCGTGAACCCTAAACCCTAAACGTTTGTCATAGTTGGGTAACATTTTACATTTTTATGGGTACTTAAGCCCAACCAGGAACTATCATGTAAATGTTTAATCCTATCCCAACCATGAACTAGGTAAACCCTGTTTGGATCGGATTCCCAAACCCTCACCCGAAGACTGTAAACCCTAATATAGGGGCCGTAATCTTTACCCATACTGATTTGGGGGTTCCTATAGGGTTCTATGGCGTAGGGGCCTTCATAAGTACCTATAGTTTTTTTGGGGGTTCCTTATTATAAGTAATTATGGTATAATGGGCCCCAAAACCCTATTCTAATTGTGGAGGGCCCTACATTAGACCCTAAGGTGCAGCACAGAGGGCTCGGGCTTAAGTGGCTTAGCGCTGTGATTCTGGATGGAGGGTTTGTCCTTCGGAGTGAGGGGACAGTTTCAGTTTATAATGAACCCCATAAAGTTGGAAACGGGATGAAGGCCAAATAGTGCTGGGATTCCCTATACATGACTGTTAAGGATTGACCAACTTTTCGGCTTTTACTGTAGGGGCTGGGTTTGAAGAATGTCGGGTTGAGCGGTTAGGGTTGAAGGGTTTAGGGCTGAGTGTCCGGAGAGTGGAAGAGGTTCCTTTCTTGATGGCTTGGGTTCAGGATCCCTCAACCCCGAAACTTTGCAGACGATGTGGAAAAAGACCCTCAACAAGCAAAAAAGAGCCTAAACCCTAAACCCCTAAACCCTGAGCCTAAACCCTTCTGCACCGAGGGCTTCGCTGAGATGAAGAGAGAGAAAGCTCCCTAAGCCTTCAAAGATCTACTCCACCCTTCGGCTAACCTAAAGCCTATGGTCCTTCGGTTTCAGGGTTTAAAGGTTTAGGCCTAAACCTTAAATCCCTAGGCACTTCTTTACCTACGAGTACCCGGGTCATACTGAGAGGCCGAGGGGACTTCATAAGTAACCTGAGTGGAGTCACACCCCCAATTATAACCCTCCGTATAACCGACTTACTATGTCCCTTTGGCCTCCAAGTAGTCCCAGCTTTGCTGTGTTCCGGAGGACGCCAGCCCACGAAGTGGTTGTGCCCAAGATCTTCATGGACCGCATGATGCTTTTTGTTTGCAGGGCTTTTCTGGGAGTACTTCTGAAAGGCTCATCTTCCAAAAGGTTATGAGAGTTCAGGAGACATCATAGCAACACCCACAACATGATCACGCTGCAAAAGGTTGCTTCTGCCGTCGTCATTCTCCTTCATGCTTCTGATGGTTCCCATCATGTTCGTCACCGGCTCGTCCTCTTCATGTTCCTCCCTTCTCGCTCGCCAGAGTTCCGGGGGCGACAAGAAAACGGACTCTAAAGTAAGCTTGTATCCATTTACCCCCTGAAGCCCCAGACCGTTTTTGTTTAAAACCCTTGCAGAGCGCTTTTATTGAAGCCCTAAACCCTAAACCCCAAACCCCTAGCCCCTAAACCCTACAGCCTAGAGCCCGTCAGGAGCATGGCAAATTCCCCGAAGTCCGGCAAGGCGATCAATTCTGCATCAGGCTCGGCATGGAGAGGTTTCCCTGGGGTTTGGAGTTTAGGGTTTAGGTTTTTATGGTTTAGGGTTTAGGGTTAAGGGTTTCCAGACTAGGGTACCCTTTAAGGTTCTGTTTTTTCAGGGTGCAGTACGATTTGTGGGACCTAAAAGCGGACCCTAATTAGGAGAACTACCCCTGTGAGTTTTAGAGCTTTATGGGGTTCTGAGGTGTTCCTGTTTAGGGTCCTGTAGGTTTCTGAGGGCTTCGAGCTTCAGGGTTGGGCTTTCGGGTTTTGACTGCCTGTCATGGAATCTGGAACTCTACATCGCAAGCCTGGTAGGTTTAGGGCTCAGGGGTCAAGGTTTCAGGGTTTAGGGTTAAGGGGTTTATACTGTAACTATACTCAGGAACGCGAAAATCTTAATCTAAATTATTGAGGCCCCTAAAACCCTAAACCCTAAACCGGGCCCCTACATGAGGGTCTAGGGATTTTCCTAAGTCCATAGCCGATGATGGCTGGAACATCGCAGGTGCACAGGCCAGCTGGTCACGAAACAAGAGGGCAACTACAAGTTCTTCCTCAGTTCGGACGATGGTGCTGCGCTCAGATAGTGGGTTTAGGATTTAGGGGTTTGGTGGGTTTAGGGTTTAGGGGGTTTAGGGTTTAGAGGTTTAGGGTTGAGGGTTTTAGGATTTTGGTGTTTAAGGTTTGATTTAGGGTTTAAGGTTTTGGGGTTTTAGCATTTAGGGATCCTGGTTTTAGGGTTTTGGCTGACGTCAGACACTTTCTGCGGTCCTTCACGAACTAGCAGCTAGCATCGTTCTCTCGCGAGGCTCCTTCATGTGGCTGAACGGCGAGAAAGTCGTCGACAACAATGATTGCCACGGAGAAATCTGGCCGTTATTGAAAGTCATGATTTGTTGTTCAGCATACTATATTTATATGACCAAGAAAAACAAACTTGCCTTTGAAAGGGTTCCCAAGAACAGCCAAGGAAAGGGAGCGGGGCAGCAGCGACAAGTTCCTGTTGCCGGGTGTCCACGACTTGGCCGTGGACATGTGCGAGATGTACGGTGGCGAAGTCTTGAAGATGCGCGACCCTTAGTGCTCCGTGTTCGAGGTACCTCAAAACGAAGCATAATGGCAATCAAAGGATTCCGTCTACAGGGGCATCATTTACTGATCGCTTAAGAAAGAGCTAAGGCGGTACCAGGGTCCGGACACTGGCAACTCCAAGATCACCATCCCGGAAAAAGCTCTCCAGTACGTGGTTGCAGCCGAAGACAAGGCAATGTTGGGTGTGCGGACTGCTCATAGGGCTCAATGAAAAGCATTCAGGAATCCCTAAACCTAAACCTAAACCTTAAACCCTAAACCCGAAACCGTCCTGACATCCACCTGAAAACCATAAGCCTCTACGAGCTGAAGCCTAAGATCCTTAGATCCCGTAAATCATCCATATCCCGAAGACCGCAATCCACGAAGACCCCAGAGACCCAAAGCTAGACTATTAAATGTGACTATTACCAATCCCTTTTGGATTCCGAAAAGAGCCGGTAAACGATGCTTAATCAAACCCTTTTGGATTTCGAAAAGAATGCTTAATCCCAGCCAGCTTGTTTCAATCTGCGGCAGGCTGTTCTCGAGGACGGCTTAGAGTGCGACTACTACTACGATCAGTCCCAGTGCCGCGTGCCCAACCTGGGAGCCCTGACTCTCGGCTTGTACAGCTATTTTCAAAAGATGCCTACCGGAGTTTTGTTTTAGATATTGGGGTTAGCATTCAGGATTCAAGGTTTAGGGCCTGCAGGGTGTATTGCTTGCAGATGGAACCTCAGCAGCAGGAACGCGGCCCATCGTGAGATCGTGCCCGAGATCTACATGGACGGGGATTGGGAAAAGGGATGAGGGTTACGCAGCGGCTGAGCTTGACCATGTTCTCATGCACGTTAACTAGGATGCCCAGTAGTACCCTTATTCCCTTTTTGTAGTCCTAGGTTCCTTATAAAGTTACCCAATACCAAAAAGAGAGGCCTTTTTATTCTCAGGTTACTGGGTATCCTAGTAGACCCCTACACCCCTAAACCCAAGGCTCCAAAATCACCCCAAACCCTAAACCCTAAAGCCCAAACCCTGTATATAGATCCCGTATAGGTCCCTTAAAGGAACCCCCTAAGGATCCCATGTTCTCATGCACGTTAAGCTTTGCAATGCCTTGCATCCCCGTCAGTCGAATGGGCAGTTCCCCAACCTACGCAAGCGGGATCAATTCTGCATGAGGCAGGGCTTACATTTGCGTGGACTTGGCTCATCCCGGGATTTCGCAAACGCCGTGGCAGGTGCACAGGCCTTCTGGTCACGAAGAAAGAGGGCAACTACAAGTTCTTCCTCTCCTCAGATGATGGTGCCTTGGCTTCAAGCTGACATCCGCAAAAAGATGGGGTGGAGTGATAATGTTTGCCCGGTTCTTTTTAAGGGGTTTAATTTAAGCTACCATAGTAGGGAAGCCATATTATCTACTATATAGGTCCCTCTTATGGCAACTGGAATAAACCCTCAACAAGAGCCCAGTTTAGCCCTTGGAGCCGGGTTTTATCCGCGCAGGCTCCTTCATGTGGCTGGACGGGGAGAAAATCGTCGACAACAACGATTGCCACGGAGAAAGGGAGAGAGGCAGCAGCGACAAGTTCCTGAAGCCAGGTGGGAGTTTCCGATAATTAGGGGTACCTTATTTTGGGGTCCTTATATTAAGGATCCTACTACGTAGGGCACTATGTTAGGGTCCCCTATTTTCGGAAACTCCCAGGTGCCCATGGGATCAAGGTGGAGATGTGTGAGATGTACGGTGGCGAAGTCTTCAAGATGCGCTACCAGGGTCCGGATACCGGCAACTCCAAGGTGAAGGTCCCGGCTGCAGTCCTCAAGCACGAGAAGGCATGCTCGGTTTGACAACAGAGCGTGCTGCAGTTAGCTTACCCATCACGCCCGTTTTTTGCTTCCTTATCCGGAGCCTAACCTTAACCAACCTACCTTTCTAGGGTTCACTTTTATGATTTCCTTACATAGGTCCTTAAAAGGTAGGTTATTCCGGGTAAAGGAAAGCCCTAGACCTCGAAACCTTAACCTCCGAACCTCGAAAGCCGAGATCCGGAGCCCTTATAGACCCCTTTAAAGGAACCCTAAAACAGGGCACAAGGTTTCTTAATCAGGATTCCTACATTATTACAGAACCCTTATAGATCCCTTATAGTAACCCTTGTAGACCCCCTTTAAAGGAACCCTAAAACAGGGCCCAAGGTTTCTTAATCAGGATTCCTACATTATTACAGAACCCTTATAGATCCCTTATAGTAACCCTTGTAGACCCCATTTAAAGGAACCCTTAAACAGGGCCCAAGGTTTCTTAATCAGGTTCCTACATTAACTTCGAAAGGCGAGATCCGGAGCCCTTGAACCAACAAACACCGAAACGACAAAAACCGTCGCACTCCAAACTCAGCCCTCCCTGTAACCCCGAACCCTACACACCAACCTTAATGTGGAAGCTTAAATAATTACCTGTATTGTTATTACTTATACGAGCCCAAAACCCTTGCCTAATTATTATAAGGCCCCTGTTTAAACCCCCGTAGTACCTCTCAATTTACAGTAATACCCTACTAGGACCCTTTCTAAGAACCCTTCCAAGGAACTGTGCACCCCGACTTTCACCCGACATCCCCAAGGCCCCAAACTGTAATCCCGCGAGGCCGAGGAGGCGTGGCTGATGGGTGGAAATGGAGACACCTGCGACAAGGTGGGGTTTAGGGCTTTTAGGGTTTAAGGTGTCGTACGCTTTCAGGCACCTCAAACCGGGCGGGGTCTCCTTATGTCGAAAAACCCGTCGTATCTTTCGAGAAATACTTTGAAAAGCCTGATCCTGGCGGCCACACCGCGAACCTGCGGCCCTCAAGCCTCAGTTCGGGTTGCTGTATAAACCCTGGGTTTAGGGTTTAGGGGTTAGGGTTTAGGGATTTTAAACCCTGGTTCCCTTCAAGATTTTAGTTTACTCTCAGTATCTCCCAGTTCTAGTATCCAGTTATCCAACACTTGCCATGAAACCTTCACCCCCCAATACTAGAAGACCTCTCCGGAGTTGTAGCTGTAATTAAAGAGAGAGCACTCTACGGAAGAGGGCCTGCCATGTGGGAAGGTGTGCTCCACGAATGGTTTCGAAGGATGTGCTACTTGGATGCCGTTTCTGAGAGAGGCCATTCATGTGGAATATAGACGACATGAAGCATCTGCTTGTATGCTATCGTTGAAAGTGGCAAGGGTTTAGGGTTGCCGCAAACTTATCAAATCCCGCCACCCCAAGGAAGCCTGTTGTGGAATATTGCGGTGTGCAGCCTTGGGTTGAGAGATCCATGTTTTACGACGCAAGAATGAAGCTGAAGCCATCAAAGGTTCTACACTTGGAACGACTAGCCTTTGCACCAAAGCTAATTAATTAGCTAACAATCACAAACTAAGTCATGACCAGGTCTTACCGGTCTTACGAAGCAACTCATTGGCTCTTTGAGCCACTGAGTTGCTTCGTAAGACCGGTAAGACCTGGTCATGCCTGAAAAAGTTGCGCACTGGTTTGATTCAAGTCCTGCCAGAAGTATATGTTAGCACTTCATGTAGAGGCACCTGACTTGTACGCCTACCTCCTTGCGTCGTCCTCCAACGCTTCTAGAAACGTTTCCTTCGAGAACGAGGTTTGGGGTTTCATGGTTTAGGCTTTAGAGCTTGAAGATTTTAGTGTCCGGGGCTTTTTGGCAGTCGCTTGGCTGCTGAGGACAAGACCAAGATGGTTGCCCTAACCAGCAACGAGAAGGTGGGCGCTGCCTTCAAGGAGGCTGGCTACACTTGCCGAGGTTTCCTGGACAGAACTGGACAGCAACCCTAAACCTTAAACTGTAAACCAAAGCGTAAACCTTAAACCCCAAACCTAGCAGTGGTAAGCATGTTTTTTTTTAACATTAAAAAGACACTTAAACCGTAAACCATAGCATAAACCTTAAGCCCAGACCCAGCAGTGGTTAGCTCAAGCCCGAAACCCGAAGTTCGCGAGCTTTTAAACCCTCCCGGAAAATCCTAAACCCTCGAAATCTTACATGCAATACCCTGAAGGATTCCTTGCAGCTTCATGTCTTCATAGGCTCAGAGGCTAGCAGCATTTGAAGTAGATTTTCGTTCTTAGTCAGTCTGCCTGTCAAGATAGTTCCCAGGACATGCACTCACCAAGACCGAAAAGCACCCGAAACCCTAAACCCTAAACCCTCAAACCCTAAACCCTTAAACCCTAAACCCTAAACCTTTAAACCCTAAACCCTAAACCCTAAACCCCTAAACCCTGAACCCCTAAACCCTAAACCCTCACAAACCGGATGGAAAGGCCCTGTATGGTTTCGTCGGCCCAAGTCTGAGCACTGAAAGGGCTTACAGGGAACTCCAGAAAGTTGGAATACGGTTTCATGGTAGGATACCCTATAATCTAGGACCTAGAGTAGGCCCTTATTCCCTTTTTTAAGGGTTCGGGTTCCTTTATAAGCCCTTTTAGACCAAAAAGGGCACCCTTTTTATTCCTAGGATACTCTTGGGTCTAGTAATTTACCATAGAAGGGTTAGGATAATCATATTCCAACTTTCTGGCTTTTACCTTAGGGAGTGGGCTTCAAGGTTTCGGAAAGACCGGTGTTAGAGGTTGGCGATTGTCGTTGCATGCATTCAAACCAGGGCCATTAGCTTGTTCGTGAGACCTCTATCCAGCCGAGGCGTCCGCATATCCCTAGTCCCTAAACCCCGAACCCTAACCTTAAATCCCTAAACTTCGACCCCTAAACCCCTAAAGCTCTAGACCCCAAACCCCCTCCAACCCTAAAGCCCTAAGCTGACTTCCGACCGAGGCTTTCATGGAGCTCGCAACTATGCAGGCACGCCTTTCTCTACGAGCAGAAACGACGACTGCGCGCCAGCTGCTGGGTTCAGTTGTTTTGGCATTCCTCTGGTTGGCTCTTAGGGCTTTAAAACTTTTTGGGGTTTCTATATGAACCATGATAAGGAGGCTAAAAGTTTGACTTGTAGGAGGGGTTCAGAAGTGTTTAGGGTTATGTAGGGGTTTAAGGGTTAAGGGTTTGGGGGTTTAGGTTTAGGACTTTGGGTTTAGGGTTCGGTACTTTGGGTTAAGGGTTTGGGACTTATATAGGATTCAGGGTTGTGAAACGATGGGATCCTTATCTAGCGCTGCTTACAAGAAGGATCTACCCCAGAGACTCCAATAAACATGCCTTAATTAAGGAATATACATTAGATCATATAAGGGATCCTGCTATAATGTAAGGTATATTCCTTAATTAAGGGATATTGGAGTCCCCGAAATTTTAAACCCTATATAGATCCCTTATAGGAACCCTTACACGAACCCTTATAGATCCCTTAAAGGAGACCTTATAGATCCCTTAATTAAGGGATATTGGAGTTTCTGGGTCCCCTCTTTTCCGCAACTCCCCAGCAGGCCCTGCTTCGGAGCCTCTCTATGCAGGATTACCATTCTTCTTAGGCGTACTTAGAAATAATTTTTAAGTTTTGGTTATTATAATCCCTAAGAACCAGCTAAAATTATAATTTTTGCTAGGGTTCTAAGTTCAGTATAGGCTAACCTCTGAAGAGGCCTCCGTCACTTAAACTTTAAAGCCCTAAACGGTCTAGGGGGTTCAGGGTTTAGGGTAGAAGCCAGAAAGTTGGAATATGATTATCATACTCCCTTTAAGGTAAAATATAGGGGATCCTGCCATTATTCCATATTCCAACTTTCTGGAGTTCCTTTTAGGGGGTTTAGGGTAAAGATGACCTCAACGCGGCAGACTGTAGTTGCACGGCTTTGGTCGATTGGGTTTTTTGATGTATTGCGCTCAGGGTTTGGGGGTGTTAGGGCCATTTAGGGTTTATGGGTTTAGGGTTTAGGGTGGGGATGTTAGGGCCATTTAGGGCTTATGGGTTTCGGGTGTAGGTAAGCTCAAAACCCAGGTGACCGCCGGGACCAGCGCCAGCGCTTTGAGCTGCGATAAAAACAACCACGGCCACCATAAGCCTCTCTGCGCATGCAAGGGGAGGAAGGCTGGGACTCCAATTCGGGCGGTTGTCAAAATTATGGTCCCTTTTGGGGTCCTTAGTATTGTACGGCAGCTAATATTTCGGGTACCCAAAAAGGGACCATCATTTTGACAACTACCCCAATGCTACATGGAATACCGGGGTCGGAACTCACTTCTTCTGTGATTCCTTAGGGTTCCCAATTATGCGCATGGTTTGGGTACGGCCCCCACTCAGTGATAGTTGAATATTTTGATAATGTAGATATGTTGGGACCTTAATAGTAGCCCTATTATATACTCTTACTGTATGGGGGCAGTACCTAAAGTGGCAAGGGGTAGGACATTGGTTTTTGAGGATGAGAACTAAGGACTAGATCTGGAAAGAGCAGAAATTCACTCACGGTGCCCGACAGTACGCGCGCATGCGTGCGCAGTAATTTGCGCTTCCCGCATTGCAAGATAATGATAGATCAGGGAAAATTGAGACAGACTTGTACTACAGCGAGGAGCACTGAGAGCACGAAATCCTAAACTTTGTGAACTGCACGGAGTTGGGAGAAAAAGGAGTACAGCCTGAAGCCCAGTTAAGTGGTATCGTTGCTCAGAGGCCACAAGTTTAAGGTTTAGGGTCCCTAAACCCTTAACCCTGAACCCTAGGGTTTAGGGTCCCTGAAGCCTAAACCCTAAACCCTGGCGTTCAGGGTCCCTGAACCCTAAACCCTAAACCCACCCTATGCCTCGACAGGCGGGTGGCGGCGGCCCGGTGGTATTCAAGCATGACGGAGAGTTCAACTGTGGAAGCTGCCAGCACCTGCTCTCAAAGGATAGGTATGTCTAAGGGCACGAAAACTGGGCTTTGGAGTACCATACTTTAATATACTTAAATTTTAAAGCTGTCTCAGACCCATCCTATCATAAGTCTGAAGCTTTGGATTTCTTATCATTCGGTCTTGTTATCTTGAAGACGTACCCGTTCGGTTCATCGGGCGAGGGGGGACAGCTATCCAAAGTTTCAGCAAGCAGGTTTAGAGCGCCGTCGTTTGTCGGCACATAAACTCGGATGCCCAGGGGGTCCCTTTTAGGGTTCCTTAAAGGGATCTATAAGGGTTGCTGTAAGGGTACTATACGGGCCAGGTTACCGGACTCGGATGCCCAGTAAGTACGAGTAGTACCCTTATTCCCTGTGTTGTAGTCCTAGGTTCCTTATAAAGGTACCCCATACCAAAAAGGGAGCCCTTTTGATTCCTAGGTCACTGGGCATCCTAGAAAAGCAGCTTTACGATTTCGGGTTTCGGGTTTAGGATTTAGGGTTTAGGATTTGGTTTTTGGGATTTAGGGTTAAGGGTTTGGGGTTCGCGAAGAAGTGAAGTTTCGGGTTTAGGAGCCCTTATCACACCTGACGACACAGAACCTGCAGGCTTGACGGGACGGTCGATCCGACAACTCCGATCCCTAAACCTTGGCAACCCAGCACAAGGGTCGGAAAATTCTCACTAACATGCCGTTATGGCTCCTATGATAGCTATGGTATATATATATATATATGTATATATCTCTCTTCCCCCATAGCCCCCATAATTTCTAGTTATAAAGCCCCCTGTGAACCTTAGCACTTCCTGCTCTCGAAACCATAGAAACCTGAAGCTCAACATCCAGAGAGCCCCAGCACCACTGAAAGTCCTAACACTCGAATGCGCATGCAAAGTTTTTGGTAGGTTTGGGAGCGCCCCAGAGCCATTGAGCCGTACAGTCTTTAAGCCCAGAAGCCCTAAGCCCGTAAACCGTTAAACCCATAACTGAAGCCATTCAGCCTCAAACCCTAAAGGCAAAATCCCTAAACTTTAAACCCTGAAGAAATTCTAAATCCGGTAAAGCCTGAAAACCCACCCACCCCAAAACCCAGAAACCCCTTAGACCCTCAAATACTATTATTTGTTGCAGAATAGCCAACCTTTAACCTGCTGAGGATGCTGAACGAATAAGACAACCTAAACCCTAAAACCCTCAAAATAAACCAATAAAGCCCAATCCCTGAACCCTAAACCGTCTAAACCCATAAACCCTACACCCTCTAAAACCCTACAACCCTACAGCCCTAAACGCTTAAACCCCAAAAGCCCGAAACCTTAAACCCTTTAAAACCCTAAACCCGAGAGCCCAATACCCCTTAATTAAGGAATATACCTTAAATTATAAGGGGAGTCATACTATGATTTAAGCTATAGTTCCTAATTAAGGGCTGTCTGGGAAGCTCTAAACCCTTAAACCCTAAACCCTAAACCTTCTTTTCGAAAGGTTGCAGAGCCAGGGCTCTTCGGCGGATCTTCCCAGCACGGGGCCCTTCACTCTCTTCGTTGAGGCCCTTTAGGGTTAAGGGTACAGGGTTCAGGGTTTAGGGTTTAGGGTTTGTAACAGTATGCGCGCGGTGGGTGCGCCTTTTACTTTAGGAATAGGGGGCGCACCCACTAATCGCGCGCTTGCGTCAGCATGTAGTCCCGCCCCAACCACCCCAACTATTCTCAATTAGGGTTTAGGGCTCACCCCCCAAACCCCCCTCAAGGGCGGCTTTCTTGCTCTCTGCTTCCTTTCGGACCGGCCTAGGAAGCCCCCGGCCCCTGGAATCGGTCAGCCTGGGGCCCTGGACCCCCGTGGGGGTACCCCCCAGACCCCCCTACAAAAATACAAGCGACCTCAATCACCGTTCGGTCGGGGACCTCGGTCGGAGCCTCGAGCGCCCATGCAAATGGTCAGCGGCGCTCTCGGCAGCACAGCGTTCAGGGTTTAGGCTTTAGTATAGGGTTTAGGGTCTAGGCTTCAGAATTTCCTGCATTGTGTGAGGCCCGTTCCTCCGTGGTTCTTAGTAGGGAGTGGGGGCATGTGTGATAGGGACTACTGGAAGGAACGGGGATCGCATGCACCATTCCCTACTAAGAAGCAAGGACTTTCAGGGCTTCAAGGTTTAAGGTTCACGGGATCTCAGAAGGATTTAGGCTTAGGGTCTAAAGCTTAGGGTTTAGTTTGTTTTTTGAGGCGTTTAGGGTTTCAGAGTCTCCGATTTTGGCTCTAAAGTTTAGTGTTGAAGGTTTCGGGATTCAGGGTGCCCCCCCAAGCCGAATTCGAGCCGCAAAGTAAACCCTAAACACTAAACCCTAAGTAGCATCCGCACCGGATGTTCCGAGACCGTAAGTAAGGCTGAGGAAAAAGGCGCAAGAAAAACCTAAGTATCTTCAGGTTTAGAAAGCTTCAAAGTCGAAGAGCTTGGATCGCAGTTGGTATGCTCAGTGCGTCGCCGGAACAGAATCAAGATCCCTTCTTTAAGGTGGTGCACGGGAAGCTCTAGCCATGATAATGGCTTACAGTCTATTTGTTGCAGGATCTGCGATCAAGGCTCTGCGATTCATGTTCGCCCTAAACCCTACACCCTAAACCCTATACACCCTAAACCCTACACCCTAAACCTTAAACCCTTAACCCTAGAACTTTCAATGTGCACCGAAGTCACTGTGGAAGCGGGAGCTTCGCCCACCTGTCCCAGCTCTGTCAGTCTATTCTGAACCCCCCGGTTTCCCAAACCCAAAACTCCAGGAGCACTGTAGGATTTAGGCTTAGGGATTGCTGGGCCCGGCGAAACAAAAGGGCAAGTAGGGTATCTTTCCTGTCTGGTTTTGTGGGGTGTTTACGAGCACCTAGACCCTAGATCTTAAACCCTAAACCCTAGATCTTAAACCCTAGACCCTGGATCTTAAACCCTAGACCCTAGATCTTAAACCCTAGACCCTAGATCTTAAACCCTAGACCCTAGATCCTAAACCCCTAAACCCTAAACCGTTGTGCCCCGGCAGATAAATCCTTCGTCCGGCGGCCACCCCGGTCTGCTTGGCTGGGGCGGAACGTCTGATGCCCACTTGCATGCTAGGGTTTAGGGGTTTAGGGTTTAGGGTTTAGGGGTTTAGGGTTTAGGGTATAGGGGTTTAGGGTTTAGGGGTTAGGGGTTTAGGGGTTTAGGGGTTTAGGGTATCATGCTGGATCTTAGGGTTTAGGGGTTTTGGGTATCATGCTGGATCTTAGGGTTCAGGGTATCATGCTGGATCTTAGGGTTTAGGGTTTAGGGTATCATGCTGGATCTTAGGGTTTAGGGTATCACGCTGGATCTTAGGGTTTAGGGTTTAGGGTATCATGCTGGATCTTAGTGTTTAGGGTTTAGGGTATCATGCTGGATCTTAGGGTTTAGGGTGGAGGGTATCGGGGCTTGAACAGGTCGAAGCACCATTGCTGAGAATTAGACCTCTGCATCTGGTCGAAGGATTTTCAGACGGGGCTCCATGTCCATGGGACTTTCCGAAAAATAGGGGACCCGTCTGTAGCAGAATAAGGTGTCGCTAATTTTCGGAACCCTTATAGATCTTTTCGGACCCCGTAAAGGAATCTTTACAGTATCACGGTAAACGATCCCTTTAAAGGTACCCCTAATGGCGCTAATTTTCGGAAACTTCCACATCGTTGTACAGGTTTCGGTGAAGGCTTTTCAAGCATCTACGTGCAAATATACGAACCTTTTAAAATTCCTTAAAGGGATCTATATGGGTTCTATAAGGGATGTAGGTTTAGGGTTTGGATTTTCCAAAGTTACAAGGTACCTTATTTGGGGGTCCTTATAAGAAGCATGCTGCTATTTAGGGTACTATGTTAGAGTCCCCTGTATTCGGAAACCCCCATACTGGAGAACGAACTGTGCCACTCCATCTTAGGATGCCCCGGCCCCCCTAGATCCTACAATCCTAATCTCGTGCGTGTTGTGGCGGTCCGAATCCTCTCCGATTGTTGTTCTGGGCTTGGTGTAGGGGCCTTACTAATTAGAATAGGGTTTGGGGCATAATTATATTAAGGAACCCCCAAAACCCCATTCGAATTCTTGAGGCCATATGTCAGGCAAGGACAGTTTGGAATCCCAAGTCTCGGACAATACGATCTCGGCCCTAAACCCGAGCGCCATCTAAGGACAACTACGTCGCGTTGCGCCTGTATCCAGGACACAACAACGGCGGCTTGCACCTGCACCTTGGCATCAGGTTCTGTTGAGATCATCCCAAACCCGATTTCAATTGTTCGGTCCCCTATGAACGCCTGTACAGCCCGCATAAGGCTATCCCTTGGTGGTCCCAATTTAACTATTCAATATCCAAACCCCGAAGAAAAACATTTCGTGTGTCTATACCCCTTGTGGTCCCTACATCTCTACTGCAATATCACCCGAGACCTCACTGTAATGAATAAGCCCCCTATAGAATCCTTGCCTATGTAGACCCTATGAATGCCCAAACCCGAGTTAGCAAGCTTCGACCCAAAACCCTAAACCCTAAACCCTAAACCCTAAACCCTAAGCCTTGCACATGTGCCCGAAGCCTTACCGCCGAAGCCTTCGACCTGACACCTACGCTCTAAACGTTGGCGCTAAACCTTACCCTAAGGCTCCATGTACCCATATAGTAGGTACTTAGGCCTCAAAGAGGTCCCTATATGGCTACTTTAAGGCCTAAGTACCTACTATATGGGTACATGGAGCCTTTGGGTTAATTCCTGGTCCTAGACCTGAAACTTGACTTCCGCAGCCAAAAACCATAGGCCTTCCACCTAAACCCTCAACGTTACGTCCTAAGCCGTAAACTACTAGCCTTAAACCTTCCTTCCGTAACCCTAGGCCTTCTACTTCCTAAGCCCCACAACGAGGTACTGGAAGGCGAATGGCCACTTTACGGAGCTTGCCGCCGACTCACCTGGCCTCCTGCGTCACGGCTAAAGCAAGCTTCAGGGTTTCGGGTTAGGTTTCGGATTTAGGGCTTGGGGTTTGGCGTTTCGGGCTTCGGATGCTATGAGGGTAACTATACATCCAGAAGAGGTTCTATGTTCTACCGGGCTTACACAGACGGCTCCGCAAGTTTTGGAGTGTTGGGGTTTGGAGTTATGGCTTCTGGGTTATGGGTTTGAAAGGATGTTGACGGTGTTTTGGTTTGGAGGGTTGGAAAACATTCAAACGGCTCTGGGGGGTTCTTGCGAAGGTCTTTTATTGTTTGAGGGTTTGCTTGAGGCTTTTGGGGCTTTTGGCTTCTTGAGGGTTTCGGTGTAGTTTTGTGTGCGGCTTTTGAGGTTCAAGGGCTTCGGGTTGACCATATAAACCCCAAACCCTAAACCGAAACTGATAGGGTAGGGCTTCGAGTCTCGGGTCGACTCGTTGTAGCACCGTCGTGACCCTTTTTGACGTTGCCCCTCGCTCTTGCAGCCGTTCTGTTCTCTTGTTCAACATCATTGTCAGTTTCCACCGTGAGAGCTGAGTACATGTCGAGGCTAAGTGTTTATAGGTCAACCTTATAAGGGGTTTACGATTAGCGAAGCTGCAGAAGCACACGCTGTTTTGCTGAGTCTCCTCGTCACAATCACCTGCCATGTCTCGGGCTTCCTTTTCTCGCAAACCCAGACCCCCGGGAGGATCCAAAAAGTAGATCCCTTAATGGGGGTTCCCATAAAGTACCCTTAGTAGTATAGGGCCCCAAATTAGGGGATCTACTTTCTAGATCCTCCGGGGTCTGGGAACTCGTGGATGCTCCCCTCCTTTGTGCGTGTCTTGGGATGTAGAGGTAAAGGGTCCAACTCCTCCAGCCGCAAGAGGCAATTCTGGTTACACTAAACTCCAACACCCTGAGACTAGGTAGGGCTTTGGGACATTTTATATTTGCTCTTATTGGGCTTAAGAGGATCTTACCTACTAATATTTTTCAAATGCTTTAAAGGCACCTCCTAGTGAGAGCTTTCGACCCTGAAACCATGAAGCTGTAAACCCTGGACTCACGAAGTCCCAAACAACGCCTAAACCCAAAGCCCGCAGGCCCCTGCCGAAAGCCGCTAATCCCTGACTCGAAACCCTTTCGTCAGGAATAGCGGCTGGAAGAAGGTGGCTGCCACCTGGGACAAAAACACCATCAGGCTCTACGTGAACGGCAATGAAGTGAGAAGCAAAGGCGGTCTGGGGGGCAGAGTTCAGAAAGGGCTTCGTCAGGACCGTGGTAGCTCCCCACTACGGTGCTGTCACCGACCTTTGATGGAAAGTTTAAGGTTCGTTCTTCAGGCTTTGTGTACAGTCCCTTCGACGGCTCGCATGCTTTGATCACGGTTATCCTCCAAACTTAACCCACAAACCCTAGACCTAAGCCCCTACAGGGTTTAGACAGAGTTTGGGGCAGAGGATTTTGAGGATTGAAAGTTTGACCTATGCCCTAAATCCTCAGCTTGAAGCTGTAAGCTGACCGCCACTCTCAAACTCCAAACAACCCTTAGTCAGGCACCCTAAAACCATGTAAAGTGCCATATGTTTAGGACCATTCTGTTTCTGAGGAATTTGGTTACTCTAGGCAAACCCCAAAGCCTTCAACCCTACACCCTACTCCTGAATATCGCTCATATCCCTTATTTAAGGAATATACCTTAAATCATATATTTAAGGTATATTCCTTAATTACGGCAATGTTGGAGTCTCTGGGTTCTTGTGTTCAAGCATCCCTTTGAGCTCCCTTATAGATCCCTTAAAGTAACCCCTAGAGACTCCTTTATGGGACCCTATTCTACTTGTTAAGGCCGGGTTTAGGGTTTAGGGTTTAGGGGTTTAGGGTTTAGGGTTTAGGGTTTAGGGTTTAAGGCCCCTATATCGAGGAACTCAGAGCTCCGGTACCACTACCCTTGGTTTTGCAGCGACTTGTGGTGCTCAACACGCACACTTCTGTATGAATCAGGGAAACATGGACTCACCAAGCAAAGCTCAGATAAGCCCATCCCAAGCTTTATACATACCTAAAGCCGGAAACCGCACAACCGAAACCCTGAACCCCACTACTACAGGGGCCTAAATAGTTACCTATTATACTCTTTTGGGGAGGGGGGGCGGTGCCTTGTTATAACTTATAGTGTTTTTTCATGGGCCCCCAAACCCTATTCTAATTATTAAACACAACCAGTATAGATCCCTTCATAGAAACCTTTGCAGACCCCTTTAAAGGAAGCCTGAAAAGCCCATCCCAAGCAGGTTACAGCGGCGCTTTCAATGCTGCGGACAAGACCAACTTCTGTGCTTGTGTCGGCCAACCGGGGCGAACGCACGAGGTCGGTGATGGGGATTTAGGATTAAAGGGGGGGCACGGCGGGGAGGGGGGATACTGCAGGGGTTAGGGTTCAGAATTTAGGGTTTAGGATTTAGGGGGTTCAAGGTTTGGGATTTAGGGACTTCGGTGTTTGGTCCAATTATCTAACTGAGGTCTGTGGCTTTGAAGTGGGCTTCAGGGTTGAGGGTCTCATGGCGTACGTTCTGGGTTTGTCGGTTACACAAGCTAGCTCCTGCAAGTGCGATGGGTCACTCTTACTGCAGTTCATTGTTGTCTTCTGAGACTGCGTTAGTTCCTCGTAGGTGTAAACTCGTCTGAAAAACAACGCAATTAAGTTTTCGGGATACAGAAACTCTATCGAACCCATTGATTCTTTACCCACGGCAGTAAGCCTTCCAAAAGCTTTATAGAAAAGATAGTAATTAATAGTTCACCACAAAGCTAATTACACAATTCAGATGGTAAGCCGAAACCCTCAAAACTCCTGTCCCCGACCCCCACGCCTCGCACAGGCTTTCAAAGGCAAACTGCGGAACGCGCCTTGGCGCGAGAGGGGCTAAGGTGCTACAATGAGGCTCATTCAGGGCTCCCTTTTCGACTACATCATTACTTTCTTGTCATGGCTTTACAACACGGACCGTACCATTTCGTGTTTCCTTGGTGTCTCACGCTGCCATCTGTGGGTGTTTCTACATTACATGCATGGGAGATCGTTTGTCAAGTCTTCTGCAGCCGGCTAGGCTAAAGTAAGTAGTTATGCTAAACTAATTTGAGTTTGGGGCTTGTGGCATTCTAGATTTCTGTAGCAAAATCAACCTGAACACCATATCTGAGTCTTCTGGGCAGCAGAGCACAAAAGTGCCTCGATTTAGTTTAAGTTTGGACGGACTCCCATGTCAGAAAACCTATAGCAAGGACCTAGACCTCAATGCAGCCCTAAACCTTGTAACTAGACCTTAGGGTTTAGTGTGTATCCAAGGGTAAAAGGAGGGACCCTTAATAAGGACCCCTAGGTATATACCCTTAATATAGCTACTATATACCCATTATACACCCCTTTATATAGCCCATTATAGGGTAGGGGTCCCCATTAAGGGTCCCTCCTTTTCCCCTTTGAGTGTAGGGTATACCCCAAGCCTTCGCAGCTTGTTGACCACGGCTGGGGTGCAGAAACCACGCGGAATTCCGGTGCTGTACTCTCGAGGGTTTCTTCAGTGTATGGGTGCCCTTAAAATTTGATCATCTCCAAAACCCTCGTTTAGGGCTTCAGGGGTTTAGGGTTTAGGGGTGTAGGGTTTGAGGAGCCCCCAAAAGCCCTTAAGGTGAGGATCATGAACAAGGCGCTCAGCGCGAGCGAAGTCAAGAACTTGCCATAGAAGGTGGCAGGGCACTAGCAGACCTGTAGTCAAAGGGGAAAAGGAGGGACCCTTAATGGGGACCCCTATAATGGGCTATACAATGGGTGTAAAATGGCTATATTAAGGGTATATACCTGGGGGTCCTTATGAAGGGTCCCTCCTTTTACCCTTGGAGGTAGTTCTCCAATACAAGACCTTCAACCTAGTAGTAGAGTGGGTATCTCTTTGGGCTATCCCAGATAGCTCACGTTCTAATCTTCACGACTGTTCGGACAGTTCAACTTTTGGCTTCTGCGGGTTGGGCTTTGGATTGTTCTTCTTGGGTTGTATGCTTTCGGGTGTAGGTTTAAGGCCGCAGGTTCAGGTTTTGAGTGTATGCCACTGGTTTATGTTGGCAGTTAGGGCGTCAGTTCTAGCAAAGATTGAGGCTCAAAGGTTCACATTCGAGGTTGAGGGCTGAGGGTAGGATGCTAGGACCTAGAGTAGGCCCTTATTCCCTTTTTAAGGTTTCAGGTTCCATTATAAGCCCCTTTAAACAAAAAAACACCCTTTTTATTCCTAGGTTACTCTTGGGTCTAGGATGGATGTCACGTTGACCTACTTGGGATTTTCTTGCAACTACGCAGGCCGCTTTCCACACGCTTCATGTTCAATTCTTGATCTTGGCCCTTTGGGGTGCTATTCGGGTATGATCTACTACCCTTAGACCGCTATTCTAAACATCAAGGCCCCTGTACTAAAACCCTAAACAGCCCCTTAAAAGCCTTTTCAGGCCCAATCAAACTCGATAAAGTCCTATCATGTGATGAAGGTTTCGAGTAGACAGCCAGTGGATGATTTCTATGCTTTGACGATATCGTCCTGGCAAACTCCGAAGGTGCTGCTCCTTATCCTGCCCTACGGTTCAGGGTCAAATCACTCAACCCCCAAATCCAAAAACAAACCTAAACCGTCTAAACCCAAATAAAATACGATTTCTGCGCCTTGATTCCTAGCCTACATCCGAACACCGAGACGAGTCTGCAAAGAGAGCTCCAATGAGTAGGTAGTCTCGTAACTACCATGTGCCAAGACGAGATGTTGTGAATTTTGCATGCAGGTGGATCGTTGGCGTCGGCCGACAAGCCCCAAGACGCATAGTGCTGCCCATCAGCGGCGGAGAACGGCGCACGGTGCAGACGGAGCGACCAAAAAAAGCAAAAGCTCTTGGACAAGCATGATGCAGACCGTGCCGTCTAGCACGCAGATGCCAACCGCCATGAGAAGAAGAAGAGGAAGAGCTAGCCAAGACTTCATACATTTCTGCCTCGCAGAGACTGTGACAGCTCCTCCAGTAGGTATTCTCTGCCAGCACTCCTGTTATTTTACCCTACACACATCAAGCAAGCCAATAGAAACAGTAGAGATCTGTCAAAGTTGATAGCAAAGAGTTTTCGAAGTTGGTAGTAAGGACAGTAAGGAGACTGATAGGTGGCTAGTTTCCGCCCGCTGTCTAATGACTGAAAAGGCTCTACACGGGCCGGGAGGCAGTATCCAAGTACAAGATACCGTAGAGTTTTGGAGGCTTTATAACATTAAAAATGCAGTTGACTGTGGACTGTGGCTTTCAATGTTGAATCTATAACGCACCATGTGCTGGGATTAGAACTCTGACTCACAGAGGCGTCAAGAATCGCGTTTGTGCGTGCTTCGGTCACGGACGAGATCAAAAACGCTCTAATTCTGTCTAACAACAGATCATGTGGACACCGCAAATCTTAGCTCTCCAAGAATTGCATCCACTTTTCCGGGATTTTGGCAGCATTGACTGCTGCCAGGCGACTGTAGTTTTGACTGAGCGTTGATTGTTTCTGCAGCTACAGTCGAATTGCATGGTAGTGGCGACATGGTGACGTGTAGGAGCAAAAACTGGTTTCCAGTGTTTTCCACTCGCTCCAGCCACGTTTGGCTCGAGCCACGTTTTCTTCGAGATGGAGTGAGCTGCTGTTGTCTCCGGAGTCTAGGCATCGTAAACTGGTGCATGCACACCGTCAGTTTCCGGTCACTGGACAGGACATTGGTAGAAGATGCAAACGCTCTTCTGTCTGTTGGTGAATACGCGAAATCTTGCACCACATGTACGTGCATAATTACAGTAACGCATCCTGCACAAACGAGTTCACAGCAAACTTCAAAAAAGCGGGAGGGGGGCTGAAATCATCAGAAGGCGCAAGGTTTTATCCGTCCACAATTCATGGTTTTTCGAAACAAGGAGTCTGAAGACTTCCAGAACACAGAAGCTGCAAAGCCGCCACCGGACGTTGGATCGCTGTTTGTCTACTCCCAGGATTGGAGTCTTCTGCCACGAGGCCTCAGAAGCACTGCAAGAGCTCTAAATATTATATACATGTTCAAAAATTGAGTTCGTGGCTTTTCTCAGTTTTGACGCTTCACTGCGTCGTCAGCGATGTTCTTTTTGGAAAGCTCTACGACGAAGTACACGGCAGTTTTGAAGGAAATCCGTAAAAGGACATGCGGCAGACCTTAAAAGTCAGCTTAATTCCTGATATGCCGCAAGATTTACAGCCCCTGCCGTCGAGTGGGCAGGTCGAATTCCACACAAAAGTCAGAGTGAAGACCCAGCTTTCCGCTTGTAGGGAAGGATAGCCGGGTTTTTGCCTCCGGAATATCCAGCAGAAGCTGCAGGGGATCGACCAGACATGCAGTTGTTCAGCTGTTTGTCAATCCTGCCGCCACCTTGGCTCAGCCCTGTGATCGCTCGTCTTTCTCTCAGGTCTTACATATGTGGTTCCTGGGACGCAGAAGTGCTTGTGGAACCTAGCACTTTTGGAACAGGTCCCATGTCAGGTTACGTTGCACGGGTGGGCGACTGGATTTATTCAGAAAGGCTAAAAGCTTTGAACCGCGTAGCAAAGGTCCGAAAGTGCTCTGCATGTTACGGATGTCTCCTGCCATTCTTTGGTTTTCCCTTCCTGCAGCAAGGTTATCGATGATTGTGACACGAGGCTGGTGGCTTGTACCCCTGGCCGTCTTCCAGGAGGCAGGCAAGATGCCCTACACCCTGAACCCTGAACCCGAACGAATCGTCCGACATTGTCTTAGATGCCGAGCTCATATAGACATAAAACCCAAAGCCCTAAACCCTAAACCCTAAACCCTAAACCCTAAGCCTTAAACCCCAACTTGTCAAAGCCTGTTGATCCAACTGAGGGTCTCCTTTGGGTTCCCAAAATTGAGGGTGCGGTACTACAAGTAGAATTATAGAGGGTACCCCCAAAATGACCGCGATGTTGACAGTTACCCTTGGTTCTCTAAATTAGGGTCCTTTTTTCATGCATCTTCAAGGAGGCAAAAAGGATCCGGACAGGGATCTTAATGTAATATGAGGGCCTTACTAGTTAGAATAGGGATTTGGGGGTTCCTAATTATAGTTATAGTAAACTATACCCGCCCAAGCCCTATCCTAGTTAGTAAGGCCGTATATTAGAGAACTTCCCATAGATCCGTGACGCGAATTCTGGTGAGGTCTCCGGTGCGGACGTGGGCAAAGCCAGCTTCGTCATTGCTCCGGCCCCCCACCGAGCACATTCAGCTAGGGTTTAGAGTCTGGGGCCCGGCACTAAGCAGCAATCCCTGTAAATCCCACGCAGCTGTGAATCCTGCAGCAAGTTTCCTTTAGTCGAAAGCAAGACGCAGCTAAGGGAAGCCAAGGCGGCAGTGAGCTGTACTACAACCCTAAACCCTAAACCCCAAACGTCTAAACCCCTTAACATTAAAGTCCACGACCGCAACAGTTGCAACACCCTGCGACCACTAAACCGGAGGCAAAAGCTTCAACCCGGCTTAAGGCTTTAGCTACGATGCCCAGTAGTACCCTTATTCCTTTTTTGTAGTCCTAGGTTCCTTATAAAGGTACCCAATACCAAAAAGGGAGCCCCTTCTATTCCTAGGATACTGGGCATCCTAGTTTAGGGTCTGAGGATGGAGCCCTCGACCCGAGCTTTCCTTCTCAGACCCCACCTTTTCCCCGGAACATCTGCATCGGGGCTGATACGAAGGCCCGAAAAAAGTCGTCAGCTTGACATAGGGACGAAAGCTAAACCTAAACCCCCAAGCCCTAAACCCATAAACCCTAAGCCCTAAACCCTATAACCCCTGAACCCCTGAACCCTTAACCGGAACCCCTAAACCGAATCCCCAAACCCTAAAACCCTAAGCCGTAGGATGGTGGCGCCACCCACTCCTCGGCAGCAAGAGGGCAGAGCCTACTCCGCAAGGGACTCGGTGCTCGGGTTCGGAGCCTATTTTTGTTTGATGGATGTTGTTTTTTTAGGGTTTAGGGGTTACCTTAACCCGAATAGCCTTCCTTTTTAGGGTTCCTTACTTTGAATTTCTTTATATAAGTCCTTGGAAAGGTAGGTTATTCCGGGTTAACGTAGGGCCCAGGGCTATAAGGGTTTAGGGTTCACGGGTGTTGTTTTTTGTTAGGATCTGCAAAGCTCTAGACTTTAATCGCCTAAACCCCAAACCCAAAGCCGAATTCGGGTTGCTTTTAGGGTCCTTTTCTCCAAGGGTGCCACCTTCTTTGGGGTTCCTTAACAGGGACCCTGATTTAGAGAACCATCCGTATTCGCAGCACCCGGACTCCGGGATTCTCGGTCTTAGCCTTTCGTGGTTTGATCTTTAGGTCAGGGCTTTTTGCGTACACTGCATAAGTAAAGCCCAAAAAACCCAACGCCTTAAACCCTAAACCAAGACCCCAGTATGCCGTAAACCCTGAAGCCCAAGAACACAGAAGCCCTAAAGCCTCAACTCATACCCCGAAACCTGACACGCAAATCACCAAAGCCCTACATGCCGGGATTTCTGACGTGGAAGCCGAATTTTTTTTATATGAACACTGGGCTCGTATGGAGAGTCAGGTAAATGGCAACAGATATGACGTTTGGGGTTTCAGTGTTCAAGGGTTTAATTAGGGTTCATGGTTTCAGGGTTCAAGGGTGTAAGAGTTTAAGGGTTTAGGGTTCAGGGTTTCGCTATTTCTTCCTCCTCCGTAGTTCTCGAGAATCGGAAGACCTGCCTTCAAAAGAGCCGAGCCCAAATCGCAAACTTGACGTCCTGAGCCACAGCTGGCATCCTCGAGTGAATGGAACCCTAAACCCTTAGTACTTCATGCTTGGGATAGCATTAAAACTTTAGAAATTCCTTATTGGGTTTAAGTCCCCATGTAATATGCAAAATGTTACCCAGTTCGGACAAAATTCGTCCTCGGCGCCTACAGGTACAGAATCCGTCGAACGCAAAGGCAATCGCACGGAGGACGGCGCAGGTGTGTGAGTTTTGACTTCAGGTCTGCTGGGTGTCTTATCTCGCTCCCTCTCTTGCATCTCTCTCTCTCTCTCTCTCTCTCTCTCTCTCTCTCTCTCTCTCTCTCTCTCTCTCTCTCTCTCTCTCTCTCTCTCTCTCTCCTCAATCGTCCTCGATCTTTCTAGTCATTTGGGTAAGTACCAGCCCCTGAACCTCCCACAAAATTCTCTACCTTCCGTGGATTTCGTAAGCTGGGCCGGCTTTAGCCAGATTTGATACCTAGATTTGTTCAGAAAGCATGTGCTGGATTCCTGATGAACTAGACTCCCAACTTCGATTAACCACACAGCGGATTCCCTGCATTCCCGAAGTTCCAGAAAGCAGATGCGTATTCGTGTAATCTTTCAGAGTCTTCATATCCCCTAGATTCCCGCGATCCCTAACGCAATCGGCAATCCAGTGTATGGCTTTGTGGAATTAGGCTTAGTAGCTGGCTATAGGCAACCTTTAACGTTCTGGGCTTTAGATAATCCTATCAGAATTGAAAAGGTTGACCTTGTTTCCTGTGACCCCAAACCACACAAAATAGTAGGTTATGACCTGTTAGATATAGGGTTTAACCCCTAAACCCTAAACCTCTAAACCTCTAAACCCTAAACCCTAAACCTCTAAACCTCAAAACCCTAAACCCTAAACCCTAAACCTCTAAACCTCTAAACCCTAAACCCTAATCTAACCTCTAAAACAGTAGGGTTTTGGATCCTCGAGTTGGGCTAGGGTACGCAGCCCCTTAAGGAAGGGACTCCGGGAATGACAAGGAATCCAACCAGGTGCATGTACTCGCGGAGCCTAAGGAATCTTAAAGGGGGTCTATAAGGGTTACTGTAAGGAATCTATAGGGTACTATAACATAGGGGCCTTAATAATTTGAAAAGGGTTCCTTTACAAGGGGGTCTATATAGGTTACTATTAGGGATCCACAGGGGTAGAATCCCACATGTCAGGACAAGTTCATGGCTCTGTTGAGGAGTATGGCATTCTGGCCTCCACATTCCTACAGCGAGGACTGGGCGCAAGTCCGAATTAGCAGGATCCTCCAAGTAGCCTCACAACAAGACTGTGCACACACTTGAGCCCTCAACCCCGGATTCTCCGAAGTTTGTTTTAAAGTATCCACAAGGGTTCTATGAGGGTTATGAAGCTCTGCAAAGCTGTCAGGCCAACTGGAAGCTTGCTTTGAAGGTTGGCGAGACGAAGACCCTGGGATTCTCCAGCCCGCTCTGGACCAACACCGAATTGCTTAACGAAGCATCGGTTGTGGACACCATCGAGGATGCCAAGTATAAGGAATTCAACACGGAGCCCTTCAAGCGGATTCGCATGTGCGTCGGGAGCCCGGAATCCAACTGCGTGGAGCACGTCTTCTCCAAAGCGTACGACAGCGCCAGGGCCCTCTTCAGCGCCGGTTACATTCGAGACGAAAATGTGGACAAGGATGGCATTCTGAGCAGCTTCAGCCCCCCGGAAGACACGTACCAGGCTCGTTGCCCGATGCAGAGGCCAGGGAACACATGTCCACATGTTCCCTCTCGGAAGTTTTGTGCCCATTTCTGCCCATGCTTCTGCCGTACACGGCGTGCGTGAGGCCCGGCTTCAACATTGAGTGCAGAGACGGCAACAAAGCTCGTTGGGGTTTCTGCTTGAACTGCAACAACCAGGGTTGCCAAAACGCCGACACCGACGATGCGGACGCCGCCATCGGCATTGGAATCGCAGGACAGGCCACGGATACTGAGCTTGGAGCAGGTTGGACCAGGTGCCTTAGATGATAAGTAAGGAGTGGAGTCACGCATGATGTGCCAAGCATGTTCAGTCGCGGGTTCACTCTACTGCAGTTGCCTTTCCCAGGTTTTTCACTACCACGGACAACAGGTGCGGCAAAGCTGGGAAAACCTTCAAGCCCGTGTCTCGGCCACTGCTGCTTACTAACAACCCCCAAACCTAGCCAGACCTCGCCCAGCTGGAATGCTGCTTGAACTGTGTGCATGCCAGGACCCCACAATGGCCCTTTAATGGAGCCCTTATGGTCCTTAATAGTGAGTAGTTCAGGTATATTAGACGGTAGCTCGGGGTTCTAAGTAAGCTATCCGAGCCCGAGTTGCCTTCATGAGCTTTAAATTTTGGGGGGCGGTCAGCGTTGAAATCTTCCCTTCGCTCGGTGCTTGATTCTAAACCCTGCCCAGGGCAGGCCCCCTATACTCTTTAGGAGGCCCATATATATACGGGCCGAAATAATTACCTATACTATTTTGGGGGGGTTCCTTACTACAGTTATAGTATACTGGGTCCCAAAACCCTGTTCTAATTGTTAAGGCCGCTAGATTCTATTAACCCTTGTACAGTCAATGGTTTACGGTTTAGGGTTAAATTGTACTGTCCCATTCTCCCTTGAAACCTGTGGGCACCTTCCGGGGCAAATGGCCTCCCGGCATTAGGTGTTTATGTTGAAGCGATGATATATGCACATGCTTGCTAACCGTATTTGTTTGGTCTCAGTTCGATTTGGAAATCTAGGGAACTCACGACAAACCTGAAGTTGATAGATTACATACAGCTTGTAGCTTTGTTTCGACCTGTACACTGTCTCCATATGCATCCCGTAGTACACATTGCGCAGTTGCACGCAACCTCTTTGGCTAGTTATGTGTTCATACGTTGTGTTGCAGCCTATACTAGGGTAATCCAGGGTATAATATTGCAAATGAAACAGCTGCGATACTTTCTGTCCCTGGTGCAGGTTGTGTCAATTATCCATGTCACGGCGCAGGATGCTATTTTGTGGGAGTCCTCTTGAAGGGTTACTTAAAGGGGTCTATAAGGCATCTATAGTAGGGTTCTATGATTATGTTTCGTTTCTACATAGGGGTTTCCGAAAACAGGGGACCCTAATATAGTAACCTAAGTAGCAGGATCCTTAATTATAAGGACCCCAAAATAATATAGAACCCTTGACCGAATTCTAGGACCCCGAAATAAGGTAATCGCCTTTTGTTTTCTGGAAACTCCCAAGTCGTACTTCCGATGTCTCTATCAGGCCTAAGCTTCCTCAGCTGAGGCTGTGCACTTGTTAGGGTTTAGGGTTTAGGGTTTAGCGTTGTAGCCTGAGTACTCTCAGTGTGAGACTAGTCCCCGCGCAGTCCAGGTGTGGCTTTGGGTCGACAGCCTCGATACTACTCTGAACTGGCTCTTTTGGTTTGTCCCTCCTTGTTTGTTGCATTGGTTGTGGCCTCGGCTTCTTTCGGGTACACCCTCAAGCCCATGCCCCAAACCCTTAACGAAGGTTCGGATTGCGGGGGCTGCTACATTTCGTTCCAGGACCCTCCTTGTACCCTCAAATAGGGGTATATGGTCCCAAATAAGGGGCATTTAGGGTCTAATGGAGGGTAGATGGAGGGTCTATGTTGTTGTTGTTAATATAGATATATTAGGCCCTTTATCAGTAGCCCTATTATAGACTGTTACAGTATGGGGGCCGCACCTAACTGCTACCTTTCGTTGTTGTTGGTCGAGGCCCTCGGGTCGGGTTCAGGCGCATTGAGTCTAAGGTCTACCTGTTGCCAAAAAGACCTAACTTTTTAAGGAACTATATACAGAAACCATAATAAGGAACCCAAAAAAGGTAGGTCTTTTCGGCTACAGGTAGGGCGTGCAACTCTAGGATGCCCAGTAGTACCCTTATTCCCCTTTTGTAGTCCTAGGTTCCTTATAAAGGTACCCAATACCAAAGGGGAGCCCTGTTTATTCCTAGGTTACTGGGCATCCTAGAACTAGCTTCAAGTTTCAATTCACTGCGACGCACGGTGCACAGCTCAAAGGGGTTATCCTTCGCTACAGCGGCACCTGATCCTTGAAGGAGGCTTCATTCAGCAACGCCAGGAAACCAATCCCTTCTTAAGGAAGACCATGGAAGACCCCTCAATACAGGGGCTTGCAAAATTACCAACGCAGATTTTGCGGGTTCCTTACTATAGTTCTAGTATAAGAAACAATATACCCTGTTCTAAATATTAAGGTTCCTCATTTTAGTTATATTAGGATAAGCCCTGTTCTAAATACTAAGACCCCTATGTTAAATTATAGGTCGGCACCTTGGAAGTGAAACATTGGGCTTGGAGGCAAGCGCTCTGTAAAACCCCAGGAACGCAGAGACTCCAATAGCCCTTAACTAAGGAAAATACCGTAAAGTATAGTAGGACCCCTAATATGATTTCAGGTATATTCTTCAATTTAATGCATGTTGGAGTCTCTGGGACGCCCCTTAGATTCAGGGTTTGGGGTTTAGGGATTAGGGGTTTAGGGTTCGCAAGGAGTCATTCTCTATCGGTGTCAAAGAGCTGCCTCTAATGCTACTCCGAAAGTGAAAGCTGCACTCGCCTGTAAGATGCCTTGATGCTATGCTGCCCAGATAAGTGATGTAGAATCCAGACAAGCACTCGATGCAGCCGTGAATGCTAAGGCCAACTGGAAGCTTGCTTTGAAAGTTGGCGAGACGAAGACGCTAGGATTCTCCAGCCCACTCTGGACCAACACCGCCTTGCTCAACGAGGCATCGGCTGTGGATACCATTGAGGATGCCAAGTACAAGGAATCTAGGATGCCCAGTAATACCCTTATTCCCCTTTAGTCCTAGGTTCCTTATAAAGATGCCCAATTTCAAAAAGGGAGCCCTTTTTATTCCTAGGTTACTGGGCATCCTAGGAGTTCATCACGGAGCCCTTCAAGCGGATTCGCATGTGCGTCGGAACCGCAGAGTCCAACTGCGTGGAGCACGTCTTCTCACAAAAGTACGACAGCGCCAAGGCCCTCTTCAGCGCCGGTTACATTCGAGACGAAAGCGTGGACAAGGATGGCATTCTGACCAGCTTCGGCCCTGTCAAAGGCTCGTACCGAGATTGCCCGATGCAGAGGCCAGGGAACACATGTCCACATGTTCCTTCTCAGAGGTTTGATTCCCTTTGCTGCCTGTGTGTTCTGTTGTAAACGATTTTTTGAGGCCTGGCTTCAACATCGAGTGCAAAGACGGCAACAAAGCTCGGTGGGGTTTCTGCGCGAACTGCCCAAGCCAGCAGTGTCAAAACTCCGATAGCAGCGATGCGGACGCTGCTATCGGCATTGGAATCGCCGGACAGAAAACGGACACTGAGCTTGGGGCAGGTTGGACCGCGTGCCACAGCCGCAATTCAGTCGCGACTGATACCCAGAGCATGCTTTGCTACAGCCACTGGTGTGGTGCAGATGCGGGAGTTTCCGAAAATAGGGGACCCTAATATAGTACCCAAAACAGTAGGATGCTTATTATAAGGACCCCAACTAGTAGGATCCTAATTATAAGGACCCCAAATAATAGGATCCTTATTACAAGTACCCTAATATAGTACCCTAAGTAGTCATAAGGACCCCAAACAAGGTACCCTTCTGCTTAGCGTCTCCCAGGTACTTCGCCCCAGGCGAGGGCAAGTGCAGTGCCACCAGCAAGACCTTCAAGCCCGCATCGCGCCTGCATTTGTCTCTTAGACCTACAGCCCTGACCCAGTAATATAGGGGCCTTGTTAATTAGAATACGGTTTTAGGTGTTCCTTATTATATTCTAATTATTCGGCATCGCGCCTGCAAATTGGCTCTTCAGGGTGTAGGGGTTAGGGTTTGGGGATTAGGGTTTAGGGATTTGATTAGGGGTTGGGGTTTAGAGTTTAGGGATTTGATTCGGGATTAGGGTTTAGGGCTTAGGGATTTGACCAGGGATTGGTGTTTAGAGTTTAGGGTTTATTTGGCCTGAAGCGCTGACCCGCGAGAGCCTCTCATTCTTTCGAGTGTTCGAGCGCTTGTTTTGCATATCGTTGGTCAGCGGTTTAGGGTTTAGGAAGCTCTACCATCGTAATGCATTAAATAGATGTGTTTCATATCTGAAACCACCTACCACCGTACGAAGTAATGTGTTTGATGTCTGAAAACAGGGTCTTAAGTAATACAGGGGCATAGATATTTACCAATACTATTTTGGTGGTTCGTTGGCGTAATTCTAGTAAAACGTACCCAAATCGTTAAAACCCCTTATACCTTCAACCATTGTAGTAGTCCTTACAGAGCCTTTAAGGAACCCTTTAAAGGATCCCCCAAACCCTATTCTGATTGTTGAGGTCCCTATATTAAACACAAAGCCTTAACCCTCATGGATCCCTTTAAAGGAACCCTTATAGATCCCTTTTTGAGGAGCCCGTACAGACTCCTTTTGAAGGAACCCTACACCCCCGTACTAAGGCCCCCATATACCCATGTGACTGCGCAGGAGCAGCGAATCTCCTTAGAACCTGTTTCCTTTCGGGTTTAGGGGGTTAGGGTTTAGGGGTTTGGGATCACTTTAACCCTAAACCATTTCGCGTAGTGTTCAGGTGAGCAGCCTTTCGCTTTGGAATACTGGGTTTTCCCAAGCATAGGCTCGCCCGAACTCGGGATGTCTTCTGTACTGCAGTTGGAAAGGACCCGCACAAGCTCCCAAACCAATGTCGGGGCCTTAAAAGCTAGAATAGGGCTTGGGGGGGTTGTGTTATACTATAGTGGTAATAAGGAACCCCCAAAACCCTATTCTCATTATTACGGCCGCTACATTAACAACTTTCGTCCTGGCTAGGCATTGGCCAGAGCTTTTGCTTTCACACTCAGTTGAAGGGCCTTGCCCTGTCTATGTGGGAGCATAGATCAACGTCGCAGTTCTCCTTTACACGGTGGTGGTTGAGATCCGGGAGCAAAATTTGGTCGCATTGCGCACCCGATATTGCTTACCTTGAAGGTAGGACCCTCAAGGAACAGCCTTTTCGCACGGGTTCTGGCACATGGCTTGCTGTCTTGCCTTTATACTTGCTTGCCGGTTGCTGACCGGCCCAGTTGTGGCTTACTGCCGTGGCTGGCAAGAGCTTTTGCTGACCTGCCAGTGTTTGATCTGGGGTTGTCGGGTATTCGTCAGAACTCCGCATGCATGGGGCGATGATGCTTTGAGAGCTCGCTGGATAGGAGGAATCCTTTCCTGAGGCAGTCCGTGTATAGCCGCGCAGAGACCCAATAGCCATGCACCACGAGCCTCGACGATTTGATTCTCTCTTGCAAAACGGTGCTAAAGCAGTCAACTGTCAAGCTACGCTCATGTTTCCTTAGGGGCTGAATATATCCTCAGAAAGTTGGAACATGGATTTAGGATGATTTAGGATGATTAGATTCCCGCTACTTTACCTTAAGGGCATGACGATAGTAAGGTTCTAACTTTCTGGCTTCTACTATAATCCTAGTGAAATTCAAGAGGTTAACGTTTCTGGGAGCCAGAAGAAGAAAGGCGCTGAAGCGTAGATACCTAGCAGTAGAGTAGGTGACCTTTAAGCTTGTCGGGAGTACTATGATCCCTTTAATATACTGCCAAAGGTTAACCTGTTTAGTTCCTCTATGATACTGGGCAAATAAGATTAGATACCTCCCCAATGTCAGTCAGCCAGTTCTCTGGCGGTGGAGGAGCACCGGACCTAAATCCTAAACCCCTAAGCCCCTAAACCCCCAAACCCTAAACCCTACAAACTAAACCGAAGCCTAAATCGAAACCCTAAACCCCTAAACCCCTAAACCCTAAAGCCTAAAGCCTAAATCGAAACGCTTGAGCCCACGACTCCTTCTATCCGGCGCAAACTTCCTCAGCCGAAACTCGGGGCATGTAGACTCAGAATTTTTGAGCGGAGACCCATGACCGTGGAGCCTTAGCAGCTGGGTAGGCTAGGTAACCTTTAACCTTTTTGGGCTTTATATAATCCTACCATAGTTGAAAAGGTTCACCTTTTGGGGGCTAGGGTGCTGGCCCCTAAGACAAAAGCCGCAAGCTTGACATAACAGCAGTCCAGGTGTGGCTTTGGGTCGACAGCCTCGATGCTCGGCTGCTTTGTTTTTTTGTGTTGCATCCTTCCCTCGTGGTCCAATTATTCACCGAATTAACATGGGTGCTTAAAATTGCCAATGCTCTTTGGTGCTCTTTATCATGAAGACATTACGATATACCCAAACCCTTGTTTTGATTATTAAGGCCTGTACATTTCTGATCTGCAAAACCCTTCAACCCAAGTCCTTGCACAAGACCATGTCGCCGTCTCCTGCAAGGGGTTACGTAGGTTTGTAGGTTTAAAGTAAAAGCCAGAAAGTTGGAATATGATTATCCTAAACCCTTTATGGTAGATTATAAGGTATCCTACCCTGAAACCATATTCCAACTTTCTGGAGTTCCCTTTATGGTTCTGCAGTTCGGCAAATTTGCTTCATTTGGTTGAGGACTTATTCTCGGGTTCAGGTCCAATGGTCCAAGGGTCCAAAGGGCCCAATAATTAGGTACTCGGTTTTAGGATAGTAGCTATGTAGGTTAGAATTTTGGAGAGTATGTGATTATTGGATACTTGGACCCTTGGGGTTGCGTTCAGGAGACCCTAAACAGGCCCTAAACCCTAAACCGTCTGTTCAAACAGCTTTAAGTTCGAAGTGCCCAGCCCTGAACCGCAGAAGCCAAGCTCCCAAGGATTTAGGGGGAGTTTGGGGTGTAGGGTTTAGGGTTTAGAGGGGTTTGGGAGTTTGGGATTTAGGGCTTAGTACCAACTTCACAGTAAAAACGATGGCATCCTGGCACCATCCTCAGGTGAACTGGAAGCTTGCGTTGAAGGTTGGCGAGACGTCGACACTGGGATTCTCCAGCCCACTCTGGACCAACACCGCCTTGCTCAACGAAGGTTCGCCGGTGGGCGAGATCAAAGATGCCAAGTACAGCCAGTTCAACACGGAGCCCTTTAAGCGGATTCGCATGTGCGTTGGAAGCCCGGAGTCCAACTGCGTGACCCACGTCTTCTCCCAAAGGTACGAGAGCGCCAAGGCCCTTTTCAGTGCCGGCTACATTCGAGACGAAAGCGTGGACAAGGATGGCATTCTGAGCAACTTCGGTCCCGTCGAGGGCACATACCGGGATTGCCCCATGCAGAGGCCAGGGAACGCATGTCCACGTGTTCCTTCTCATAAGTTTTGTCACCATTGCTGGCGGCGCTTCTGTTGTACACAGCTTGTGTGAGGCCTGGCTTCAACATCGAGTGCCACCATGGCAACAAAGCTCGGTGGGGCTTCTGTAATAACTGCAAAAGCCAGCGTTGCCAGAGCGACGACGACGACGATGCGGACGCCGCCATCGGCATTGGCCTTGCGGGACAGGGAATCTGTGTCATATTTGGGTAACATTTTACATTTTTATGGGTACTTAAATAAGGAATAAAAATGTAGATTTTTAATCTTATCCCAACCATGAACTAGGAATGGGCGGCACGGAGCTTGGGGCAGGTTGGACCAAGTGCCCCACAGGGCTCCAGTTCAGCCTTGTCCTTTTTCATGGTTCCCCCAGATGAATAAACAGAGCGGCTAGTAGACCTTCTTAAATCATTCCTACTAAGGGATATAGGTATAGGTCTCTGTCTATTATTTCTGAAAGGACAAGGGTGCTCCGGTTACCGAAGAGCAGGTTACGGGGTATGTATTACAGTGTCCTTATTCCCTTTTTGTTGTCCTAGGTTCCTTATAAAGGTACCCAATACCTATTCCTAAGTTACTGGGCATCCTGGAATACCTACGGTTTAGGTAGCTAGAACCCCAGGGAGAAGTGATGTTCTCATCATGTTGGCCAGGTCTCGGTGTTAGCACACAGCTGTACTCTCGGGGCCTAAGAATGACATTTACTGTTTTGGGGGGTTCCTTATGATATAGTATAATGAGCCCCAAAACCCCATTCTAAAAGTAGCCTGGTAGATCCGTTTATGTATCCCTTACACCTTTAACGGAACCCTATTCTAATTAATAAGGCCGCCCTCTTGCAGGTACTTCACCTCCACGAGCACCGGCTGCAACGGCGGCGCGACCTCCAAGTCCGCCTTTTGGCTGCCTTTGGATTCTAATCCCTGAAATACTTCGTAGCTGGCTAGGTAACCTTTTGCCTCTTGTTTTTTTTTAATGGTCCTGCTATAATTGGAAAGGTTAACCTGGTTTGGGCTAGCCCCTAAGAATATAGCTCGCAAGCGTTGTGCCTCATTCTTGTTCAACTTTGGCTAGCGTCGACTTGGAAATCCAGGCCTGTAGAACTCTGCTAACCCTTGGCCATCAGCGGCATCGAAATTCTGCTATTCAGGTTGCCTTATGGGTGGTTGTCAAAATTAGGGTCCCGTTTTGGGTCCCTAATATGGTACGGCACCTAATATTTAGGGTACCCACAAGGGGACCCTAATTTTGACAACTACCCATATCTCCCTAAACCCTAAACCCTTTATAGAACCCTTATAGATCCCCTTAAGGAACCCTTTAAAGGAACCCAAAAAGGTACCCTAATTTTGACAACTACCCATATGGGATCCTGCACGGGTACTGTCGGAAAGGGGATGCTCAGGAGCAGTCGAGCGCCCAGCTGCCCCCACGTTTCCTGTCAAGCCCTCCTTGACACCCCTAAACCCTAAACCCCTAAACCCCTAAACCCTACACCCTAAACCCTAAACCCCTAAACCCTAAACTCTAAACCCTAAACCCTAAACCCCAAAACCCAGAACCCGAAATGTGCACTTGCAGCCTAAGAGCTCTGAGGGCGAGACCTTTGACCCCTGAGCGAAACCGCAAATATTACGTAGCAGATGAGTTCGAAGCCCTCGACCCCTAAACTCCTGAACTCTAAACCCTTACGCCCTAAATCCTCCTTAACCCCTCAACCTCTAAGTAACGGGCACTTCAGGTGTGGCTCTGGGTCGACAGTCTCGACGCTCTTCTGCCTTGGGTTTTAGGGGTTTTGGGGTTCAGGGTTCAGGGTAATTACGGGTTTAGGGTTTAGGGTTTCGGGTTTCGGGTTTCGGGGGTTAGGGTAGGGGTGTAGGGTTTAGGGTTTAGGGGCTGTTTCTGGCTAAGCTTCCCTTGTTTTTCGTTCACAGTCTGGGGTCAAGGAGTGGGGGTGCGGTGCGGTGGGGGTTTAGGGTTTGGCATTTCGGGTTCGCAGCCATGCTTGTCAAGGGTTTTAGCCGCTTACATTTGGGAGTTTCATGGGGGACCCTAATATAGTACCCTAAATAGCAGGATCTTTGTTATTAGGACCTCAATATAAGGTAACCCTAATCTTCGGAAACTCTCATTTCGGTTTGTGTCGAGCACCTTCTGGGTTCCGAGTGCAAGGTTCTCGGCAACTCATCATCCCATGTGACTCCCCACCTGTTCGCCGCCGATACTCGTGTTGATGGAGGAAGACCCCTAAGCCTAAACCGTCAAGCTCTAACGCCGAAACCCCTAAGCACCTGAACCCCGAGGTAGAATCCGGTTGTACTTCGCATGCTCCAAGTACAGGTTCCAGCGGCATCCAGCATCAAGCTGGGTAGAAGTTCAGGGCGACGACGATGATTTAAATGATCTTGGCGTTCTGACCACACTACTGATCATGTATCCATATTAAGTGGTGGCATCTACGTCAGCACACACCAGAAGACACATCGTTAGCTGCTCTCAGAACTCCATCACTCCCAGCAGAGCGTTTAGGGTTCATGGTTTACTGAACCGAGCCTTCACGCCCTCCCGCCGATCTGAAAGCTTCGGAGTCCCTCGAACACTTTAGAAGCCCGCAAAACCCTAAACCCGAAAACCCAAACCTGAAACCGCGCAAGGCAAGTTGAGGATGATGAACGATGCGCTCAGCTTGAACCAATTGCCGTAGACTCTGAGCAGATGGCAGGGTAAGAGCAGACCGAACTCGATCGTTGAGGACGAATGCATAGCGCAAAGGGTTCGTAGCAACCAGGACCTCGAGTAGGCCCTTATTCCCTTTGTTAGGGTTCTGGTTCCCTTCTAAGCCCCTTTAAACCAAAAGGGGCACCCTTTTTGTTCCTAGGTTACTCTTGGGTCACGGCAACGATATGTAAGGAAAGCAGCTGGGGTTCCGGCTCTTAGAGGAGGGGACTTTGTGCATCACAGGCCTAGTTCATCACAGGCCTATACGCCCGTCCTCAGGGAGTCAGGTATAGGGGTGAGGACTACTTGGAGGCCCAGGGGACTTAGTAAGTCGGTTATAAGTAGTTTCATAACTACGGATAGCTCCATTTAGGGTACTTATAGCTCTATATATAACCTACTTACTACGTCCTCTGGGCTTACCTTATAGGATTCTAAATACGAACCCCCAAAAGGAACTACTTTGGAGCCTCTGGGTAAGCAGGGGTGAGGATTAAAGGATTGAGTAGGAGGGCTTTCTTGGGGTCGAGGCTTGAATCAAAGGAGTTGCCAGCACCCCCCCAAGGACCGACGAAGGTCATTAGGGTTTAAACTAAAATATGTAAGAGAGGTTTAGGGTGTAGGGTACCAGCACCCCCCAATGACCCTTTAATAGAGCCCTTGTGGTCCTTAATGCTGCGTATTTGGGGTATGATAGAGTTTGGGGTTTAGGATCTATCTTAACACCCAAAACCCTGCCTTCTGATGAACTGTATGAGGTTGTCTGAACTCTCTGAAATAGAGGTTTTCTTAGTGTCCAGGTAGGGGCGACAAGGATCGAACCGGGCCCCTCAAAGCTACGTGAGGGGTTTAGGGTTTAGGGCTTCCTTCTTAGTAGCTAAGCAAGTAACCTTTAACCTTTTGGGGTTTAGGTTTAACCCGAAACTCTTGAACTCTAAACCCTAACCTTGGCTAGGGTGCTCAGCCACTGGGCCTTCTTCACCTGCATTCGTCGTCCTTACATGCGGCATCGTCTTTGGCTTTCGGGTTTGTGTTGGGATTCCACCACATTTACGGTTTAGGGGTTTAGGCGTTGAGGATTTGAGGGTTGAGGGGTTAAGGCTTAAGGGTTTAGGGGTTTAGGGTTGAGGGTAGGTTGTTTCGCAGACTCCTGAATAGCTGACATCGGGAACGCGAGGTCGAGTTTGCAAAATTCTTGCCCTAAAAGGCCCCTAGATTGCCACTCCGCACCGGTCGTGGGACGTTTCGAGTGATTTCGACGCGCGCGGCAAAGAAGACAACGGAGCTTTGGGAGGCGTAGGAAGCGGGTTTAGGGGTACAAGGTTTAGGGGGTAAGGGATGTTAAAGGTTTTGGGATTTAGGGTACAAGGTTTAGGGGTTAAGGGTTTAAGGGTGTAGGGCTCTGAAGCATCTTCGAATCCAACATCATGTCATTGGCATGCCAGCAAAGGATGCTCGGCATTGTCATGTTGACCTGTGCGACCTTGGCAGGGGTTTGGAACTTGGGATGGTTGATGAGGGAAGGTTGGACCGCAGCCGCCGTATCTTCAAGTTTATTTCAATGTAGCAATAGCCAGCGAGCTTCGCAGCGACACCGCTCGAGCTCAGCTTAAGTTGCGGCCATGATGGCCGCAAGTTTGCAGCCTCGGCCACGGAGCTCTCGCTTCGTGGTTTTCATGACCGCGTGGATGGGGTGGTTGACGACAGCATTGGCCTTCAAAACGGCTGATTTCCCGATAGAGTTGATCAACTCAACCAATTCGACAGTGGCCCGGCAGGCGAACAAGGTCATCGCCAGGAACTTGGCTTTCGACATGAAGCAAATGAATGCCATCCCGGACCCGTCAATGAACAAGAGCGGGGAAAACAAGACCGGCGAGGATGTGAATGAAACCGAATCCGAAGCCGAAGGAATGGGTGGTCTTGGAAGGAGCTGGCTTTCGTGTTCGAGACATGTGCTTCGGTGGTCATCCAAACGGGTATTGAAAGGGTGCGACATCATGTTTCCCGCACTCCAACAACAGCTTGTTTAATATAGGGGCCTTAATATTACTGTAGAAATAGGGTGTCGGGGCATATTATACTATGGAATCCCTAGAATAATATTGCTAATTATCTAGGCCCCTACATCACCCGACCTGAAGGACTCTCGAGTTCTTGATGCTGAAGGTCACGCAGCTCGAAACACTTTGTGAACTGCAGCAGACCGAGATCGTATCCCTGAGGAAGACGGTGAAGGAGCACCCCCCCCCATACTGTATCATCGGTACAGGTACAAAAGCAGCCCAGCCTCCCCAAGCCCTAAACCCCCCTAAATCCCTACAACCCTAAACCCCTAAACCCCTATATAAATCCCTACAACCCTAAACCCCCAAATCCCTAAAACCCCAAAGCCCTAAACCCCAAACCCCTAAACCCCAAACCCTAAGCCCTAAACCCCAAACCCCTCAACCCCTAAGCCCCTCGACCCTAAACCCTCCCGAACCCCGTCTCAATAAAAGTCAGACGGCTGTTTGGGTTATTACTATTACTACTATTAGTATTGTTATTATTATTATTACTAGTATTGTTCCTACTATTACTACTGTTACTAGTTTTTGCTCTCACTGTGCTTTTCATCTGGTAGTTTGGCGAGCCAGTTTCTGCTCTCAAGCCGGACCGGACCCAGGGCTTCGGGTTTAGGGGTTTAGGGCTTTAGGGTTTAGGGCTTTAGGGTTTAGGGGTTTAGGGGTTTAGGGTTTAGGGGTTTAGGGTTTGGGATTAGGGTTTTAGGGTTTAGGGTTTGGGGTTAGAGTTTAGGGGTTAGGGATTAGGGTTTGGGGTTTACGGTTTAGGGGTTTAGGGTTAGGGATTAGGGTTTGGGGTTTAGGGGTTTAGGGTTTAAGGGTCAGGGTTTAGAGTTTAGGGCCAAAGGAGCATCTGGACGCCGACCATAAGGACAGCAAGGTAGCACTGGTGCAGAAGGACCCGAAGACTCACATGGAGGACAGCAATCTGCAAGAGTAGACTCGCAAAGCAGTCGGAGTAAGTAGCACGGTACCTGTGACTGGCGGCTGTATGTAGAATATGTAGACCATCGGGGTATGCGTAGTGCAATGTTGGCATGCTTCTGACTTGATTTCCCATGACAGTCCTAGCGTGCACGCCGCTGTACATGGTTGAATGCACCTTGCCAGGAGGTCCAATCCACTCTCAAGGGTGTTGTCAAGAAACACGCGCGTCAGCTAAAGCACCGAGACTTGCTTGCTTAATATAGGGGCCTTAGTAATAACCAATACTCTTTTGGGGGCTCCTTATTATAATTATAGTATCATGGGCCGCAAAACCCTATTCTAATTATTAACGCGGGTAGGGCCCGCATGGACCCCACCCGCGAAGAGTCCAAATCTAAGGAGAGTTCCACCCGAAGGCCCGCACCGCGAATCAGGCGCGGAAGTGACTGAGATACCAAGGGGGTCCATAAGCTGCGCCGTGGTTGGAAGGATAGTATGGTTTGCAGTCTCTAGAACAATAGCTTCGATGACTTCAGCTAGCGGAGTTTGGGTCAGGCGGCAGCTGAATCCGCATGAGGTTTCCAGATGTACAACATTTTTATGCTCCAAAGCCTCCGATCGTCACACATTGCCTGCGGTACACAGGAAGCCAAGACATTCATCAAAGCAAGCGTACTCTGAGCTAAACCCCAAGCCCTCAACCCTAACATAAACCCTCAACCCGAAAAAACCACAAACCGCAACCCCTGAACCCTAAACCCTGGAGTGGCGGCTATCGTGGCCCGGTCTGTCCGTGAGTCTGACTTGGCAGTCCGCAGGGCTTCAAAAGCATGTAGCATAGCGGCTTAAATAATTACCAATACTCTTCTTGGGGGTTCCCCATTATAGTTATACTAGAATCATATACCCCAAAACCCTATTCTAACAATTAAGGCCTCCTTGGTGCTTTTAGTGTTGAGGGTCTAGGGTTGCGGGTTTGGGGTTTCAATAAAGGCTTCATTCGTATTGGCCTTCATAGTTCTGCCCGTTGGGTTCCTCGTTTTACCATGTCGCACTGAAGGCTTGCGGTTGCAAGATTAGTTTGCCTTAGTAACTGGGCAAATAACATTTAACCTTTTGGGCATTATATAAACCTACCATAGTTGAAAAGGTTAATCTTTCTGGGGCTAGGGTACTCAGCCCCTTGGTTTGCCATACCTGCACTAGAACGGCCGAGTTTGCGTTTGCAGGGTTCTGTCAGGAACTCGGGGAGGCACGAATGCTAGGGCCGGGCCTAGTCGCCGTCAATTCCGCGTCATGAAGAACTGTTCAGACCTTGTGAAACGCAGCTTGTTGCAGGCGGAGTTGCTTGAGAAACGCCGCAAGACGACAAAAGCCGGTGCCGCCCACGCCTTAGTCGGACATACGCCTAGACCAGCATAGATTGTCAGAGTCTTCATGTTCTGTGACGAGTTTTTCGTTTGTCTTTACGTCCTCTCGGCCGCAGTGCTGTGCACACCCCGCAGTCCAGCTCGTGCTCCCCCAGTCTCATTCAAAATTTGGTGTCGCTGCGATGCGGGCCACACTGATAGCCCGCCTCGGGCTGCTCAGACACACCCACGTTGTCCACCAATTTCGCTACTTGGGCCCGATATGGTAATGATGCTGTCTGCACGGGTTCGTGTGTGAGGCTTCGTAGAACCCTGAATCCACAGCACCCTACTGGATGGTAGTGGTTATAACGACTACCGATTCTTCGAGAGTTTGTGGATAGATTAGGGCAGCTCGCAGTGATAAGTGATAAGTAGCTCTTTCTACTAAATGTCTCTATTGTCAATGAGTGTCTACATGTTCATGTTCATTGGTTTCAATATGATAGGTTTTTCATTCCAGAGCTGTTGCCAGCTGCCAACTGAAGCGGAAGCACGGGCTGGAGGCAAGCAACAGCACCCACAGCGGCAGTGGGAAGCCGGGGTCTGACGGTGGGAGAGGTTTACTTGGAGGGTCGGGGGACTTAGTAAGTGGGTAGTAAGTAGACAGTACCCCAAAAGGGACCCTAATTGGGGTTAGGGTACTTACAAGTCCCTAAAATAACCAGTTACTAAGTCCCCCGACCCTCCAAGTAGGGTTTAGGGATAACATGGCGCACCAGGGGCTACCAGATGAAGAGCTTGAGTCGGGAGGTTGTGAGCAGTATGTGAGAACTGTATATGGGACATCCTTCCTGGCACCTGTGGAGATCCCAGCTCTGCCGTTAATCATGGCAGGTCGACATACCTTCATGAGGGATGAAGAGTACCAACATGCGTTATTATTGTTCCTATGATGTACGACGTTCTCGGCCAGACAGCAGGTTGAACCCTTTCACCTCACGGACTTGTTCCCTAGGTGAAGTGTAGGTCAGTTTCACCAAAGTTTGTTAATCATTAGTGACACTCATAAGCAGCCCACATTATGACAGGCGGACGGAGCACAGACATATCTTAATAGAACAGGTTTACCTTGTGTGCCCGTAAGAAGATTGCCGTGGGAGACTTGCTCTCCGGGTCGTGCTCCCATCAGAACCGAGAAGTCCACTGTGCTTTTGGTATGGTTTCGTGCTCCAGACTGTGTTCCGGGATCTTGCCGAATAGCCGTCGCCTCTTTCTAGTCTTTATCGTCGCGCTCATTTTGATAGGGCTCCTAAGCTGTCCCGACAAAGATGATGATGATAATGATGCTCTTGGAGACAGATCGTTTTCTACTGCAGTGCCCGGATACACACATTCTGACGACAGAGTTTCTGTTGCTACGGTGACTCTTTGATACCCTAAACGCCGTAAACCCTAAACCTTACACCCTAAACCTTAAACCCTAAATCCTAAATCTTAGACCCTAAACCCTAAGCCCTAAACCCCTAAACCCCCAGCCCAATGCTCTACAGGAATCCTTGGAAAGCTCAGTGTCCTCCAAGATCCCGATTATTAGCTCCTTGGCTGCTCCCAAGAAATAGGGGGGGGATTTAGGGGTTAGGGTTTCAGGGTTCAGGCGTTTCAGGTTTTTGTATGGTTTCTAGGATTGTTGGGTTTAGGATTTAGGGGGTTTAGGATTCAGGGTTTTAGGGTTTCTATGGTATTAGGGTTTGTATGATTTTATTGTTTTAGGATTTAGGGGGTTTAGGGTTTAGTTCCGGTGCAGAGAGGCAGCAGCCCTGCTAGCAAGAGAAGCTGAGCGTGCCTGTTTGCAACTTCGGATGGTCTTGCCTTTTGCTTGGTGGTTTCGATCGGGAGCGGGAGGAAATGCATAAGGCTCAGAACGATATTCGAGCCTGTATGGTTTCAGGTGAACCCCACCCCCGAATATCCAGCCAAAGATTTTGAAGTGTGAAGCCGCCGATGCCCGACGGGCTGCCTTAATAATTAGAACAGTGTTTTGGGGCCCATTATAATGCAAATATAAAAAGGAACCCCCAAAATAGTATACGATATTACTTAGAAGCTGCCCCCACCCTGTAATAGTGACTATAAGGATTATATTAGGGCCCTATTATATTCCTATTATACCACTATTACAGGGTGGGGGCAGCTTCTAAGATATTATTCAGGTTTGAGAGGGGAGGGCTTTGCCGGGCTAGGGACCGGGTTTTTTTGTTGAAGTTGGTTGTTGTGGGAGGGAGGTAGTTGTGTTTCGGACATGCTGTAGTCTCGTAATTGACTGGAGCAGACTCGAAGGAGGAGTGGAAGAGAATTGCTCTGGTTGAACAGACCTTCGTTGCTTTTTGGCTGCTCTCTCTTCGGGTAGCTTTAGCCTTTTGCACTTCGGAATGCTATCATTGCCCAGAGACTCCAATATCCCTTAATTAAGGAATATACCGTAAACCATATTAGGTATCCCACTATAATTTAAGGTATATTCCTCAATCAAGGAATATTGGAGTCTCTGGGTGTGATGTCCGGGGACAGTGTGAGACCTTCGAAAAACAAGTAGGGCGTGGACTGTCCGAGCGTGAAAGTCCGAAGCTTGAAGCCCTGAATGCCGCCCCTTGCATTGTGATATTCCCTACCGATAAACTTGGCCCTCAACCGTTAACTCCAGACTGCAAGACATTGAACCCTAAGGCCCTCCTATCCAGCAAAGCGGAAATCCAAAATTTAAATAGGGTTTAGGGTTTAGAAAATCAAAAAAATCCCCAGCCCCTAAACTCTAAACTCTAAACCCCCTAAAACCAAAAATCCACAGCCTTACGACCTTCGACCCTCAACCCCGAAATCCAAATCCGTAAGACTTTTTTTGTGCAAAAAGACCTTAAACCGCCGAAACATAGGGACTATGGAACCCGGCTCGGCCAGGCGACGTCTACGAGTTCGGGAAGGACACTGCGTCGTAGGGTTTAGGGGTCTAGGGTTCACGGCTAAGGGCTTAGGGGTTTTACGGTTTAGGGGTTTGGGGTTTAGGGTTTACGGTTTAGGGTTCCTTAAAGGAACCGTTACCAAACAAGCTGTCTGTGCTTTTTTCTCCCTGGCCTTTTCAAAGTTCAGGACCGGGTCAATGACGTCAAGGACCGACCACTGGGTTTAGGACTTAGCAGCCAGGATTGGTATCGGAAGTTTATTTCGTCACGTTTTCTCCGTCATGCTTATGGTCCGAACGTTGAAAAGTAGGCAAGTACGAAAATCGACCGAAACTCCATGAGCTTTCGTGTTGTTGAGGTGTTGCACGGCTTTGAGGGGACCTGAGCCAACACACAGACGGCCGCCACAGCATGAAACCCTAAACCCTACAAGCCATAAGCCCCTAAATCATGAGCCAAAGGACGGCACTGGCCTTGTCGGCGACGCCCTAGGAGACGCCTACGAGTTTGCTGAAGACAAGGCGGGTTTAGGGTTTGGGGTTTTGGGTTTGGGGGAGGCTGTGAGAAGAAGAGTCGTGACAGCTTCACTGGGAGCGAAGTCACATTTTCTGGTATAGCCAGTGGTTGCAAGCGTGGCTTCTGTTCCTTGACCGACTAAAGCAGATCACGGGGAGACCTCTAAGTCGAGGCAACCTGTGTGTCAAGAAGAATGCTTACCGCATGCGGAAGCCGCAACCCCAAACCCACAGAAACAACGTGCATGTCAAAGGGCAAGCACCCCGGCAATGCAAAAACACACGTACGGACTAAGTTTGCTAACACCACGAGGATGGAGGCATGTCAGCACAAAAGCAACATGCCAGCAAAAGCCAAGTAGACATGGTAATCCAGCCAACGCATACTATAGGGGCCTCAAAGATTACAGTACCTGTATATACTATTTTAGGCGTTCCTTACTACAATTATAGTATAATGTGCCCCAAAACCCTATTCTGATGATTAAGGCCCGTATATTCACCCTACCGAGGAAGCCGCTAGTGCCGAGGTTGACTTCGTGGCTCGGACCACCATCGACACTGTGCAAAAGGCAGTGGATATCCTCGCCCGTGGCTTCACAGCGCTTGGATTTCTTGATTGATGGAGTTTGATCGCAGATGCGCGATGTCGGTGTTGCGCAGATAGACCTTCATTCGTATTTACTTCAGACTGAACACATCAGATCTTTATCCCCCTGCAAGTATCCATGACGTCACATCTCAGGCGGCTTCACAGACTGGCGTGCTTGGTGCCCTACAGCAAACTTGCCCTGGGTGGTTGCCGGCAACTTGCTTCTCATGCTAGCATAGCTTTCAAGAAGGGTTCTAGGAACCTTCGAGCGGTGTGGAGAACACATTCCCTAGTCGTCCAACCTACCCGTTAAACGCGAAGGTTCCCAACCTTCATATTTAACGAGGCGGTTGCGTCCAGGAGTGGATTTAAGGGGGTTTGGGGGTTGGCTTGAAAGACAGCTTCGCTCTCTTCATTTTCACTCCAGCTCCCGAGCCAGAATCCTTCAGGGAAGTGCCTTGGCTCTGCAAAAGTCGGCCGAATCGCACAAGAATCACACAAAAACTGCCATAATATCGCCGATAAGGCACAGCCGGCCAAACCAGAATCGCAAAGAAAATCTCGAAGTCAGCATAATTGGCACAGCCTTTGCTGTTCGAAACTATGATTTATCGCATTGAAAGGGTTTCTACAAAGTCCTGGGCCATGGTTAAAATCATTTACTGCAGCTCAAGTTACTTGCTCTTTTGAGGCTTGGGAACAGCTTCGGAACCTCAGCCGGGCTTCAAGACTATATTAGAAACGTATTTAAAACCTAGAAAAAACGTTTCCGAAATCATTGGGTTACTTCGAATTCGGGATTCGCGCATCGAAAAATGCATGCCAGCAACTCACCCGGGACGTAGCATTTCATCGCTTCCAGCCTTTAGCACGCACTTTCCTGGGCTTGAAAATCAGTCGTCCGAGTAGAATAAAACTACTGCTTTGAGGCTTGTATTATTATAAGAACACTATCTTCGGGTACAGGGTGCATCACGACACATGAATCACCGAAATCGGAATGCGAAAAGAAAAAATATATTGAATCGCCCAGCATCTGCGTCAAGCGGCGCTTCGAAGCTATGAGCTTCAGTTGAGCCATTCGCAGCACCCAGCGATTGTATTGGCCCGGTTTCCGTGGAGCCCGTAGACTGATCCCTGAGGAATCTGATTGTCATGATTTTAAACGCGTATATAATTACATTTATATTTAAAACGTAGGAGCATTTAGGGCTATTTTTTGGGTTAATTTAAAGAGGTTCAGATCAAGGCACGTTTCAGCCATCCCATTGAGTCTTCTCCACCAAAGCAGTGGGTGTAACGCGTGTTGTAGCCTCATGGTCCCATCTGTGACTAGCATCACCCGGTTTACATCTGTTCTTGAATGATGACAGGGTGCACCATCTGTGGCTCTGGTCCAGCAAGTGCAGCATTGCCTCACATAGATGACGCAACTAATGTAGTCATGACTGATTGGCTGCATGCCGAGTTGCATGAAATTTGGGTTTCAAGATCCAGGCCACGATTTTCAGCCTCAGTCGAACTCGTTTTGGGGTTTGTACGAATTTGGATTTGCAGGGGTCCCAAGATAGAAAAAGAAGCCAAGCTACCGATGGCTAATTTTGGTCAATCGTAGGTGGCATTTGAGAAACAGCATGCCGTTGGCATAAATGTCATCACTTTCCTGCCTTGTCCTGAGCACGAGTGTAGACCAGCCCCATCAGCTAGCCTGAACCCCCGAGCCCTAAAAAAACCCTTAAACCCGTTACAACATATATAACCTAGCCCTTCTATAAATAAACCTATATAAGAGAATATATTGTCCGGATCAGTGCCATGAAAGCTGCAAGTAGCGCTTGGCGGCCTCGAGACCATTGAACCACTTCGAGAAAGCGGTCCTCAGATCCCAGACTGCAATTGGGCACGGCTTCGAAAGACAGATTGCGGGTGTCGATTTGGAGGGGTCTTTAAAGCTAAAGCTGAACCCGCTATATGAGCTGAGTTGCAATGCTGTGGCATGCAATGGGATGGTAGAGTTCACCGGTGCTTGTAATGCACACTGCCGGCACTTGTGTGCCAACCACAGCATGACAATCCTCGCATTGTAAGCCTTCGAAGTGAAGTAGTATCCGTGTTTGGCCTTGAACAGATGCCGGGGCGCAAAACTCCGCTGGCTGCATGCAACTTTGTTCGATCGGCGCCACTGCTGGAATTCATTGAATGCAATCTCAAGGCAGGGTTTCAATGAATCTGGCCCATCGTACTGGCCGAAGTGCCCCTCATGTAGAAGGGCTTGCCTCGGATGTAGCAGATCCGAGATTGCGAAATTTAAAACCCGAATCTATATATTGCTATTTCCAGACAAAGAAAATCTGAATGAAACAAAATGGGCACAGTGCGCCTCCACTCGCTGTGTGGACGAGTCCCAGATTAGCCACATGCATCGAGCAGAACTTTACCATGGATACATCGAATCCCTTGAGATTCAAGAGAGGGCCTTTGCTGACATGGATCGGAGCACATGGTTTGGGTTTGCCTGAGTACAAAAAGCAAAACTCAAGCAGCAGCTGGGAAACCAAATCTATCATATGCTGCACAGGGTACTCTGGACTCCAGGCCGAATGGCCTGTCGAATGAAATCATTCGAAGTCAGCTGTGAAGCACGCCAGGCAGCACCATTCTCTATGTCGTAGTAACGCAGAGGACCGTCACTGGCTTCTGCATTGCATAGAAAGCAGAGCTTCTTCGACACAGGGGTTCGAACCAATCGCAATGTCCTTTCGTGCCATTTCCAGTCTCCACGATATTCGCTGCATGCAAAACGGGTGCCAAAACCAAACGGCATGCCTGCTTTCTGGGCTTTAACCCCTGTCAGCGGGGTTCCGTCCGATGAGGTTGCAGGGTATCGACCCTCGAACGCAACATTGCAGCACCACACCACGTGTTGAAGAATAGGCTGTAGAGTCTTCATGTTTGCGTGCACCATGATAGAATCTTGAATCGCACACAGGAGAAACATTCCTTGACGTACTGCTCGAGGTTTAAAAAGTGTCAGGTGCAAGAACAGCCCAGTTATTTTGTCTTTCGAATCTTTACCGAGGGTGAGTTCATCACCGTAGATCGTGAACGGCACATGGGCATCAGAGCCCGGGAAGTTTTTGGCAAAGTCATTGCCATGATCCCGAAGGCGTTGCCAGAATTGTCGCACTGCGTGCAAGGGACATTGAAGTTTCAGCTCCGTCTGCAGATAATCCAAGAGCTCATGTGCATCAAGCACAGGAATCGTCGTTTGGACTTCCTGCCTGTTCCCTTCAAAGCCCTCGTAGACAGTAACTTGAACTTGAGTTGGCACCTTGGGCTATTATAATATTATTATTACAGGGTGAAGTGACCTGGCCTCGAACTAGGAATTATTTATATTAGGATCCGACATTTAAAAGAATTGATGCCACCTCCCTGCACTCCCTTTATGGGTTCCCCTATAAGGTTTCAGGGTTTATAATTTTGTTTCAAGACGGCACACCAAAACAACATCCCTAATCTGCAGCGTGGGCACAAGAGGCAGCTTCACGGTGTTGAAGAAATCCCGGGATTCATTGCCTTTCTTGAATCGCATCAGCCCAGACATTTTCTTTCCTTTGAAGTAGCGGCCAGCCTCCTGCGTGCAGGATTAGATTCTTGAAGTAAGTCAAGTAAGTGGCAATAAATAGGAGTGAATTACAGACTAGTCCGACCTCGTAGCTGGCACGAGCATTCTCCATCGCAGATCCCACAGTCTCTGCCTCAGCTCAGGAGTTTATTATAAACGAATCTATGTACAACTCTGGCACTCGTGCCCTGGCTGCAGATCGGTTGTGTGCTTGGCGAGGTTCTCCATTGGATAGTCGCTCGAGAATATTTTGCAATAGGCCCGAGGCATGATCACCATCATTGTCATCAGTATCAGAACCTGGCATGCGTACATAGGAGCCGGAGGTTAAGGGTGGTTCGGGTATCGATGCCGGGTTTCCACCATGATCAGAACATCTCGATTTTCGGCTTCCCACACATTTGGAGCAGGCTTTGGATGCGGGCATCGACGTAATACCCTTGAAATCTGGAAACTAAGCATGGCACTCGACAGGGCATTATACAGCTCGCTAGGCGGCTGCATCACATCCCCACACACACACAGCTGAGACATGCTGAGGCTGTATCATGATCTGATACAAACATGCCCGAAAGCGTATCATGCATGTGCTCAGCTGAGGCGTGTGTGCTTCCACTGGGATGCAGTTGCTCAAGCTGCACACGTGCCCCTGGCTGGGGAGACTTCCGTTCTTAAGTTATTGGATTATAAGTCGAGGGATATCTATAACATGTAGCTTATAACTAGCCTATAACCCCTAGATCCCATTTACACAAATACCGAGAAAACCATCCTATACCTCTATATATAGCTAGAAATGCTGCAGCTAACCCCCAATCCATATATCCAACCAGAGCCAGGTTGTCGGAGGCACATGCAAGGCCAAGGTTCTTCCCTGGCGCTAGCACAAAAGCAGGCACCCTCCAGCAGCAAACCAGAGCACTATGTTAGCTACGGATGACTGATCAGGATCCGCAATATGAAAGATGCTCCGAACCGTCATCTAGAATTACAGTGGCAGATCATTTCTTCGCGGCTGCATTGCTGGATTTGGGGCCCTTTTTCTTGTTTTGGAAATCCTTGTGGATCTTGTCGAACTTCTCCACAGCACTGTTCAGATGGCTTATAGCATCACTGATCGCATCAACCTGGCCAAGGGAGCTTATAATTACTATTAAGCCCAAAGGACACCAACTAAACCCCATACACAACTTTGATTTCAGGTTGGGGGTTGATCGAGGCCTTGCTAATATAACCTTCAGGGCTGTTCGAGGGTGGGGGCAGATGGGTGCCAGGGATAAATGATATTAGTTGTATAGATATATATATATATATATACTAATTATGCGGTGTCCCAAAACCCTATGAAACCCTAGCTTAATAACACCTTAGCACTACTTACCAAGACCACCCTTGATCAGAGCTCTGTGGAAACCTTAGACCCCATGCCCTGAAGGCCCGAAGCCCCAAAGGTTAAGCCTTAAGGGTTTTAGTGTAGCTAGGGTTTAAATTTCGGGTTTAGGGATGAGGGTTGTTGAGGGTTTAGGGTTGAGGGTCTATGGGTTGAGGGTGATCAGCAAAGCACCAAATAGCCCCAAAGCCTAGC